TCGTTCCATTCTAATCACTGGGTCCCAATGTGACATTCTTCAGTCGTTTTTTTGGTCCAATCTTGGCGTTGAAATCTCCAATGATGACCTTGAAGAATGTAGGGTCTTCTCTGTAGAATTTCTCCAAGTCCATACAGAACGCTTCGACTTTTTCTTCGTCATAGTTTGATGTCTGCGCGTAAACGACGAAGATTTACAAAGCTGGTATTGATCCACATCTTTTTCATCGTAAGCATCCGATTCGGGTTGTAAGCTGTTCAAATCAATCGTTGTTCATGGACAAACTCGTGTTGACGAGAACGCGGAAGTCGCCGACCCCTCTACTGTGGCATGTTCCGAGAAACAGTTCTTGTCCGGTGTCATAGACGGCGTTGAAAGAGTGGAGACTTCTCGTCTCGGCCAGGCCGATGACGTACGTTATCCTTCTCGCTTGCATGAGCAAGTCTTCTGTTGAGGACTCCGGTGCAAGTGTGCGTGCGTTGTAGGTACAGATCGTCATCATAGTTCTTAGTAATCCAGGCAGCTTCCATTGGCTCTGAGATTTTAGTAGCCTCTTCGTACTCGTCCTACTCAAGGCTGCTAAATTGGGGGCTCTTTCGGGGTCACAGGAATGAGGCCATTTTTTTTACTGTGTTTATCATTTTTGATGCCCACGTATAGCTTACTGGGCTCGGAACGTGGGGACTGGGTGTACTCACGGGTAGCTTGCCAGGCTCTCCTGGAGTGGACATGGACCTTATTTGTTAGAGGCGACTCCTAACCACCTCCCATATATTTCCCTGTCACTTGATTGCAGGCTTATGGCCGAATTAACTCGTAGAATACAATCACCATAAGCGAGAACGCACCCTCACACGCATGCGTGAATACGGCTAGCAAATACAGAAAGTATGTGCCAAATCGGCGGAGCAAAATCTGGTAGTCGATCCCCTTGATTCGTCTGTGTTTCAGGGAAGCCAAGGTCGCTTTTGCTGCGCGATCAACCCCCTATCCGCCACCTGGGGACTCGCCACGTAGCCTCGTGACTATCCGGCTCGAGATCCCTCATGTGAGGGAAGATATTAAAGTGATATGTTTTTGGAATTAGCTGCTGTAGAAAAGGATAAAACTCTGAGGGATGCATCAATTCTTGAGGGATGCACCATGCATTCGACTTCACTAAGCATCGTTGGAAGTGATTGAATGCATATCTGGTCTTTACAATGACTCGCCGTGGGCTACCGATGTATCGAGCCAGTGCTGCTATCCTTCCAGATAAGTCTGGTGCCAATTTTCCGACCCCCGAGAGATGAAAGGCCCGGTGAGCCACGAGCGCGGAGATAGATCCCATATATGTGTTGGAGGGGGCCTCCGATCACTGCGCCACACGCGCCCCTTCGCAGCCATTGGGGGCTGTGTACTTCCTCATAGATGGCATAGCATTTCAGAATTCACATGAAGATAATGGATACTTCGACGCAACAAATTTTTATATAGTAGTATGAAGTCGGATGAAAATGATTTTTAGACAGATCGAAGTAGATATCGTGAATGGTCTTCTACAGCTGACAAAGTTCGTACAACTCTTTCACGTTTTTCCTGGGAAAGCCGAGTTGTCAACGTTTTAAAGAGACGTTTTTCTCTGAAGAAGAAACAAATACTGTCGAGCCGATATGCTAATATGGCTTCGTACGCATCCTTGGCACCTACCAATTGTCGCCAGAAATTGATAGAGAGGAACATCAGTATTTGTAGAGACTTCGGAAGTTGGAAGAAGCATTAAATTGCCGGACACGACCTTTGAGCACTAGTTGAAGGATTGTCACTCGAGAGTTTCAAGAAGAAAAAGAAGAAGAAGAAGAAGAAGAAGAAGAAGAGAATAAGAGTTTCGAAAATGGCTTGACATAGTGGTTCGCCGGTTCCATGTCGAGTTAAGTAGAAATATTCAGTTGGTTGAGAAGTCCATAGAATGTGGTTGAGGATTGCCTCTAACGAAGAAGGCTGTGCCTACACAGGTCGGAACATTTCAAGAAGCTAGCTATAACTATACCAAGTCCCAGAGCAAAATACGATAGCAGATAAGATAGCACTTGTAACTACTTTCCTTCTTGAAATAATAAAATTGAGAGTCTCATACGAAAAATATGATGGCTTTCATTTCTCTCGAGGAGCCCAGTGAAGTGGAGCCAGCAAAGAACACTGCGTAGTTCTGGGACACGGGGAGGTTACACGGGGACTATACCCGTCTGTAGTCGGACCACTAGGTAACTTACAGGATTACACATAATATAAATAACGGATAATAGTTATCGCTCTATAACAAAAGCATAAAAATGTTGAAAACTTCAATGAAAACCTTAGGGCGCATCTAAACTGTTTTTCTTCTTCGTTGGAATAGGGTGTTGAACTTGAAGCTAGAGAAACAGCTTAGCCATTGTTACGTATGTAATGTACATATTTGTAAAACAGAGTTACGCAATAGCCCATAAATATTCCTAATTTCAGGTGCCGAAAAGTATTCTGTTCTTCATCTTCGCACTAGTGGTTGGTGACTTAACGACGATGATAGGTGAGTCGATAGGGTCGATTTCGCCCAATGGCCACGCCACGTTAATCACCTGTCTGTCCTCATCCTCATTTTTAGCTTCAGCCATGTAACACTGTTTGCCCAAATACACATTCCGAGGAATTCAGTCACTAACGGCTCTTGTACATTGGTTATCGTTCATACGCATCGCGTATCCGGCGCGGTTTACCTCCACAGCTTGATGCATAGCACGGCATCTTTGATTTATGAACGTCGAAGCAGGTTGGAGCTTCGGATCCCTTCCCCTCAAACGACACAGGATACTCCTAGCATCATCCTTTCGATAACGCTGAGTGATCTTCCATACTGCTTATCCAGCGACCAGGTTTCTGTTGCATACGTCAAGGCAGGAGGAATCATGGAGTCCAAAAGGTGGGCACGGAGTCGGGTTTTCTTTGTTCTCCTTACCACATCTTCGTTGCTCTTGAAAATTCTGCAAGCAACTCAACTTTTCCTGCTTAACTCTGGAGCTGAGTCGATCATCATGTCGATTTCCCGACACCTAGACAGACCTATCTGAAGCATTCGGAGACATTCATTCCATTAGGCGTGAACAGTGCATACGAAAGCAATCCGTTCCTCACGAACATCGTTTTTGTGAGATCCAGTCGAACACCAATCTTTCCATGGGCTTTGTCAAAGACGGCAAGCGTTCGTTCTGCTTGGCTAATGTTTTATGCTATAAGAACTATGTCATCTGCAAAACGAAGATGTTGTAAACGCGATCATCGATTTTCCTCCGGTGTTGTCCTATTCCAGTGTTCGCATGACGTTGTCGAGGGTGGCGGTAAATAATTTTGGCGATGTGGTATCGCCTCTGCTAACCCCTCTTTTTATGCCGATGTTAATATCGTTGTAGAATGGCAATATGTTGGCTGTGAAATTTTTGCACATCTCGCGAAGAATCTTTATATACTGAGTAGGGACTCCTTGGCTGTCGAAGGCTTCCATGACCGCTTCTATCTCAGTTGAGTCAAAGACTTTCTTTAAATTGATGAAAGCGAGACACAGCGGTTTTTAATACTCTTACGGTACTTCAATGAATCTTGTTATTGTTTGGATGTGGTCCATCGTACTAAATCCTTTTCGAAACCCTGCTTGCTCATATAGCTGCTTTTCGTCCATTGTTCTGCCATTCTTGTTCAGGACGACTCGAGTGACATGGGCCTTGTTTTCAGTCAGGTAACGTGTGAAGTACCGTGCCAAGTGTGTTTATGAGGACTGGCGGAAGGTTTTTCAAGAGCTCGGATCTTATCCTGTGTAGACCTGTTGCCATTCGATTTTTCACCGACGAAATGGATTGTCGGATTTCGGAAGGTGAACCAGTGATACAACATATCCATCCTCTTTTATTTCATATGAGGAAAGGAGTGCGCGAATAATGAAGATATCCGAATAGTAATCGTGAATGGCTTTCTTCATTTCCTTTCTGGACGCTATAACTGTTCCGTTTGGACGTCGGAGTGCTATCATCTTTGTCATGTAAATGGCGAAGCTTCGTTGGGCTTTGCGAATACTTTTCCCATCCTCTGCAGCTTCGACCATAACTGCTGCTCTTCTCTTTCTTAAGACCTTGTTTTGTCATCTTTCTGCATTGTTTTGCAAGTTCGGACTTGAATTGGGATTGCCTGCAGATCGTGCTATTTCACGCTTGCGTATTAGCACGAGTGTTCCTGAAGATAACCGCCTCTGGGTGACGTTCGAGCTCTCAGCTTTTATAGCGCTAACGTGAGCGAGCTGATCGCATTCCTCATTAATGTTATCAAGAGCGCCATCTTCGCCACATTCTACGAGTGAACTGAATACTGTCAGTTTGTGGTGGTTTAAAGACTTCGTTTTTAGAATTTAGCGTCTTTTTCCCCATTGCTGACGAAATAAAATCTTGCGCGGAGGCGATCGTCTGGTCTTGTGTAGAACTTTGGGACATTCGTTATGGTACTCTCCATTGGAAGACTCCCACATCCTTCGTTGAGGGTGGGGCTTCTCGAATTGCGAGTTACCGTAAATAGTCTTGGTCGTTATGATAAATTCAGATACCAGCTCATCTTGCTCGTTCCATTCTAATCCGTGGGTTTCAATGTGAAGTTCTTCAGACGTTCTTCTTTGTCCATTCTTAGCGTTAATATCTCCAATGATGACCTTAAAGAATGTATGGTCTTCTCTGTAGAACTTCTCCAAATTCATAGTGAACGCTATGCCTTCAATTCGTCATTGGTTGACGTCGGTCGGACACTAATTCCCGAAGGACCTCCTAAAGTATGATGATCGAAAACTGTAGTTAGATTCGGGTAAGAATTGACGTGCTACAAGTAAATGCAGACTAAGTGCAGTAAGTGCAGACTTCCACACATAAGTACTCGCAGGGTCGCTGGAGAGCACTAAGGAAAACTAGCATGATTTTCCTTATCTCCATTCTCACCAAAAGCCAGGATAAATGGAGTTCATTTCAGCCATGCTTTTGCTTATTATCGAGCTCGTGTTTGGCAGTTGGCAATTCAGCGCTATCACTTGTACCTCGTATCTCGTTTTTGACTCGATGAACAAGTTAGCTTTTCCTCAATAACAAAATCATAAATTCCATCCTGTATCTTTCAACGTTCTAATCGTTAAAGTTCAGATTCGTCGCTCCGATGATAGTGTTTTTGATTAGCAGAACGTGCTACGTCACAGTTTGTTTGGATAAACAAAGAGGTGAGAGGGCGGCATCGCTGAAGGTGAGTTATAATACCAAAAACGTCAGCGAGCAATACTAAGTTTAAACTACACTAGAATGGGAGTTACAACGAAAAGCGCGATAGAATAGTAATTTCCTTGTGGACTAAAAACTAGAAAGCAGAATGTGAATGAAAACGGATTTGTAAAGTTTCAAAGGAGTTCCGATGCATGGAGGAGTATGTGGGGTCTCGAAGTGAACTGATCACAACGCAGATCGTCGCGAAATAAACATCGATAACGGTCGCTTCCAATTTAACCCCTCGAGTCTCAAGCGCATTTTGGCAAATCGGTCTGGTTTCCAATTTTTGTCGCATCTAGTCTTTGGCAGAACGTTCCGGAATGAAGTGAGGTCTGTGACGAGCTAAAGTATCCTCCTTGTGAACACGTTTCTACCGTTTCCTCCAGAAAAATCAACATAACTTCAATGTTTGACAGAGATAATAGGAGGATGATACACTTCTTGAGTACGAGATGACACCCTAAGTTCGAATATGAGTGACTGAAAACCAAATGCACAACGCTCTGTCACATTTGTTTTTGGTGGAAATCTGTCGTCGTGCTCTTCTTCTTTTTTCAGACCAACCATGCCACTATAAAGGATAAAGGATAAAACTCTCAGCGTTGATCAATCCTTGAGGGATGCGCCATGCATTCGACTTCATTAAGCATCATTCGGAGGTGATTGAATGCATATCTGGCCTTTGCAGTGACTCCGGGTGGCCTACCGATGTGTCGAGCCAATGTTGCTACCCTCCCAGACAAGTCTGGTACCAATTTGCCGACCCCAGAGAGATGGAAGGCTTGGTGGACCATGGATACCTGGATCTATTCCACGTGTGTGTTGCAGGGCAATACACCACCATGCCATTATAGGCTAGACATATTGAGGATCCGCATGATGTGGTGGTGAACGCGTTAGCCCTCGGTAAGGTAACAGCGTGTTCGTTGCCTACCGCAGACACCTGTCAAGCGGTGTTTTGAAAACATCTCAGCATCGTTATGGTTACAAATATTGTTTTTCACATTCCTGTTGGTAAAGTTATGCTTTTGAATGAAAAGTCGCGCATAAAATTGTTTATCGTAACTCTTTGGTTATGAATCGTCCACTACTTTGTTCATTGTTATTCCACCGTATATAGCAATGCGACTCTTAACGTACTCATAGATAACCCGCTTGCATTTATGGTGTGCTGGTTTCCGTGACGGTAATCTCATCAGCGCCCATCCTTCCCAGTGTTTCAGCTCGCCGCCCTCCAAGTGCTGATCGCGCTCGCCTGTGTTATGTTACTTCTTTGGCCGGTCTTCGCATATTCCCAGGTTCAGATTTTCAATCTCGCTTATTCCAGCGCTCATTTTTGAGAGTTTAATCATCTGTGAAGCACTATTATCTCACAGGTATTCTAACAATTGTTCAGGTGTTCACTTTTTATTTGAATCCAAACAATATCACAAATGAAGTGACGGTGATTCGAAAATGCGGTTTTTTACCCCCACCCGGTAAGACTCCTTCATTCACTTTTGGTTTCGTCAATAACAAATGTCATTTATTTGTTTACATATTTGTTTAACGATCCGCTCCTAAAGAAACTGTGCCGCTCCCAGTCTCCTTTCAGTTCCGCTCGTTGCTCTACATCATTTTTCCACAATTTGTTGCGTGCTTAGTCAACTGCAACGTAAACTCTTTGCCTAATGCTGATTTCCGTGGAGAATATTTCGCAGACAGTTCTGGTATTAATTTTCTGGGTTAGAGGAGCTTGGTAAGCCTAGGGAAAGGTCGAGCTAGAGATTATCCGTATAATACATGGCATCTCTAGCCACTGCGTTTCCGACTCCTAAAAAAGAGCAAAGGTAATCAAAAAAAACCTTTAGAAGTCTATTTATTTGCATAATCAGACAGCCCACACTCGCAAATCACTTGAACCACAGTGAAATTTCCATTCGTTTCACTACGTCACAACCATTTAAATGATGCTGATTTACTTGTGCTTGGTGGCTTCTCTGAGTGTAATTCCCTGATCTAAAAACCGTGTATAATTCTGGTTATGGCTGGCTGGAACTGTGTTGGCTAGATTTATCTTATATCAAGTACCTTGCACGGAATACTAACGAGACCAAATGGCACATCGCCAGGTGGCAGATTAAGTCTTAAGCGAAAGAAAATAATCAGTGAAACATGTATAATATTTCCCTGCTGGTTCACTGGATTGAGGAATGAACTCATCTACAAGGCAGTGTCGGATCGGCTTGTGCACTCCGTACGTAAAAAGTCATACTTGCACATACGTGAATGAATGTATTAGTAAATATATCCATTGTATGGAAATCGTACTTGGCCACTTGTATGGAGTGAATTCGTTTAAAGGTCGGTCTACACTGAACTTGGAGAGGCAACGAACAACTTATCACGTATCTAAGTCACCACAGTTCGGCTGCTGCCGCTTTCCAAAAATTGGACGCTTAATTTATAGCGTTCCTCAAGGGCCGTTCTTGGATGATCTCCTCAGCGACATTCTCCATTTGGAGTCTAAGAACGGCGACTACTAAGAACTACTAGGAAACTAGTCTACTAAGAACTAGAACCAAGTCAGGGTGACCGGACTCGACGCGAAGGCAAAGTTGCCACAACGAGACGAAGAACAAGTGTGAACCATCGACTCGGATCATCGGCTCTGATGAAGACGAAGACGTCGAAACGTTAGCCGAAAATAAATATCCTTATAAACCTCGTGTAAGCTCATTAAAGAAAGGATACATCTAAGAACTACACACAGTGGATCGATCGGGAGTTGTTTGGGCAAAATCCGATCCCACATATGATTTATAGTCGTTGAAAAATATGCTATAAATTTTATCTTCTTCGTCATGGCCAGTAGTAGAGACATTTTACTTAGCTAAAAAAGTTCTATCATAATCATGCAGCGATATTCTGCAGATGACATCGACTAGTTCCCGTATGGGGTGTGTTGAATTCACATCAACTTTCAGCCGTAATTTGTTTTCCATTAGTGTCACATTTGTTGGCTCTGGAAATGCCATGCGAAATCCATTGTTGTGGAAGCGAAATATGCTATGCCCAGTCCTGAGGTCTTCTGAAAATTAGTTTGCATGGCTTCTAAGAAAATTATCTCTTCTCGGAAATTCCAGTGAGTTGCAGTTAGCATTTTCAGTTAGATCGACTGATACTCCATAGTGTTCAAATTTCAACATACGTGCGTTATGAGTACGGGTTATCGCCACAGTCTTTCAAGACCTAGGCAGTTTTAAATGATTTTGAGATTCCATAAACCTCTCCATAGTCTTCCTACCCAACGCTTCCGTACCGAAGGCTTTTTCGAAGTGGGGAATAACGCTCATTTGTTTCACTGCATTCAGTTTTTCATACCCACGCATAGCTTCCTTAGCTCTTAGTGTGAGGGCACCTGGACGTACTCACGAGCAGTTGGCCTCTCTATTCCAAAGTAGACGTGAAACATGTTTGTTGGAGGAGATTCTTAACCACCCATTTACTTTTTTGGCACCTGATCGGCGTTTCAACCAAGCAGAATTGATGCACAGGATGCAGTTCGCATCCAGCGCCCTCCACTCTCACCCCTCAGCCAATACACGATTATGTCTGTTTACATGCATAAAGTCAATCCTCCAAGTGTAAACAAGGGCTCGTCATGTGATTCCATCCGCAGTTTACGAAAGCTTGAAGTCTCCTTAGGATCACCATGATCAATGTAATGAAGCGAAATCTGTCATAATCCTTTTTTATGACTGCTTGTGCCATCAAACATACTTCTACGAATTTTCTGCCTTTTTGTTCTGCTTATTTCTTACAAATCTAATTTAGTGACGATTTCTGTTTTCTGTTTATTTCTATGTCCATGCTAAACGAACGCTTTAGACTGTTCGCCATAACTGAGTTGATTTCGGAGAACTCACTCCCATGCGAAGCGTTCCCGTCGACCAGTTTATTGCCAAATAATGTTTCCTGAAACGATGTCTTGTACCAGTTCTGTCACATCCATATAACTAAAGATCATACAGTCAATCCTTCTTTCTTTACACTTTCAGAAGGACCCGGATGGTATGGTGGGGAACACTTTAGTTTCCCCAAAAAGGATAATAGCGGGTTCGATCTCCACCGCAGGCACCTGCGGTCCGGAGTTTTGCAAATATCTGAGTATTATTGTGATTATATTTCACAAAACACCATGACTGTTCACGGTTGCCGAATTATACTTGAATATTCGGAAAAAAGGCTTCTGTTGGTTGCCATTAATAAATTCAGAAAATTTCCGAAATTTGATTTAAGTTCACGAGGTGCAAGGTTCTTATTCCTTCTAGGGTTGCAATCGATCGTCATGAGAATGCATATTTTCCAGAAATACAGTTCTGGTTCAATCTCGTTGCCTGCATCACATCGTATGCCGTGCCACTCTTCGGCATCGTCTATTGGTATGTGTCGGTGCCATTTTTCCTCAAAAACAGGGCCATCACCACGCTCGTCGCCTCTAGGTATTTTTGTCTAAAGTTCATAGAAGAAAAGAAGAGTTTTTTCGTACAGAATGAACTCTTCCGAACTTTCTAAGTAATCGATAACATCTGTTTCACACAGCAAACAGTATTATCCAACTAAAGGAGCAAAAGGCACAGAGAACGGTGCCATTGAAGCAAACCACCGTTTAATCACTAGAAACTAATAGCGGTGACTGCTTCTGCTGAAGTATTCTGCAGGCAAACTTGATTACTTTCCAGGGAAACTGATGTGTAGAATGAGATTGAACAAAAAAAACATTGCCGTGCATTTGAGTAATCCGGTGTTTTTTTTTCAAATTCAATCAAGTGGCGCCTAAACGCGCTGTGCATGGTAGTTCGACTATCAAAACATCGCCGTTATTTCTGATATCGCCCAACGGTTTACCGACTCATCGTGGCTGGGAGGTGTTCCTGGGTGTCAGGCTGCGATGTACAGCGGTGGGATTCATCCCCCCGCAGGATCTTCCAAGCTGAGAAGGAGTCCGGAGTTTCCATCAAGAAGCCTAGCTAAGAGTAAACCAATACCAGGATTCGCACGGTGGCAAATCTCCCTCTGAACCACGAGGGCTGCAGCTGCCTGTGATGTTGAAGATATGGGGCAGATTTTGGCCAGGCTGACCTCGGGACTTCAGGAAATCATAGTGTTTTAACCAGCAAATCTCTGAAAAATGGAGGTTATGCTGGGGTCCGCACAACCAGTGAGCACGGGCCATTCAAGCATGCAAGTAAGTATTTCTGACATCTTCACTTCCATTGGCGCCTGTCACAAACACTCTTAAGTGTTTCAAGTTGTGCTATTGATTCTTCTTATGAGTTCTTGAAACGATTTTCGAAACCATTTCGTTAAAAAAATTCAGCTCCATGGACACGGCACTGCGGAAGGTGATCACGACCGTGCTACTGCTAACGGCTATCTATGTGTTGTGCTGGTCACCGTATTGGGTTTCTATGTTCGCTCATAATATCTTCGCTATGGAAAAGAAAAGCAGTAAGCTATTAATTAATCGGAAGCACCTATCTTTTTTATGTATAAGAATTTTCTTAAATGAAGATTTATTAACCAGTCGCTAATTAGGAAAATTCCCTTGGTCATATCAAAGGTGTTAAAGGCTCTTCGTTAGTTAGGATAAAGGTAAAATACGTATCTAAAAGCGTTCTCCTTTAGTTTGTGCATGAATTCACAACCCTGAAAGGCTCTAGTTAATCCCAGTCTTGTTGATTGTTGAGTTGTTCATATGATTTGGAGGCGTCTTATTTATGGATAGTACGCACAGCATCTTAAACCAAATAGTAGACTTCTGCTTCACAGAGTAGTCCATGTTTGTAGGTCTATTATTCTCCCTGATCCGTATTTAAGGGCGCGTGTGGTGCAGTGGTCGGAGGCACTCTGCAACACACGTGGAATGGATTCCCGCGCCCATGGCCTACCAAGCCTTCCATTTATCCGGGGTCGACAAATTGGTTCCAGATTTGTCTGGGACGATAGCAGCACTGGCTCGATACATCGGTAGGCCACCGCCAGTTATTGTCAAAGCCAGATATGCATTCAATCACCTTCAAACGATGTTTAATGAAGTCGAATGCATGGCACATCCTCCCGGGATTGATCAACGCCGAAAGCTTTATCCTTTTATCCTTTTATCTACGTGCAATTTGCCGTGTTCTGCCAGGGATTATGGAATTATTCATGTGTACCTTACTGGGCTCTAGCAATGTAGTCGTCGATCGTATTTGATAGGGCGATCCAATTACTACCGCTTAGTCACCTGGTTGAAAGGTTTCATTGCACTCGACACTTATAACAAGAGCACAGGGACATTCGTATGCAAAAGAGCACAAACAACGCGCTCATGTATACGTACACAGCTCTCGGTGCTGATTTGCTACGACAAGGAGGGCTTCATGATGGAAATGGAAGTTCCTTCCTGTTTGTGTGATTCCTCACTGAGAACGAACATATTTCTATTAGAGTTAAGGAACAACACCTCGGTTCCTTTTGGTCATGATATAGTTGGCTATTTCCATCCAGAGGTAGTACTTTTTCCAAAAAATTATCTCAGATTAGAATAACACTAGCACTTAAGGCTAAAATTCTTCTATTGAAAACGTATGTTGCGGATGCACTGCAATCAGTCCACTTCTAAATATACTATGAAAATAAGGAAAAAAAACTACATGTATGATTTTCCAATGGCCTATCACCACATCTCAGCGAAGAAATTAAGCTCATTCCTTTTGCCAATGTTTGAACCAATAACTGTGCATGAACAAGCAAAATGATTAAATTTAACACTGGGAGTCCGAGCAGTGCACCTGGTACTCGTTCTCAACTTTCAGCGATCGTTGTCTCCTACTTCATCCATTTGCTTCCTTACGTCAGTTGTGTTGCCTATCCACTCATCTTCACTTTGCTGAATAGAGGTAACAATCTGAATTCTTTTTATTTTCAATGTTTACTTTTTATTTTCTGCCTTCTACTTTTTTATTTTGTTACTTCATTTCACTTTAATTCAAAAGTAAACCATTGAGTTGTTTTTAAAAACCCTTGGCGAGATGAAAATAGATTATTAAACGCATAATAAACCTTTCTTGATGTATGTATATACATATCTATTTGTAAATTTTTGTAAATGTATATATACGTATATATATATAAATATATATACGTTATACATATCTACACTTATGTACGTATATACATATACATATATATATATATATATATATATATATATATATATATATATAACATAGCAGTGGTAAGAGACGCCGTAGCGCCATGATCACTGATTTCTTCTCCTGCTCGATTACATTGTTTCTTATCCTTCCAGAATCTCCAGTTTGGTGCCAGACTCGCCTGGGAAAATTTCCCTCCAACCCACGAAATCCGATGATATCCTGTGATGAGAGCCTAGGAGCATTCTGGCAGAACTGTCTCAGTTTTTAACTTTGAAGTCAATTCGACCACACTCATGAAAAGGAGAAAATTCTCGAATACTAGCCGCATGAGGGTCCGAGGACCTTCGTGGATGACGGCTGAAATAAAACGACGTTCAGTGAAAAGAGTGCTGGGTTTCGCAGAATATGTGAAAAACATAAATTGTATACTTACTTACTTAGATACTTGATGGTCCGTTTTCACTGGTTGTGCAGTCTCCAGCATAACTTCCAGTTTTTTGGAATTTTAATGGTTTCGCTATTGTGTTTTCTTAGAGTCTCGCGGTCAGCCTAGCCAAAGTCTGCCCTAGGTCATCACCACCACAGCCAGTTGCAGCCCTTGTGGATCAAAGGGAAATTTGCCACTATGCAACTAGTTTGATACCAGAGCGGTGGTGGATCTTGGCATTCCTTTACTCCTGGGCTTCCTAATGGAAAAGTCGAACCCCTCAGTTCGCGAGATCCTGCTCGTGCAATGGATCCTCTCGTTGTGCATCGCAGCACAATACTCAGGAACATATCACAGCCACGATGAGGCGGTAAGTAGTTAGGAGGAAATTGTAACTAGCTGAGAGAAACCCAGAGCAAGGCCCCTCTTAGCACAGTGTGTGATTCGCGAACCCTGGAAAGGGAAATCGTGGTTCGATTTGGCGCGGGGTCTCAGTTTTGGAATATCTCAGCATCATTGTGGTTATATCTATACATTATATATATGAAAAGATAAAGCTTTCAGCGTTGATCAAGCCCTGAGGGATGCGCCGTGCATTCGGCTTCGTTAAGCATCGTTTGGAGATGATTGAATGCATATCTGGCCTTTACAATGGTCGCTGTGGCGTGCCAATGTATCGAGCCAGTGCTGCTATCGTCCCAGACAAATCTGGTACCAATTTGCCGACCTTGGATAGATGGAAGGCTTGATGGGTATTGGGCGCGGGGATCGTGTGTGCTGCAGGGCGCCTCGGAACACTGCGTCACACGCGCCCATTATATATATATATATATATATATATATATACATATATATATATATATATATGCGAAATAGGTTATTTTTGGTACACATGTACAGTTTTGTGTTCTGACACCGTCGTCCCTCATGTGTGGATTTCTGATCCAGTTAAATTCTACATTGCGCTTCCCAAGTAGATTATAAGGAGTTAAATGCGGTCCAAAACCGACATGTGCTTGCCTTGAGTCGCAACGGTGTTCATCAAGAAATGACTGTTCTCCCTGCTAGGCCACCTTTATCTGTGGTTTTCGTAAACCCTTAATCACATCCATGCATGGGTTTGCTATGCTATACGCGGAATGTGTAGTGTACGTATGGGTCATGAGAGTCTTTGAATAGTTGAGAGCGACTTCTTGAAAACAGCTTGTTTTATTGCCTTAAGAGTATTTATAATTCGTATAAAGTGTTGTCGCAGTTTCAAATTCGCAAATTTGTTTTTGTTATAGAAAAGGTTTAAAAATCGAATACAATTTCTAAGTGAATAGCATTTCCAGCACGCACGCCATTGATACCCTGGGAAGCGATGCCATCGTGTCTCGCTGAACATAATTTTACTTGTTATACCTTTTTATTTTCTGCCTACTATAATTTCGCGGCAGGGTACTAAGCGAAACACAACCACAACGTTGCTGAGATATTTGCAAAACTCTGGACCGCAGGTGGCTATGGTGGGGAACGAACGCGCTATTGTCCTTTCCGGGGACATACGCGTTCACCACCACACCATGCGGGTCCTTTGTTTCGCCTGTCTCTCAGCCATTTCTATCGATCTTTTGCCACAGCAATCACCCGTCAGCGGGATTGATCTGGGGCGCCCAAATCGGCATAGAAACCAGTTAAGCTGCGGCTGTAGTTGATCACGTGTCACAATGTTATACCTTTTTATTTTCTCCCTACTATATTTCGCTCGCTTAGTACCCTGTCGCTCGCTTAGTACCCTGTCGCTCGTTTAGTACCCTGTCGCTCGCTTAGTACCCTGTCGCTCGCTTAGTACCCTGCCGCGAAATTATAGTAGGCAGAAAGTAAAAAAGTATAACATTGTGATTTCAACTACAGCCGCAGCTTAACTGGGTTCTATGCCGATTTGGGTGCCCCAGATCAATCCCGCTGACGGGTGATTGCTGTGGCAAAAGATCGATAGAAATGGCTGAGAGACAGGCGAAACAAAAGATAATTTTGCTTGATCAATTGCTTTATTCAACTCGGGAATTTTTGTAAATTTACTGATTTTGTTTCTTTATTTCTTTATGTGTTTTCAATTCCACCTTTAATCCTTTAATTTTATCGCCTGAGAGTCGGGCGAAACGAAAGACTGGGATGGTGTGGTGGTGAACGCGTTAGCCTCCGAAAGAGTATTAGCGTGTTCGGTTCCCACCGTAGACACCAGCGGTCCGGAATTTTGCAAACATTTCAGCAACTTTATCTTTAATTTTTTTCTCATTCTTGTTTTATTCTGTTTTATTTTATTTTTATTACATCTGTCCATTTTCATCTATCTATTTTCTTTCGTTTATTTTGTTTATTTATCCTGTGTACTTTGTTTATTTCCTATTATTTCTTTTACTTCATTACATTTACTTTATTTCTTTTTTGTTTATTTATTTTTCACTTATTTTGCTAATTTTAGGCATCATTTTTAATCTTTTTATTTTATTTGCTTATTTTCATTTCATTTGTCTGAATTCAAAATGCGATCCTTAATGAACAAGAATGAAAAAATACGTTCTTTGGCTCCAGAAATCTAAAATTTCATCTTAGCTGAATAAGAGAACTCGTTCCTCGACCGAAAGATTCTAGTAGCTTCCATTCCAATTAATAAAGCTCACTAGTCGCTGAAATATATTAACAGTGAAATGCAACCATAATAATGCTGTGACATTTGAAAAACTCCGGACCGCAGGTGTCTGCGGAGGGAACGACCGCGCTATTACCTTTTGCTGGGCTAACGCGTTCTTCACCACACCATGCGAGTCCTTTGTTTCTCTTCTCTCTTAGCTAGGAGTTTTGCAAATATCTCAGCATCATTGTGGTTGCATTTCACATAATACTCTGCCGTAAAAAATTATAGTAGGCAACAAATAAAAGATTAACATTATATTAACAGTGTAACTTGGAAACCTTTCATCATCTTGTTTTACCAGACCATTTATTTCAAGGAATTCGGCTAGCCCACGCAAAGATCGTCCTGAATCATCGTCGACGATTTCGAAGCATTACCGAAGATGCGAGCGTTCAAATTCGGAATGCCGTCAGGTATTCTTCGTTTTCCCTTTGGTTTCGTTCGCTTTATCTTACATTCGAATGGTGAACATTCGTGAGCATGAAAGTCAGCTTAATATCTTCAGTTTCGTCAGATCATGAACTTATTGGACGAAATAAAATTGTTTGAAGGGGCCTGCCAGCTAAAGCAACGTCTATAATCCGATCTCATATGCCTCCGCACACCGATGAGGAGAGGAAGAATTGTGAGCATTTCACGGAGAATTTGTCTGAGGTGATTGGGGTAAGTTCTTTCTCTTAAAGTGCTCTTTACCTGACTTAGCATTACGTCCGTTAATGTAGTCAAATAATTTCGTGTTCGGCGTGCAACTGTACAATAAGCACTGGGAGAGTGGAGAATACTTGGACACTTGGATAGCCCGCCTTCACTAGTTGTGGGGGCGCCAGCACAATTTCATTTTTCCTCTGTTTTTGGAGACTTGCCGGTTGAGTCATTGTGGTTTCCTGGTATCCCAAGGTCAGCCTGGCTAGGGTCTGCCGAGAGTTGAGAATTCATTTGATAAGTCTGAAAGTGCTTGCAACCAACCGCATCTATTTCAGAGAGTTCGTATGGCGAAGTAAAAGTGAAACGGAAAAAACATGGCATGAGAAGATTCGTCTAGGTCATTAGCATATTAAGTGGACATTAGCGAATCGAACTACGCAGAGATAGAATAATAATAAGGGGATATGATTTTGACAATTCCTCAAACTGCTAGGAATAGAAGTCTCGCCTCTAACTGAAGGATAAAAGCATTCAGAAATGCCTGCAATAGCACTCCATCCCATTGAAAATTAGCAATATTGTGCTGACCGCTCTCTTTTTGTCTGCATTGTAAATGCTTCAGGATAAAGTGTTATGACTAGTCCGGTCGCTTCTTCCCTGATAATTCTTGTTTGGACGAAATGTCGTTCAACCACATCTTGCTACGAGTAACATGAGGCCCAGCACATTTTCCATCCGATTCTTTTCTTAGCGAGAGTCGTTAATGGTGGTGGTTTGCTTCTAACAAGGAGTTATGTGCGAACATCATAAGAAGTTGAGTGCAATATTATCTGCTCTTGGAATTCTGTCTGTTTTCATATACTCAGTCACAACCAGGACTTCAGAGGGAAGAATCCAACAAGGTTTGAAAGGAAAAGGCTGGTGTAGAATATCTGCGTTATCAATTTCATATCATAGTGAGAAGATCTAAGGTATTATATTCATAGAAGTTTTAACACCATTTCTTTAGACCGAATTAAGTGTGGTGGAGTAGGATTGTGCTTTGGTTTCCTTCTTTTCTAGAACAACTCACTAGTAATAGGGATGCGATCTGAATTTTCCGCTCTAGGAACAAGGCGAGTTCAGTACAAATTTTTGATTCTCCTTCAAGCGTTTTTGTCGACCATGTGAGAAACTGATTTTGTTCAGGATGTTCTCATCAAGCATGAGTCATCTTTGTCTTCTTGTGCGCTGGCATGAGTCCTTTGCCAGCCCATGAGAGGTAAAATGAGATTTTCGCAGCCAGAAGGCAGTGATCACGTTTGATACAGAAGGATGACACTATAGAAATGTCAACGATTTACTATATCTTCCTTATGATGATGTGATCGGTCTCCATATGTATGATTGCCATAGAGCTCTCATGTTCACCAGCAATTCTCCTTCTAAAACATGGATTCTATGGAAAAGCCATGAGGTGCACAAGAGTCCTGCAATTCGGTTTTCATCCTAATTTCGGTCTCTAAATTTTTCAGTCTTGTATTTGCAGTCATCAGCCTTCGCCAATCCGGCATTAAAGTCTTCGGCAATAAAATTTTGTGAATCGAAAAAGCGACTCGTCGAAGCGGACTCCGGACTTAAAAAGTAGCTTCAGCTTAACCTGGTTCAATACCGATTTGGGCTCCCCAGATTAATGCCGTTGATAGGTGATTGCTGAGATTATACCACCTATAAAACACTGCTGAGAGAAAGGCGAAACGAAGGACCCGCATTGTGTGGTGGGGAACGCGTTAACCTTCGGAAAGGCTAATAACAGGTTCGATCCCCATCGCAGACACCTGAGGTCCGGGGTTTTGCAATTATCTCAGCATCATTATGGAAGCTGCTATTATTGCAACAATTCCGGCCTGAAACATGGGTACTCAAACCATTACATGAAAAATAATGATGTGACGGTAACAGCATAGCAAGATCAACTAATGTAGGGATAAACAACATAATGCCGCGATCAATACGCAAAGTTAAAACAAAGGGTGAGGAAGAACACTAGCAATAGGAACATGAAGGACATTGCTTTTCCAATTAATGAACTACGAGATCGTGCAAAATCACCATATTGAATGTTTTCTTCAGTTCGTTAACCTTTCATTGAGCAACATTTGCAGTTTATTTTCTTCGACAGCGGTCCAATCAGACTTAAGAACAAGGGAGAAAATGAGTCATTAAAAGCTACAAAGCATTCGGTAACAAGAAATGGCAATACCTGTGAAATCTCAATTAATGTCTGTGAAGAAGGACCCATGAAATTTTTCCATTTTTCAGCTCCATGTTGGCTCTGCGCACCCAGAGGTCACCGTTGAATCATCAAGAGTTGGTTCCAGTATTCATTGCAAGGAATCGACGTTGTCGTTAGATAACAATGACTCTGAGACGCTGCTTTGAATTCATCTGCCAATGAACGTTTCCTGGATTTCGTCGCTACATGAGGAGCAGCAAATTCCTTGTAGCTGCTGGATGTGGCTTTATCTCAAGGACACTGGTTGGATACTTTTAAACAGCCTTCGCGGATGTGAAATTCTCTGAACATCTGTATTTCTCATGTTGTTCATTATTACGGGTTCTACATTTAACTATTACCGTTATGCTATCTTTGCCATATGCGTTTGTCCATCGTATTCCTAGTTATTTTTATTGGTTTTTGTTGTCATCTCAGCTAAAGATGTGCTAGTAATGGCTGGTTTTTTAGTAGTAAGCATTGATTGCCGATATTTTAAATCTCACACCACTTTGTACTGTCACTTACCGCCCAGTTGTTACTCCACGGCATTTTGTCTATCTGCCTTTTTGTGTTGTACTTCCTTTGCTACGCAATGTGCATGTGCACTAAATCTATATTGGACAGTTAGTGCCTGGCTGGTTTCTATAGTTCCAATTAGGTTTGATTGCCTTCCGTGCACCAAAGTTCTCGTTGGGGTTCAATTCGCTCAAGTGTTTGGGTTTCATTAAGTCTTTGATATCCTTAAGAAGATGAATTTGGTGATTAATTTATAAACCAGACTTGAGAAGAAACTGAACACAACTATGATACTCTTCTTGATCGCCTTTGTTTGAAAATGACAGCGCGTGATATCGTCTAGGATTTCGATATGTCCATTTTTAAGAAATGTGATGTCAAGTGGGTGGAGAGAGACGCATATAACCCAGGCAGACCCTGGTTTGACGTAACCTATAGTGACATTGTGCAGTCAGAAATGGGATTTTCTTAGAATTTCGGAAAAGCATTCTCGAGTAACTCCTCCGCTGTCATCTAAGCATACGTAGATATCCAGTAAGAGAACATTACCACGTCGAATCTCGTAAATGCTTTGAAAAGTGAGGGATTATCTAGGATGTTAACATCGCGAGTAGATGTGGACAGCAACCAATTTTAACAATACTGCTTTATTGGAACAGTACTGCGGCAACCAACGAAATGATAGTCGCACCAAAAACAGAACAAATGTTAACACTAGCGTGTTCTTTACTCTGATGACTTTGGTACTCTTGATAGGCTTAGAGGCAGGCGAAACGAACAACTTGCATGGTGTGGTGGTGAAGGCGTTAGTCACCAGAAAGGGTCATATCGTGTTAGGTTCCCACAGACACCAGCGGTACAGAGTTTTGCAAACATCTCAACAACATTATGGTTATAAAGCTAAAGCTCTAAAGCTTTCGGCGTTGATCTTGATCAATCCCTGAGGGATGCGACATGCATTCGACCATTAAGTATCGTTGGACGTGATCGAATGCATACCTGGTCTTTACAATGACTCGCGGTGGCCTACCGATGTATCGAGCCAGCGCTGCTATCCTTCCAGACAAGTCTGGTACCAATTTGCCGACTCCGGAAGGATGGAAGGCTTGGTGAGCCACGGACGCAGGGATGGATTCCACGTGTGCGTCACAGTGATGCTTCCAAGCACTGCGCCATACGCGCCCTTTCATTATGGTTATATTTCACATAATTCCTTGCCATTAAAAATAAAACAAAAGTAGGCAGTAAAAAGAAAATTGATGACATTGCGATTAATTCTCATTTCAATTTTTCATGAACATGAACCTTCAACAGGTTCGAATCGAAAGAGCATCTTAGAACAATCATTTCCACACTCAGGGTAGTAACGCAAAGTCTCTTTTACGAGTTCTCATGTCCTTAACTGCTCTAGTTATCCAAAAATTACCGACAATTGTCAAAAAGCCAGCATCGGCAGTTATGGGTTATTCCCACTTTCTAAGCGATGGAACACTAAAACACATCAAGACTATAAGCAACGATATAGAAAGTTAGTTATCAGACTGAACTACAAGATTTAAAGAACTACGAATTGAAGGAATACGAGCGTGCCAGAAATGGGAAAGGCGGACAATTCTCCAAGAAGATGGCAATTTTCATGTGTCACCTTAAGGAATTATCACTCTATGAGAGGAACCATAGCTAGGGAATAGGTTTCGGAATTTCCCACCATTAATTTTACTCCTACTTTGAAGCATTTTCTTCGAGCTAGTTAAGTAAATACTAAATAATTATAGTGGCCATGACCGACAGGGTCTACCTGATTGCAGAGCGAAGGGCATGTCGCCGCTGATTTCTGGCTACTTCACATTCTATATCTATGGTGCTGGATACTGGAGACGATTTGACTCGATACGATGACGAGGGCTACACGTCGAGAATAAGAACGAATGTGAACCATGGACACGGATCATCGCCTCCGAAGAAGACGAAAACGTCGAAATGTTAGTCGAATGGAGTTTTTATTAGCCCTGTGTTAGCTTATCAGTGAGAGAATAGATGGGTAAATGTTGTGATGTCGTGAATCTCATGAAGACCATTTGTTATTAGGATTGTGAGGGCTCCTACTAGACAAATTAGTAAGCGTTGTCGATTTTTCGACGATCTACACTGGTCGTCTGGTGGTTTTTGCCTTTGCTTGCTCGCATCTCAGATCAGCACTGGCTTCGAACTAAACGCTTTCCTCTGCTTTTGTACAGTTGCCAAACAGCTGTTACTAGCATTTCTTAAGAATGGTATACGTTTAGCAATAATAGGCCTATTCGATTTTTGACAACACTCGCAATGTTTGTCTCGGTGGTACGATAAGGCAACGAGACCCATTGCATCGTCATCTTCATTTTGGCCCATATCATTCCAAGTGTGATAACATGAGTGCTCTCGAACGAATCTAAAATAATCTGTATCTAAAAATACTTGTTTAAAGTATGTTAGCTGTGGTACTATGTTTGCACCCTAATGAAGTGTATCGTAAAGCGCTACGGTGATTGATAGAAGACACCTTGATTGACGACAGCCCAAAGAGAGATCCATTACAATGGATGACAGTGATACGTCAAAATTAACGGTTACATTGAAATATTATTCTGTCTTTCTATTTCAGGAATGTTTTTGTTGTTTTTGTATTTTTTGTAGTTTCCGGTCATGTGGCAGCATCCCCACGTGCTTGGGAATACTCAAGAATAGGCAATATTTCTTTCCTACTCAACTCCTTAATTCATCGAGCTTTCGTCCAACAGGCATTTTCTTGCTGATTTCTGTAAGAGATGGCTTTTTTCTTGGGACCATACAAGCACGCGCTGTCCCCTTGCATCCCATTATGCCAGCACTGTGATACGCCATCATCTTCCGTGCTTTTACAATGAGAAAGTTGAGAAGTGAAGGACATATTCTCCCTTCAGGCTTCGTCAATCTTGCTTTAACTTTTATTGACGTGTGAATTTTGGGATCTAAGAGATAAACAAGAGCAAAAAATTGAACGTACAGGTATGTTCATCCAGTCCTAGCAAAACAGTTCTCCTTCTTCACTTCTCAACTTTCTAATACAGCAGTTATAAAAAAATTTTTTCAAAAAATGATAGATTTCATGGCTGCCAATATGAACTTCTTGGTAGCCATTTAACACTTTCTATATGAAGCTCCTCCCAACGGTTTCTCGCCTCATCGTGGCTGGGAAGTGTTCCTGGGTGTCGGACTGCGATCTACAGTGGATTCATCTCCTGGCAAGGTCTCCCAAACTGAGGAGTCCGGCGTTTCCATTAGGAAGCCTAGCTAAGAGTAAACCAATACCAGAATCCACCACCGTCCTGGTATCAAAGTCGCATGGTGGCAAATCTCCCTCTGATCCACAAAGGCTGCGACTACCTGTAGTAGTGACGACCTGGGGCAGACTTCGGCCAGACTGACCTCAGGATTTCAGGTGACCACAATGGCTTAACCAGCAAATCTCCTAAAAATGGAGATTATGCTGGGGCCCGCACAACCAGTGAGGGCGGGCCATTCAAGTATTAAGTAAGTATATGGAGCTATGGAGCTTTTTATGTTTCCGGCCAATGCGCATTTCTCTGAGCAATGCTCCATTCTAAGGAGTAGACCCGATCCAGACTTGGGCAGGTAGCCACTATACAAGGCATTTGCCATCTGCGTGTCGATTGGAATGTTGGCAGTCAAAGGGACCGCCCAAATTCATTTTTTCCAGCAACATTATACGACAAGTCATTCGTTGCCCAATCAAGCATATATGCTTTCGAGAGGACCACCAAGGTATTAGCGTGAGCATAAAATTAAAAGTTTGAGTATAAGTGAAAAAGTAAACTGGGTAGTAAACATTTAGTAAAAATTATTTAACTTATAGTAAAGGTCGCTGATATAAATATAGCGCGAGGCTAAAAATACAACCACAACAATAACAAGTAGGTATTGAATAACAAATGAGGTTAAATGGAATACAGATATGGTAAAATTATTAGAAATGTCAGTTAGGAGCAGCACTCAATAACGGGAACTAGGTTATAATTCTCTGGGGGACTCTTGTCTCTTTCTGAAATGGAGCTCTCCGTGCTACTCGTACTGACCACATGAACGCACTTCCGGACGAGTTGCCAGTGCTCAAATGTTGCCCTGCGTCTCGTCGACCCGCGTTGTGTCTCATCGGTCACTAGCTGTGGACGCCCTGGAGGCCATTGGCTTGGCCCGCCCACTGTGGCTCTACCACCGGACGACTCGTCGCCGTCTTCCCGTTCCTCTATCGCGTTATTCTATCTCACTCATCACCTCTCCACTCGTAGAACATTCGTGAATCACGACAGTAAATAGTAAGAATTTTACAAAAAAGAGTACGGTATAGTTACTGGCAGTTCTCGAAAATGGTTTGATGCTCTTTCTCGATCCTTGTAGTGCTGCTGAAACATGAATCTGAAGCGAAAACATATCTGATTTATGCTTTTCGTGGCCGCGACTGTAACCCACAGTGCTCGACGTCCGTTGAGCACAATGCATTTGGTGTAGCGACAACAGCCGCTTTGAAGTCTGAACCAACACATTTCAGCGTTCAGTGAACTTTATTAGTTGCAATAGATATGGGCTGAACTAAGAGAATTTAATCACAACTTCTCTTCTTTCACCAAGACGAAATTCTGATTTCTCCGCATCTGCGCTTCTATTTCGAGCATTAAATTCGTGCATGTGGATTCCGCGATTGTGTTTCGAATTTCGAAAGTTTTAATTTCGTCCTCAGTTCCTAAAGATTCCAGTTCTTAACATATTTGAAATTAAACGGATACTTTATAAAAACTACACACTTGCTGTAGGACATAGAACAAAGTCTCTTCTATAAATCTGTGAAACTCCGAACCCCTCATACACTAACACGCGAGGAAATTCCGTCAGTTGTCGAAAAGCCAGCTCGTGACGGACTAATTGAATGGTAAATTCCGAGGCTCTTCGACTTTTCCAAGCGCTATCGGGAAATTGTTTTACAATACTTTCATATTATCCATCATAGAGCATTGATTTCATGTTCTGCAGTGCAGGAAAAGTTTTGTGCAGTGTTGCGCAGCTCGTTGAAGCTGCAGAGTGCTATGACTTTTGCTCTACCTCAAAATGAGAGAATTACACCGAGTAGCTTTCTTGATTAAAAGCATAAGGGCTAAAGTTTTCGGCGTTGATCAATCCCTGAGAGATACGCCATGCATTCGACTTCATTAAGCATCGTTTGGAGGTAGTTGAATGCATATCTGGCTTTTACAATGACTCGCGGTGGACTACCGATGTATCGAGCCAGCGCTGCTATCCTCCCAGACAAGTTTGGTGCCAATTTGCGACTCCGGAGGGATGGAAGGCTTGGTGGGCCATGGGCGCGGGAACCAATTCCACGTGTGCGTCGTAGTGGCGCCTCCAACAGCTGCGCCCCACGCGCCCTGCTTTCTTGACTAAAATGGAAAAATAGGAAAAAACACACGGCAATCTTTTAATTTAAAGAACTAAATTATTACATAGAAGTTGGGCTCGATGCAAAATTGTGTCGCTTTATTTTAGCAATTTTATTGATGACAAGTTTTCACTGAATAAGTTTTACGCCATTTGGTCGCAAGAGAAGAGAACTCGTCCACTCGAAGGAGACATCGGCGGCGACCGGAGTGTCGGCTTTGAGTGTGAAATGCGCGCTGACGTCGCGGAGAGACTCTTGGCCCGAGCTTTCGGATACTACAGGTGAATAACCAATCGGAAATATGAAAATCAACAATTTCGCTCATTGCGTTCACCAGTGCACACCATAGTTAAGCAGCGACACCGAGCTCTGTGAAGATCGATGTGTCCCATAACTCGGATATTGCTTCGAAAACGATTTCCATTTGAGTATTCGATGCTTTCAGCGGGGTTGTCATCGCATGTCCATTACCCTTCATTATCACACCAGTTCTCGTCACAATAGGACTTTCAACTGGCCTGCAATGGTATACACAGGCGTTGGTAAAGGTGAGGCGGTCTTCTTTATATAAGAATAACCCAAATTTTAATCTCTTCCTCTAGTTGTCTATTTCACTACAGAATTCGATGAGGTCGTGTAGTCTTCAGAAAGAAATAAATGGTATTCATAAGCATTAAGAATACAATATTCAGAGAGAGAAAAAGTAAAAATGTTACTGATTTAGCGAAACGAAAAACCCACATGGTGTGCTAGTGAACGCGTAAGCCTTCGGAAAAGGTAATAGGGCGTTCGTTTCCCACCGCAAGACACCTGGGTTCTGGAGTTTTGCAAATATCTCAGCATCATTGTGGTTATTGATTTATTTTGTTAATCAGAAACTGATTTCTAAATGTTGCCATTTCTGCTTCTCTACATTATTTCTTGGAGTAGGAAAGAGCAAGGCAGTTCCAAAGAACAAACAAAACCTAATGTGGTCACTTTGCTACTTCGTCATATAGTCGCTTACCTATTATACGGTAGAAGTGAGATTGACCTCAATTTAAGTGTAGAATGTATCAGTGAGAATCATTCGATTGGAGATGAGGCCTTATCTACACATAAAGTGAAGTATGTACACATAGAAAATTTTTGGCTCACTGAAACATTGAAATATAACCTGGAGAATGCGAAAGCAAATTGCTAAATCCCATGCTCATAACAATATTTTGTCCGAAAGGGAGATCAGATATTATTCAATATCCTGGAATGAAATTTATTTTAAGGATGAGATCGATCTCTACACGCCAACAAATGCTCGAGTCAGAGCTGAAATTAAGCAACTTGACGCTCTCTTCCACATCAACGACACGGACCCATTCTACGCCACTAGAAGGTGAGCAGAAACTTGGAGTCCTACGTTTCGAAGAAATTCATGATAACCAGCCAAAAGGCACATTAATGACTTAAGCAGTTCCTCTTCCATAAGAGTAAGTCTTTTAAGTTAATAATTGAACAAAACAAGTACTGCGCGAAATTTTTCCTCGTCTTTGATGTTCTAACATCTTAATAGCATTTTTAGAAAGTTGGGTGTCAAGTAGGTGTGTTTGTGTTTTTTTCGATCTTCCTAGTTTTCCGCGCGTTCTTTCCGAACAACTCTAAACGGTTGAACATACTTTTTTTTTATTTCGGTTATTATACGACCCCTCTTTCACACCTACTATGAGGATCTCAGCACTTCTTGCATTGGATTCATTCATTCTTGCATGCATCATCCACGAAGGTCTTCCAACTTTTACGTGTGGATTTAGCTGCTGCTTGAGAATTTTCCTTTCATCTTGAATGTCGTAGAACGCTGGTCGACTTCATTCTCCCTGGAGTACTGAAATAGCAGCATACGGCGTTCCTATTTGACTTGAAGACAGTGATTTTTTTCGGAGGTTTGATGAGCTTGAGGAGGGATCGAACCCTCGCCGTCATCATAATGATCGGCCTCACTGCCACTGTGTTATCCGACCACTACACAATTAAATGTAATGTGCTAGAATTGTTTGCTCGGTTGAGAAACCTGCCGCAGTAAGCAGAACCTCTGTTATCACGTCCTTCATGGTTGCCAGGGAAGTTCTATTAATGAGGTTTGCCTAATCTCCGATGCGACTTCAGCAGAGGATCGTTCCTCTTTCTTAAAAGGAGATATAGTTGAGAAGTTAGATAAATTGCAGAGCTAACGGTCGCGAGCGAATTATGCTTTTTTGAAAGAAATTAAGCAACGAAGGGAGTCTTGACTGGTTTCATTGGTAAGCGTGGACTGCTTTGAGTTGCATAACTCTTTCTATGACTATATTCTAGAAATGCAATTGCTTCTTAAGATTCTTGTGCAGTAGAGGCTTTAAAGAACCATCAAGTCCCAACTACGGTACATTGCATTGACAAATTATGTTTCACAACTTTCCGGAAAAATGTCATTTCCTACTGTCGCTTTTTGTGAGGTTATCCAATTGCTTAGAGGGCGCTGTTAAACTGCACATCACCACGCGACCACTAGGAAGAGGTTCAAAGATCCCTTAACAATAGAAAGTTAATTAGGTTAGTCAGGTTAATTAGGAGTTAATTAGGTTAATTAGAAGTATTTGGCGTTTGTCAGAAACTAGCACGGTGTAGATGTTCGTTGTTTTGAGATACGACGTGAGACGAACTGGTTACATCATCATAACTCATCGTGATGAGGACCAGGGCATCATGAATCCGCTAGTCATGCAATCTGCCATGCAGCTCTGGAGCATCGTACAGGTTCCTTCCGAGACATCTATTTTTGTTACCTCTAGCTATCGAGCGCCTTAATGCTTGCATCTAAATTAAACTAATAATTAATTTCAACTCGAAAGCAGATGATAATTCTTATCGATCTAGAGGAGGAAGGAATTCCTCGCCCACAACCACAGCTCGTTGTTTTGACATTTCGAGCTAATGATTTTTAGGTTTTATAACTATCTCGCTCCTACGCATTGACCTCAATACTCCTCATGTTATTATTATTGTGATTTCTATTTCGTATTTTACTGTGGTTGTTATTATTTTCATGACTTTTGGCAGAAATTCTATAAGAGAGTTTTTCAGTCGCTAACTGTGGAGGACCAGGACCGACGAATCAACTACCCAGGAATTTGCGTAAAGTTTCCCATTCCGGAAGAGTTAAGCGGCGCTCTACACATGTTCTTCGGTCCTAACGTCACCACGTGGGCACTTGTTTGTACTCTGCTTTCAACCTATAGATTTTCCTTTTCCCTTGTGCTTTTTTCCCTTATTTTCTATTATGAATTATCTTGATGAAATATTAGAACAGTTTATTACCCTAAGAATATCCACGGTGCCTCTACCGCGGCCAACCGAAATGGTAGTTCATCACCCACGAAGGTTACGAAGAAAGTTGAAAGCAAGAAAAATTTACTTTCCCACACTTTCAGGTGCATGCTACGCATCCATCGCTATGAAACCTACAGCAGTTAGTATGAAATTATTTTGGTTGCTTCAGTTGTATTGAAAGTTGGTAAGCTGTACAGCGTGCTGGTAGCCAGTTGATAGCGGTGCCACTAACTACGAACAATGCGCGAGCTCAATCTCACACAGTATCTCCTAGCCTCTCATACTTCTGTGGTCGAAAAGCCAATACCAAGCTTGTCTGACTTACACTAATCTAAGTAGGAGCTCCATAGCACGGCTATCCCAAGACTCCAGGGAGAATCAACTTGACCAGCATGCAGCATGCATGGAAGAACACAGAAAAATCTTCAACCGAACCAGGAGCCGAACCCATGCGCGAACAGTTTGAAAACCTTTGTTAATGGTGGATACAAGGAAACAATTCTCCAGAGACAGTCATAGTCTTGTGAGGACTCACAGTTGAAGCAGATAAGTTTGCTTGTTGATGAAACAAATTTAAGTAACGGCTGTGATGGTGTGTGCCGATAGTGCTTGTTTGTGAACTCTTAATCCCAACCGTAGCCCTGTTGTTGCAATTCCATACGCTCCATTCGTGCTCACAAACACCGATCACATCGCGGTTTGTCGCAAACAGTAAAGAGCGAGGAATGCATCGAATATGGGACTAGTTGTATTTCAAAATTAGGGAGCATGATCATGATTTGTTCGAGTTCAAACAAATGGTTATTTCCTGACTTTGATTTCAGGCCTGTTGATTTCTTAGCTAGCTATCATAATTAAAGTTCACATTCCAACGGTTTACCGCCTCATCGTGCCTAGGAGATGTTCCTGGGTGTCGGACTGCGATGTACAGCGGGGAGGTTCATTCACCTGGCAGGGTCTGCTTAGCTGAGAAGGAGTCCGACGTTTCCATTAGAAAGCCTTGCTAAGAGTAAACCAATACCAGGACCCATCACCGTCCTGATATCAAAGCTGCATGGTGGGAAATCTCCCTCTGATTCATAAGGGCTGTGACGCCCTGTGGTGGTGACGACCTGGAGCAAACTTTGGCTAGGTTGACCTCGGAATTCCAGGGAGCCACAATGGCTTAACCAGCAAATCTCTGAAAAGTGGAGATTATGCTGGGGCCCGTTCTACCAATGAGGACCTGCCATTTAAGTGTCAAGTGTCAAGTAAATAATTAAAGTTCAATACCGTTTTTTTTACACACTTCGTGCATTACGAATATCAGACCTGTTGTATCTCTCTCGACTGGCTTGATCGACTATTCGAGGGAATCACTGCTGCCCTGAAAGAATTTTAGTCACATGGCAGCAAACGTCCATGTGATCAGTAGGACGATTGCGTGTGATGGAAAACGGAGGACGCCGTAGCACGGCCATCTCTGAGTCGAGGAGCATTCGCGACAAAATTTCAGTAACGATAAAAGACAACAGATCCTGAAGCCTTGACAGAATCCATGCGTGAACCCAAATACTGCCATGGATGGTGGTTGTAGGAAAACGAAACAATTGCCGAAAGTCGCATAATGGTTCTTTTTGTCATGCAACAAAATCCTTTACTTTTAGGTAATACTTAGAATTGATTTTCGACAAATATACTTTATAATGGGTTAGAGTCGTGGAAAATCTACACTTAACGCATTACGCTTAGTGCTATATGTTTAACCCAGAAAAATGAAAAAAACAATAATGCCTTAACAAGCGCACTTTTCAGTTGGATGAACAGTCTAGGGAACCCTTTGTTCGGTTCTTGTAAACATTTTTTGTCCCACTCTACAATTCACTTAAGCACAAAATTCTTTCCATGGTTTAAATAACCAGTAACCGCGGATTTTTTTTATCGCTGAGTTATGCAGTTCTGTAGTTAAGTAGCGAAAGTAGAGGAGAGGACAGATTTATATGTGCAGCCTACGTCCTTGGTGAAATAAAGCGCTTGAGTAGTATCTTGTCCTAATAAGTAAACAATCTAGTAGTATATTCTTACGCAAACGGTAAAACCGTATTCGACTTCGCACGTGTGTTTGCCGATACGCCATTGAAGCTGCACTTATCCGAAGGCAAACGGATTGCTTAAACGAGGCGGTTAGTGCTCAACAACGTACCAGCCAGTGTTGAGGTCCGATTGGCGAACACCAATGAGGAGCGGTCTCGTTCTCACGAAAAGCTTACCAGTGATCGAGTTAGTTAACGAGCTGTTATTAAGACAGGGGAAGATCTCGAAATCGTCTGTAGATGACATTTTCTACGGGAGTTGTGGGCAGACCTATAAAGAAAGAAGAAAAGTGTCCTAAGGCATATATATGCGATCGTCCCATTGAATCCAAAGTCGTCCTTGTGAAATTAGTGCTTAATTGTGTGAATTCTGTTGGTTATCAATCAAATTATAGGATCCAGAAGGAAACCAGACAAGTGAAGTCAGTTAAAAATCCGCGGACAGAAATCAGCTACGGTACCAATTCAAGGAATTCCCTCCTCTTTGTTTTTCGTAATCTAAATTTGGATTCAATGGGAAAAAGCATGAGAAGTGATTGAAATTGGCGCTGCTTCTATTCTCCAAGGCAATCTATGAATCTTGCAGATCTTTCGCCGCTCATACAGTGCGAATCAACTCGAGTCAGTCTCTGTCATCTGGTGCTAGTTCTCACAAAAAAAAGTACAATTTAAATCATGCTTGTATAGCTCGGTCACCTGAGAAAATGGTGATACTCGCTGGCATGAATTCATAGTTGACCGATTTCGTGATAACAGCGGTTTAATGCAATGTCTGAAAAACAGCGAAAATTAGGTTTATTTGTTTGAAAAGCCGAGCTATCAGTACTTGGAGCTCGGAGGAAAACCAGCTTCATCTATCGACACTATGAAACAGCTTGAGTAAGTCATTGATTTTAGCACGGTTACGGTAGTCAACAGTTCCGCAGTGAGCAGTTTGTGAAGCACCACGGTTCTAACGTTACGCGCCATGTGAGAGATATTTACAGTGCCATCAAAGAACAGAACAACGCTGAAATTTGTGACCAGTGTCAAGTTTAAGCTTTGTCGAATTGTTTTATGACCACCAATCGTTCAATTTTTTCATAAATACTGTTGTGTCAGCGCTTTACTTTACGCTTTACTTTGCCCGCGAGCAAAATATGAGCTATATATGCACGCTACTACACCTCCTTGTTCTGATCCACTGGTTTTTTGATCTCGTGACAAATATTCGTAACCTACTTTGCAATCAGAATTTCTTTTTTGTATTTTTTAGTTTTTTTTTTACTACCCTTTCACAAGGGCTCGTGTGGCACAGTGCTATGAGTGGTATGAGGCGCCCTGCAACACACACGTGGAGTCGATCCCCGAGTCCGTGACCCACCAAGCCTTCCATCCCTGCTGGGTCGGCAAATTGGCACCAGACTTTTCTGGAAGGATAGCAGCGCTGGCTCGAAACAGCGGTAGGCCACTGCGAGTCATTGTAAAGGCCAGATATGCATCCTGTCACTTCAAAACGATGCTTAATGAAGTCGAATGCACGGCGCATCCCTCAGAGATTGATCAACGCCGAGAGCTTTTTTGCTTCAACCATGCTTTAAACGCACCCGTTAGATTATGCAGCATTGATGTTGCACACATCGTGAACCTAGGACATCTTCGGCTTGATTCCAACCATTATATTGCAGGCCTGAGCGGATCTGTCTGTCGAATCCGTTGGTGGAAATTGTCAAGCTCATGCTGCTGTCGGACTTCTCGTTCCTGAATCAAACACGGAGCGAGTTGATCCTAGAGGAGGTATTCAACGCTATTCTACCTGATGCCGACAGGGCCACTCATTTTTTCGGAGGTGTGACAATCGACGATGAGAAGCGCGTCGTAGGTGAGCACATGCAGAAATTTTCTTTGATGAACGAAGTTCGTTACTACATAACTTTCTGCAAACGCTGCATGTCGTGAACTTAAATAAACGATATTTATTATCAGTGAAATATTTGAAACTTAATAGCCGAAGCTAGTTTTTCGCAAGCTGCTGCTGTTTTTTCTATAACTAACATACCTGAGGAGTAGGAAACTTCACCAGCTTATGAAAAATACTTTACTCAGTCTATTCAAGAGTTAGTATGGTTTTTTAGTCCTGTTAATTAACATTTAAAGTGGATTTCTCTCAAAGACAAGGGCCTACTTTCAAATTTTAAAAATTCCAAACACGCACTTAAGGACATCATTATGCTCACTAATGGACGGAATACCAGGATCCAGCACCGTCTTGGTATCAAAGTCGCATGGTGGCAAATCTCCCTCTGATTTACAAGGGCTGCGACTGCCTGTGGTGGTGAAGACCTGGAGCAGACTATGGCCAAGCTGACCTAGGGATTTCGGGCAACCACAATAGCTAAACCAGCAAATCTCCGAAAAATGGAGGTTGTGGTAGGGCCCGCACAACCACTGAGGACGGGCCATTCAAGTACCAAGTATCAAGTAATGGGCGAAACACGGCTTGTTCAATTGCTTTTATTGTCGGGCCTCGACGAGAAAAAGAATGATAAATTGCGACTAACGAGAAAATCAGAATATGATCTGGGTAGATTAGGAAATATCGTACTCAGTTGGCGAAGATCTGTAGATTTTAATGATTTCTGCGTCAATTAGTAAAGTTCACCTTGAGATGAGATCACACAACGTGGATGGAGTAATGAATATATTAGAAAAATCTGCTTGACAAACAGAGTGAGGTAAAATTGTTGTGTTAATCAACACTAAGGGCATTCATATGGATTCATTTTCGGTCTCAAATATTCGTCCCCGGAGTTGAACATTCTTACAAGTAATTTTTCCTTCGTTTGCTTTCCAGAAATCTTAAGTGTTGCCTTTAAGGTGCGAAGGCGATGAAGCTACCGTACGCATTACGACATTTCTCTCAAGACGACGAATGGCTAGCACGGCAGTGGGAACTAAGGCTGTCCGATTTTCTATTGCACGTAAGTGGTGTTAATTCGAGTATTCGTCCACTTCTAAATGAATCACAATTTTGTCGAGATGCCACAACTGTCCCACTGAAGCCAGCGGTGGCCCTATTCATAACGGTAGATATTAAGGAGAAGCGACGAAGGATATCAACCTAGAAGTTCAACGTTTTCTCGTTAATGTTCTCAATGTCGCAATTTAGTACTATTCACCTGTCATTCGTGTCAACTGGTGGACGTACGAAACAATTTCCGCTGAGACTTCAAAAGATCTTAATAAGTTAATCAGGTACGAGAAAGCCGACACATCTCCTTACGCAGTTGAGTAGTCCGCGTTACTAGTTGAATGAAACCAAGACGTATTCAATAACGTGTTTTTGGAACGCTTCTTATTTCTATTCTTTTTTATAATAAGTGACAATTTCTGAAACGTGAGGCCCAGAGGAAGAGCAAGGAACGGCAAACGAAGTTTCTCCTCGTGCCTTTTTTCTTTTCAATCACTATTGGAATATCTTATAGTTTATCTGTATAACTTCAATAGGTGGTTTCTTTCTTTTTACTTGACTTCGATTCATTTCTTAGAAATCCTACAGGTTTGAGAAGTCGATTTGTAAAATGTGACAATGATATCTGATTTTCTCATATTCTATTCTGTTCTTTCCTCCTCCGTTTAACTGATGATGTTGGACGACATCAGCATTACCTGGAGCTTCGAAATGGCCACTAGAAGACATTCTAGAGTTGACAACAGAGGCTTCCTCGAAGGTGGACGATCATGGTGCTGCTTTGATCCCGCCCTAAGCTCGCTAAGCCTGTCATCACTCAGGAGTCGGGAAATTGGTACCAGACTTTCCAGGAGAAAACTCACTCTCTGCAATCCAATTGGGAATGCTCCATCCCGGCCATCTCAGGACTCCACTGAGATTCGACTCAACCAGCACTCTACGACATTCAAGACGAAATGAAAATCCTTGAGCAGCGGCCGAAGCCACACGTAAAAGTTACAAAACCTTCATGGATGGTGAATACGAGGAAACGAATCCAATGTGAGAAGTGCTGGGGTCCGCACAGTAGACATAAAAGTGGGTCATATAAAATAAAAAAAACAATGTCGTTACTAACTGCTTTTGTTGATCTGAAGCGAGGTTGGTATAAGTTGCCATTTTTGTTTGTGTTGTTGTTGCTGTCGTTGTTGTTGTTGTTGTTGTCGTTGTCGTTGTTGCTGTCGTTGTTGTTGTTGTTGTTGTTGTTACTGTTGTTTTGTTGTTGTTGTTGCCGTTGTTGTCGTTGTCGTTGTTGCTGTTGCTGTTGTTGTTTTGTTGTTGTTGTTGTTATTCCATGGCTGAATCTTCGGCGATTTCACTTTCCTCGAGCCTTCCTCAGAACAGCGAAAACAACAGCAACGGCAAGAATAGCAACAACAACTTATACCAACGTAAAATAAGCTCAACAAGGACAATTTGTAAGAGCGCCTGTATAGATGCAGCAGTTATTTATGCCGATGTTTATACAAAGTCACTCTTTTGAGTTATTTCCACATAGTCACACCAACAGCACTGCAGTGATGATTGTGGTACATGACCATCGAGAGCATTCTGGATTGGTTCTACAGAAGTGCACAAATGTTGTTTTCAATTCTAGCATGGTTGAGCTTGATGGAAGCCGAACTCTCCAGACGATAGTTCTAGAAATTTCATTAAGTATTCATTAACTTAATTCTCGTAAAAGTCCTTAAAATATACGAATTGATCGTAGATCTTATTCAGTAGCAAACTTTTCTTCGTCGTTCAGTATGATTGGTCCGTGCTTCGCTGTCGTGACGGTGTTCACCATCGCCACATGCTGTGTTTGGTCGTGGAGAAGATCGCGCCCGTGGTGAGTTTACATCAATCGTTTTCGTCTACACACTCTGTGACGATTCGGATCGACATCTTCGCTCAGCTGTTCTTAACATTCCTGACAGCTCTGATGGATCCTTGATCTTTTGCTCTCCTTATCCAAATTTCTCATCGTTTTTCATGCAAATATCATCTGACATAGTTCCGCTCGTTTGCTAATATGCCATATTAAATTTTATTATATTATTGAACTTTTCATTTATTGTCTATTGCTTTTCATGAGTGTTTATTATTTGAATACAACCAAAACGATGCTAAAATCTTTGCAAAACTTGGAGCCCAGGCCAGATTTGAACCAGTCCTTACCCTTTTCGGAGCTCACGTGTTACCCATTGCAATACCCCTCGCTCTGCGTCTCTCTCAGCCAGTTTTCTATCCAATGGTGCCATCAGCAATCAGCAGTCAACGGGAATAATCTGCAGAGCACAAATCGGCATTGAAACAAGTTAAGCTGAAGCTGAAGTCGAAATCACAAGGTTTAACTTTTTTGCCTTGCAAATTAATTACTTCAAACATCTCAGCATCATTGTGGTTGTTGTTATTCCGTTTTATGTGTATTAGGTTATATTATCAGGGCGCGTGTGACGAAGTGGTCAGAGGCGCCTTGCAGTACACATGGGATCGATTCTCGTACCTCAGGCCCATGAAGCCCTACATTATTCGGGGTCGGTAAATTGGTGCCGGACTTGCCCAGGAGGATAGCAGCACTGGCTCGATACATCAGTAAGCCACCACGAGTCATTTCTTAGGCCAGTTATGCATTCAATCATCTCCAAACGATGCTTAATGAAGTCGAATGCATGGCGCATCCCTCAGGGATTGATCAACGCTGAGAGCTTTATCCTTTAGTTTTATGTTATATTGTCATCAAATTCTTCTTCCTTCATTCAATCTTTTCCGTCATATTCTGTGCTAGTGAATCGTACATCCTGTAGACTATGCTCTTTCGATGTGTCGTCTTCAATCATTCTTTAGGCTTGCCCTCGCTGGAGTGTTTTCTGCCGCCTTGGCTATTATGTCGGGAATCGGACTGCTTCTACTGGTCGGTTTTGGAATGACCAGTGTCGCATATTCAGTGCCGTTCATTATACTCTGTTGGTTTTTAATTCAATTTTTTAAGGTCGACTTTGTTGTTTGCATCTAAAAGTTTCTTTTACACCTGCGCGTGTTGTTCCTCGTCCCTGAACCTTTCTAGTTTACCTAATTTGTTACCTCTCACAGTGGGAAAGACGGAGATTCGCACAACATCGATATCCCAAGAAGAAAGCGTTAATATCCACCATCGTAAAGTGAGCTCTTTGAGACTGTTCTAACGCTCTTTTCTTTTGATTTAAGTATCTTGCTGATCTTGGCTGTTCCCAGCTAAGCTCACAATTATTCGGGAAGGCAGAAATCTGCACTCACGCTTATTACTTATACAAAAAGCAGATGAAAACCCTTGTTCCCACATTGGAGCTAGAATAAAGTCCCGAATGGCAAATGATAAAGGAAATAATATAGTAAGACATACGAATTAAATAAGCACGTGTATAAAAGAGTGAAAAATAAGCTGGAAGCGCAATGGTATAGATGCCGCTAATCCATACGCGCATGGCCGTTGTTCAACTGCGCGCAGCGAACCGAGCTTCCATTTCCTTAGGGTTGGAAATTGCTAGTATGCTCCTTTGCAAAGCACTCCTTTCGAATGACAAAGATTGGGGACGCCAAACTCTTCAGGGGGGGGGGGGTCTATTTGACCAGTAATTAGCGACATTCACAAAGAAACTGAAATCTGCAAGCAGCAGCCGAACCTGCTCGCAAATCTGTATCTTTTCAGATGTCGACTGAACACTTGATTAATTCTTTCGTTCTGAATTGGCCTCCATTCAATTTAGTTTTTGTTGGTGAGATGACAAGCCTATTAATCGAAAGCAATAGTTTCATCAATACTCATTATGGCTGAAGGAAAGGCTACTCTTAAGTGTCTTATTAAACACAAATTTTAAATAATTCTTTCTACTTCTATTCAGCAAACACGAGGTGCTATTTTATTTCTTTATTTACGTACAAGCTGACGTTTCGGCGGATTTCGCCTTCCTCAGAGCCTGGAAAGGTCAAGTTGACAGCAATCTATTGGGCCAAACACCTCCATAACCAAGCAAAGAAAGCGCTAAACCAAGATTAACATTTACATTTAACACAGCTCCGCACGCTCACCACTTTCTATGGGTTTTCCACTGAGTATGTCGCGGGAAGACCAACCACACAGAATTCATATGGAAGCGTAATGTGCCCCTCCCATCAGAATAACGGGTTTATATACTGTCCAATATCACGCTTGATAATGAGGCATTCTTCCCTGCGGTTCATTTTCGGATTTCTGGAATTAATCGAGAACGCCTCGAGAGTTTTGCGCGCTTGTGTTCTTGATTCCTGTGCGAGGATCTTGACACGAACTTCAAAGTCCTCTCCGTTATGTCACTGGGTCCTATGCGTGCCTAGCGGGGTATTTGGTTTATGTTTGCCGGCTAGTTATGCGAACAGAGAGAGGTCTGCCCGTTTCGCCAATATATTCGTCTCTGCACGCCTTACAGGAGATCAAATAAACTGTACCCGAGCTCATGCAATCACCGTCTTTACCATTGGGGCAAATTATGCAATTTTGTGTTGCACATAGACGGTCATATAGGCGGTTACGAGCTAGCTGGCGCTTAAGGTTACTCTCCTTTCACCCCCCTTACACTGAAAGGGCGCTTATAAGGAACAAGATTACTCGGTGGTGTTTCAACTACGTTTACCGAATTCTCTAGACCCGCCCTTCATAAGCAGCGTTTTATAGCTGCACTTACATCATTTGAGATAAATGGTAGGATAAACGGGACCTTTATGTAATTGAAATCTTGGTTTATCGTTTTCTCTGTTTGGTTATGGAGGTGTTTGGCCGAATAGATTGCTGTCAACTTGACCTTTCCAGGCTCTGAGGAAGGCGAAATCCGCCGAAACGTCAGCTTGTACGTAAATAAAGAAATATAATTGTATTACTAATAATATTATCCACATTTGAATTGTACCATATATTTTCTAACATTCATTAAGCAATATGAGAATTTATAGCGATCACCAGCACGGTATAAACTAACGCGTAGCTATGCTTACACGATAATTTCTAATATTATACCTTAGTACTCTCGGCATAAGGGCGCGTGTGGCGCAGTGGTTGGAGGCGCCACTACGACACACACGTTGAATCGGTCCACAGGCCTATGGCTCACCAAGCCTTCCATCCCTGCGGGGTCGGCAAATTGGTACCAGACTTGCCTGGGAGGATAGCACCACTGGCTCGACACATCTATAGGCCACTGCGAGCTGTTGTAAAGGATGTAGATATGCATTCAACCACCTTCAACGATACTTAATGAAGTCGAATGCATGGCGCCTCCCTCAGGGATTGACCAACGTTGAGAGCTTTATCCTTTTTATCCTTTCTACACATTAACACAGACAAGAAGGCACAAATGATGGCATCGATTTTCACCACTTAACCAGTAGTTCTGTAGCATTCCTTTGTCGATTTCCGAAAAGCTGTTCCAAATGGGCCAATTTCCAATTGAACAAGATTAAATTTAATAAGCGAATATGTTGCGTCCTTCGTCCTTATGGACTATAAAAAGGTGTTTAGAGCTTTTTTTACTCCAAAAGAATAAAAGCTCTCGGCGTTGATCAATCTCTGAGGGATGCGCCATGTATTCGACTTCAATAACTATCGTTGGAGGTGATTGAATGCATATCTGACCTTTACAATGACTCGCGGTGGCCTACCGATGTAAGCCAGTGGTGCTAACCTCCTAAGGCATGGTGGGCCAGGGGCGTGGGGATCGATCCCGTGTGTGTCGAAGTGGCGCCTCCAACCACTGCGCCACACACGCCCTCGTATGGGGCAAATCAGCTAATACAATGTTTTGTCGAATACCACTTCTTGCTCAATATTTTCCCATACAGTAACGAACACGATGAAGCGCTCGTTTTTCGTTCTGTTTACAAACATCTTGAACTCAACAAGTAAGGTATTTGGTATAAGTTTCATTTCGCTTCTATTACGGTTTTAGTAGTAATAGAAGTCATATTTTCTTATTGTTTTACATGACCTGTCATCGCATCTACTGTGCCGATCCCAGCACTGCCTGCATTCGATTCGTTTTCCTCGCTTAATCGTCCACAGTGGTCTTCGAACACTTTACGTGTTGTTTCAGCTGCTGCTTAAGGATCTCGTCTTTTTTATAAATGTCCTAGAATGCTGGTCGATTCAATTCTTCTTGTAGTCTAGAAGTTAGCCGGGCTAAGGCGTTTCCATGTGAATGGGAGAAGAATGTTGGGGCAGGGATCAAATTAGCGCCTTTGCTTCCCAATCGACTGCATCACTAATCACTGCGCTATCCCCGCCACGATAGCCGCAATAACAGTAATAAAATCATCAACAATGGTGAGATATTTTCAGAACTCCGGACCGCAGGTGTCTGCGGTGGGAACGAACGCGCTATTGTGCTTTCCGAGGAGTAACGCGTTCGCCACCACACCATGCGGGCCCTTCGTTTCGGCTGTCTCTCAATTAGTTCTATCGATCTTTGCTATCAGCAATCGCCCGAAAGAACAAGCTGAGAAAGGCGAAACGAAGAACGCGCATGGTGTGGTTGTGAATGCGTTACTCTCCGAGAAGGATAATACCGGGTTCGTTCACCACCGCAGACACCTGCGGTCCGGAGTTTTGCAAATATCTCAGCATTGTTGAAATTATATTTCGCTTTATACCCTGCCATGGAAAAATAGTAGGCAGTAAATAAAACGGTTAAGAAATTAATAAAAGCATTCAATTATAAAAATTCATAATACTAGTAATGACAATGTAGATAAGTAAAGCAAATAAGGCGCTGAAGGTTTTGACTCAGTTTGCTACTTCGAGCCGCTTCGCATCAGTGAAGCCATCAATCAGTTCTGATGTAAGCGAAACTAGGGGTATGTTCACCGACCAGGAAATAAGGTTGAACCGCATAGCTGTAGAGAACGCAAACAGATTAGGTAGTTACGCGGTGGCTGTAGTGAGAACTTAAGCCAAAATGCAGACGAGGTAGAAGATTATCGCACTTTGCGTCTACAACGAATGACCAATCCAAATAAACACCTGGTGTCAATGACGAGCTCCCAAAGGGGTGTTCTAGGATTGTCGAATGAATGATGGAGGCTTGTTCAGTTGAGACGAAAGCGGCAAAACCGTTCAGTGGATAATGCCTTTGCAATAGTTTGATGGTGAAAGACTTCCTTTTCATTTCCATTGAATTTGTACCTGTAGGAAACATAACGCTAGGTTGAGTATGCTGTTCTTTCCATGCGGGGCTTTCGTCGACGCAGACCTCAATATTGGATTATTAGACTACTATTTGAGCAATAACTATTACATGGGCAGCAATACCAGGATCGACCACTGTCCTAAATCAAACTAGTCGCATGGTGGCAAATCTCCTTCTGATCCACAAGAGCTGCGACTGCCTGTGGTGGTGACGACCTGGGCAGACTTTGGCTAGGCTGGCCTCGGTAATCCAGAGAAACACGATAGCTAAACCAGCAGAACTCCGAAAAATGGAGAATATGCAGCGGTTCGCAGAACCAGTATGGACGCACTGGCCAGGTATCCAAGTAAGTATGAGCATTAAACTAGCAAAAAGAGCGGTTAAAAAATCTAAATAGGTCAAAGAATATTGCAGAGGCTATTTTCACCATAATAACGAGATGAAACTATTCTATGATAAGAGGCAGTGCAACTGTAGTTTGGACAAAGCGGTAGAATATATTTTCTGGGACTATTCTATATGAGATAGAGAATAGTCTATGCAAAGCCTTCGTGTCTTTTATTCAATATATCGAGAGTAAACTTACTATAGAATTGGAATTCCTGGGAGCAAATTCTGCGCAACCTGTTTCTTCATTTGCCGTGAGTCTTTGTCAATTTGTTATAATCAAACCTATATATTTCAGCTGTTGGTGTCGACAACGTTTTCATACTTTTGTCTGCTTGGCGTTCAACTCCTTCTCAGGCGTCACTTGAGCAGCGCATGAAGAAGACATTTGCGGACGCGGGAGTCTCCATTACCGTCACTTCACTGACCGACATCATCTCATTCGGTGTTGGATGCACCACTCCATTTCCGAGTGTGCAGGTCAGACTGTTTTCTTGGTATCATAATTATTCGCATACTTTTCCAGCAAGAAATGTTTCTACCGTTTGGATATTGGCTAAAACGAAAGGATTATGTTGTAGAGGTTTTCCCTTTCGTCCTTTCTTTTGCTTAGTAAGGTTGGATGTGGCGCGTGTGGTGCAGTGGTCGGAGGCGCTCTGCAACACACACTTGGAATCGATCCCCGCGGCCATGACCCACAAAGCCTTCCGTCTTTACGGTCTTCCGGGGTCGCAAATTGGTACCAGACTCGTCTGGGGGATAGCAGCACTGGCTCGATACATCGGTATGCCACCGCGAAGGCCAAGGGAATGCCACCAAAGGCCAGATATGCATTCAGTCACCTCCAAACGATGCCTAACGAAGTTGAATGCTTGGCGCATCCCTCAGGGATTGATCAACGCCGAGAGCGTTATCCTTCTTATCAAGGTTGGACGTGTTTTGGCTCTCTCGAATAATCAATTTTGTAGGTATTTCAACGATAGTTCAAGAGTTTACTCGTTGTAGTCTGTTAATTCGACTGTTTAAAACTATTTGAGTAAGACTTCTAAATGGTAACTCTCATGCTTCTATGAGCTTCTATATACTGCACGTAATTTATTAGGCAACAACATAGAGCAGGATGTTCTGCAGATGTTCTGCACCTACGCGCTGACGGCTATGGTGTTTACCTACGTCTACCAGCTCACATTCCTCGCCGGAATTATGGTGTACACAAACAGAAGAGAAATGGACGGTCGACATTGCCTCACATTCCGCAAAATAAAAAACAAAGCAAGTGAGCGACTTCTTTTACAAAATACACCACGCTTCATTTGGTTTTCGGCAGGACCCATCAACAATAAGATATGGAATTATAAGACTCCGAACCTATTTCATAACTGAACATGGGAGATTGACCACACGACTCGCATGGAGCATTCAACGTTTGCAAACTGCATTATTTAATAACCAAATTCAGATCACCTATAGAGTTTAGAAAAATTCTGCCACTCTCGTTCACTGCGGTGGAGAATAGCCGCATTTGGCATGAGTGCTTCCAAAAGTGAACTAAAATTGGGAGTCCCAACTCGGGTAATTCGGACAATTAGTGGAAGTAGTGAAAATAGCGGAAAATCTTTTTCTACTTTCTCAAAGATTTTCGTAATAGTGAATGAATGGTGACGTATTTATGGAATAATCATCAACCTGCTTTTTGTCATCCATGCGGGAGTTCTATTCGTGCGCGGCAAAATCATATTCCAAGGCGTAAAGGGAAGGAAATAATGAATAAATAGGCGATAAAACTGTCTCAAAAGCAGTGATCTTGCTATGTCGAGGGTTAAAGCAAGCAAACAGGGATGGATGAGCTTTTTTATCCCGCATCTGTGGCGACCGATGAGAGGCGGTCAACTCTTTGGAGAAGACAACTTGTAGATTTTCACATTCGACCTGCGATTAATGCCTATCGCCAAAATTTCCAGTCAAATGATAGAACAGAAGAATACGATACTGGGCCCTTGAAAGAACAGACCTACAAAGTAATGCGTTTAAATTTTCACGCCTACTTGTTTGTCTCATCGGCGCCTTCCTTCCTTTGCCTCACTGGCATGAAGCTTTGGATGTCTCAACAGCACCATGTGTTATCAATGCAGTGCTCAAGAATGATGGACGTAATTAAAGCAAGACTATGACAAACTATGCATTAAAGTAAGGCTGTATGTGGGACGGAGAAGCCCATAGAAAAACCACCTTTCGTCATCGTGGGCACCAGCCGGATGAGCAAACCATGTCTATAATACGTTTGCTTAATTCTAAACTTCACTCCTTTTTAATTACTAGTTGATGTTTTTCGTGGTATGGTATTATGTGAACTATAACCACCGCCACTATAACATGCGGAGATATTTGCAAAATCGAAACTCGAGGCAGAATTCGAACCCGTGATATCCCTTTCCGGCTCACGTGTTAGCCACCCACTGACGGGCCCTTGTTACCTCTTTGCCTTTCTCTCAGCTAGTTTTTTACCCTAACGGTGCCACCAACACCCATCAATGGGAATGATATGAGGACCACAAGTCGGCATTGAACCCAATTCAGCTGGGGATGCGTTATTCGAATTCACAGTGTGTAACTTTTTACTTACTGTCCATTGTTTCTAATTTGGTTAATTTAGCTAATTTTAATTTTCAATGTTTAATTTTATTTCACATGGCCAAACATAGCATATATACAGGCCCCAGAAATCCTTGCGTTCGATGCACCATCTCATATCTATCATCACTCAGGGTCGTTAGATTTGCAAGTCGGTTGGGTTACTGCATAAAGATTTTAGTCTTTTTTGCGAATGCCGCTGAATGTTGGCGTCATATATTCACACTGCAACCCAGCTAAGGAGTTTCTACATCTTCACCATAGGCAAGTACCAATCCCTATGGGTCAGAAGGAGCTTTCTATAGAATTTTGGCATTAACTTTACGATACCGGAGAGATGGAGCCTTCTTTGCCGGAGATGGGGTCGAACCATCCCTTGCGGGTACTGCTGAACCGTACCTGTACCACTGCTCTCACGCATATGCCTATAAACAAAAACTCTTATCATATATAATTTTGGCGGTCCAACTAACACCATGCAATTGTTAGGTTCAAGTCTATATTTACCGCTTCAACAAATATGTTTGCAAAAGAATACGAGTTCTGGCTTGAACAAAATTGTAGAACCTCGAAATCATGGATATATTGAAAGTACAATCCTTTCATTCTTTCGTTTACTTTGCCCACCACTGCACCTTTACGGTCTTGTCTAAGCCCTTTATCTTCAAGCCCCAGTGAATACTGATGTTGTGCACAACATTGACGAAAAATCTCTAAAGGTTTTTTCAGTTGTCCCTTAAAATCATTCTATTACAAGGTAGCGATGTGGACCACATTCCACTTTCATTAAAGGATTCTCTTCCAGTCAGTCGTAAGGTTACGTGGTGCATCCTCTGGTGGCAAACCGATTATTAAATCCAATCGACCTCCTATTTCTTTGAGACGCACGTGGATTTTCCGGGTGGACTTCTTGTTTCGGATGTGCCGGATTGACATCTACTTTTGGGAAGAACATCAGCAACAATGACATTTCGCAAGTACGACTTTATGATGATAACCTTTCAACGCCCAGATGGAACATCCTCTGCTCCGAGTAAAGCAATGTTAAACACCACTAACGACTTGCACTGTAATATTCTGAGCGTCTACGTCCTCCTGTCTAGGCATGGCATCGAAATAGATAAAATCGTTTGTCGTCCGATTAGTTTTCTTTTCGGAAGACATCACCCTACTTCGTTGGTGATTCGGACAGGGTTATACCAAAACGTCTGAAGAGCCTAACGCCAGTCCCGATCAACACATCTGTTCGGCCTTTCATATTTTATCTCGTAGAAATCAGGATTCTGGATAAATAGGATGCAAACAAATCAGCAGGCTTTTTGTCCTCAACAGCTCTAATAGATTGTTTGACAAAGGTTACCATGCGAGCAAGCAAAGTTCCGAGGGATTCACAAAAGTCGATCATGTCCATGCTATAACGAAACTCATAAAGGCACTACGAAAGTACAAAAGGACACTTTTACTTACTTTTATTGACTTAAATGTTGAAGCAGTTAAAACCGAAGTTTTGCCATGGAAGCTTGCTATAGCTACAGCATTCTTACCCACCATATAAAAGCCCTTCATAAACTACATAACGATTTTACAACTCGAATACCACTATTCCACAATGACAATAGCATTGACATAATGAGGGGGAGTTTGATGAAATGATACCAATTTTCCAAAATTATCTACAGCTGGCCTCTAAGACGCCCTGTGAAGGCTGGAATACAAATAACAAGAAATTGAAATTCGATGGGTGTCAGGCCAAGACCACTCTCAGTTCCTCAGTGCCATCGAATCGGACACGGGCTGCGCAATGGTGATGATCTCTTTCATTACGCGAACGGCATAACCTACAAAGGTTCTGAACCCAGCAAGCCTTTCATCCCGCCGGGTTTAGAAAATTAGTGCCAAACTCATTTGGAATAAGCTAACTCCCTCTAATTCATGTGACAGTTTTAGCTCCAAATGTGCGCGGAAGGAAGAGAGTGGCCTGTGGAGCTTTCAAGAGTACCGAAGATCTAATGAGGATGGTAGAGAACCGCCAGCTGCGTGCCCACGTTTTCAACTCAGCAATCCTTGCTGCCTTCACATGCGTATAAGAGATCTACGCTGCGTGAGAATGATGAAAGTAGCTCGACACAATCGAACACGAAATCGAAAGAGCATTGCCAGAGTTATCTCTTTTCACGCAAGAGGGATAAAGAATTCGAAGTTACGTCACACGTCAACATAATCTCGAAGTCCAGCTGAACAAATAGGTGATACCTCTCAATGACAACCGGTAAACATGACCAGTTAGCGACTTACTTCTCGTGGATGTCAAGCGCACAACAATAAACCACCGACCACATAGTCAGATCTCTTGATTGAGATTCTGAAAGAAGAATATAATGCTCTTTGAGTTCCTTGAGCGAGCAGAAGTTCTCGAACACAGCATGGATAAATAGAGACTTTACTCGCGCTAAATTGAGTTACTTAACGGTAAAGGGGTACATAAGATATTGGCAATGATAGCTAAGAAGAATAATAGTACAGTTCGACTGATTTCATGGCATAAATTAAAGAGTTCAGACCAACCTAAGGAGGCCAACAAGGACCGCAGTTTCGAGAAGAACCACGCACTATCGCAGTTCTTTCGCAGCACCTATGCAGATTGTTTAGTGAATCCTTTCGTACGCGTACTCGTCATTGTTGCATTCCTCTCTTATCTGGTTAGCCTTGTTTAATCGTTGTTTGTTTTTACCTCTTTATTTAATACACATGCTTTTAAAATGACAACTATACACACGAAGCAGCCAAGTATATTAGCGTTGAGCACACAAAAGACCACTCGGTGGTCATGAGTGTACTGATCCACAACAAATGATGTAAACAATAACTAGAAGTAATTAAAACTAACAGAGAGAGGCACAACAAGTATGAGCTCGTCCAATGCCGTATAGCAGTTCAAGTCCAATATAGGTAGCTGTGCCGGTGACTCGCTTCGAACAACGAAGAAGTGCTTTTTCATGACGAGATGTTTTCATCGTTTATGACGCATATGCATGAAAGCAAGTGCTGAACAGGGACTTAACCCAAGAGAACGAAAAATGACGGGGCTTTCTTATTCATATTTCAGGTTATCGCCATCTGGGGTTGCACAAAAGTGAAACTCGGTCTCGAATTTGACGAGCTACTACCCGAACACTCCTACGGGAAAGAAACTCTACGATTAACCGAAAAATATTTCCCTGGTAGGATTGATTAGGATTATTTTACGCGCTTTCCGACAGTGCATTAGAGACTCGAGCCTAAGATTTCAGACCACGGTAGCAGCATGCACGTGTGGATGTACAATCTGTCAAAAATAGATGTCAGTCCAGAGAGATTATGGGTGCTACTCAGCAAAGAAATCGAACTGTACGAGCACACCGAGTTCACTGGCGGAGCTGATTCATGGCAAGTAGAATTAACTTAGTGCCATACGCGACGGTAACATTAATCAAGAGGGTCAAATCTGAAGTAATATGGAGTTTTTGAGGAATAGAACAATCCCTTTTCAACCACAACGTTGCTGAGATATTTGCAAAACTCTGGACCGCAGGTGTCTACGGTGGGGAACGAACGCGCTATTATCCTTTCCGGGGAGTAACGCGTTCACCACCACACCATGCGGGTCCTTTGTTTCGCACGTCTCTCAGCTATTTCTATCGATCTTTTTGCCACAGCAATCACCCTTTTCAAATCCCTTTTCAATTTATTTATTTCTTCTCACTGCATGACCCGACATTATATTTGTCACAGTTTGTGGATCCCATCACCTGTTCCATTCAATTCGTTCTTTCGTATCCACCATTCGCGAAGGTTTTGGAAATTTTCAGCGTGTGGCTTCAGCTTCATCATGGAAATTTTTGCGCTTTTGTTACTGATGTCGTTGAATGCTGGTCGAATCGACCATCCCTGGAATCCTGAAATAGCCATGGTATAGCGTTCCCACTTGGGTTGAAGCGAGTCAGCTTATCCCAGACAATTCTAACACCAATTTCTCCGCTCCGGTGGGATGACAAGTCTAGTGGGCCCGATACCGGGTCGAACCAAGCTGTGACCAGGCTGCACCGTTCACTTAATCTACGTGACCATTACCACTGCGCTATCCACTCTCATAAGTCTAGTACTAAACAGAATTAATAAGTGCAGCATGACTCTTCTAACGAACAAACCCTTTCTTATAGAGATGGTATCACTACGGGAATTGACGGATTCACTTTGTTATTGATGAATTTGAGGGTCCATTTCGCCTCCTCAGAAAAAAAGAGAAGAGAAAAGGAAAAGAGATTAAGTTTGTACTACAAATGCAATACTGATTAGATTGATCGGTCCCCTTTGTTACTCTTCTTCTATCGATACTTTCTATGCTTTCGTCCTACCAAGAACTAATCGCTCAAGCTGAAAGACTTATTGCTAGCTAAGCTTATTTTATATCAAAGTTATTATTAACAAGTTGTGAAGACAACACCTACGTCCATCGTCACATATCGTTTTTGTTTGAACAAAAACCACATGTTTTCATGATCCGTTCATACTTAACATTTGCGGACCAGTCCGGCCTGTTGATTACCGAGGAAAACTTCGTCCACCTAATCAAAAATGCCTTCTTAGTACGACCGCAGTTTGAAAGATACCGACGGTGAGTGATCAGTTCTACATAAGCAAATATATCAACATAGTCACTACTTAACTAGTAAACAGAAAAAGGATAAAGCTCCCGGCATCGATCAATCCCTGCCGGATGTGCCATGCACTCGACTTCATTAAGCATTGTGGGAGGTGACTGAATGCATATCTGGCCTTTACAATGACCCGTGGTGGCCTACCGAGGTATCGAGTCAGTGCTGCTGCGCTCCTAGACAGGACTGGTACCAATTTGCCAACCCCGAGAGGATGGAACGCATGGTGAGCCTAGGGTGCGGGGGATCTATGCCATGTGTATTGCACCGCGCCTTCGACCACTGCGCTACACGCGCCCTTGCAATGGCTAGTAACAGCAGTGTCAAATCAGTGTTCTATGTTGTAGCTGGCAACAAATGTGATTCGAACTTTTCTCGTCTCTTTGTTGCGTTTGCAAGAAAAAACCGTCTGATGACGAAATGATGGAGCACACGTAAAGGCCAAGCTTCATCACTGTCAATTCTCCGACGCTGATAGCCGCATAGAGCCACTCATTCGCCCATAAGTTCCCGCAGGTTCAATTCAATTTCAGAGCACTCCTTCACAAAACTCTCTTTCAGCGCTCCTTAATGGCTAGCAATCGCTGACTGACTCGTCCACTTATGGTAAGACGTTGAAATCTCCATCAGCCTGACTACGTAAGATCTTGTCAGATCCTATAAGACCAGAATCACGTTCAGTGCCTGATCGAAGTCAAAATGGTTCTGCATGTGGTCCTCCAGCGCTGTAAATTTGACTAACAACGTCACCATAGTCGTTTATATTTCAATTATGAGTACAATCACGTGGCTTTTTTTCAGTGACGTAGTTTTCGACGCGAGTGGTTCTATGTTGGATGCGTCGCGTGTTACTATACAACTGCGAGAGATTGGTTGCGGGAATCGGAGCCGGGCAATGCAGTTTTTCAGAAAACTCGCAGATATCAGCGAGTTCCCTACAGGAGTCTATTCGGATTTCTTCCAGGTCTTAACGACATCTTCATACTTGGATTTCCTGCGGCGAAACGAAGTAGCACCAAAACAGTTTCATTTAAGGCAGCAGCCGATTGAACTATCAATAATTCCAGTCGCGATCGCCGGTTTCTGAAAAAGGCAGCTTAGGCTTTTTATATAATGGTACAAACAACTATTACTGTCTATCTGCACAACTATTAGCACCACAATAGGCGCCTATCACTTTCAATGTACTGAAACAAAAAATCTTAACTTCTCGAAAAAAGAAAGCTGGGTTCGTTTTTGGTCACATTAGGGCTTTCATTAAATTAACAGACCACATGTTTCAAACCCCCGGCTAATATTTGAAAACATCCAAGTGTAACGCTTTTACCACTCTGACATGAACCGACGCCCATTCATACATGCAGGAATCGTTTGGCGTGAATTGACTCCACATTCTCTTCTTAGTTCCTTTCTGATCATTTTATTGTGCAGAGATCCCCTTTCATGTTCAATTGAAAATTTTTATTCAACATGACTCAGACGTGGGAAGGTGAGGGATAGACCGGAGTGAGTTTATTTTAACGTGAAGTGACGGAAGTGGGACTTTGCGTGTTAGGGAACAAATAGCAAAAATCTGAAGTGTGGTGGATAACACATGAACCCGCGGAAAGAGTAAATGCGGGTTCAAAGCCCCCTGAGGTCCCAAGTTTTGCCTATATCTGGAGACCATTTTGATTGTATTTCACGTCCCACCCATGAAGAAAAAATGGGCAGTAAATAAAAGCCAAACATGGCGATCTAATATTGGTTCGAATCAAACAAGAGGGCCAATCACAGATATATTTAAAAGGGAATTCGTCACGCCGAGAATTTACCAGTAGGGGAAAAATCCAGTAGGTAGTCTAGCTTAAAGGAAAAAAGGAAACAACATTTCAAATTACGATGGCCTACACATTAGAGCTTGTAAATACTCGGTAGTTTTAAAGACTCTTCTCGCTGAATTTAGGGCATGCCCTTCGGAATCTCGTTTTTCTTTTCAGATTGCAGAGCAGTCTAACGCGATCTTGCCAGGAACACTGTCTTCAATAGCATATGCAAGCACGGCCGTAATTGTGGTCTCTCTTCTTCTCATCCCGGAACCAGTGATTAGCTTATGGGTCAGAGTTAATTATACAGAACAAGTAATGTTGTCATATCACCATGTTTTCAACATCATTGTCAAGCATAGACTTCAACGAATGAGTAATGTATTAGAATGATCCGGCTTTATTTGAAACGCTATTTACGTTAACACTTACCGCTATTTGTCATATTTCTTTGTCTAATGCGATCTTCTACAGGGGTTGATAGAACAGTGGTAGTAATGCCGGTTATCACGAGCATAGTGCTAGTTCGATTCCGCTTTGGGCCAACCAAGTCTTTCATTCCTCCAAGGTCGATAAATTGGTATTGGACTTTTCTGGGAAGAAAATCACTCTTTGCAATCCAACTGGGGACGCTCCAGCCCGGCTATCTCAGGACTCCAAGGAAAATCGAATCGACCGGTATTCTACGACATTCAAAACGAAATGGAAATCTAACTTCAATGATACTGGGATACAACCACAACGTTGCTGAGATATTTGCAAAACTCTGGACCGCAGGTGTCTATGGTGGGGAACGAACGCGCTATTGTCCTTTCCGGGGAGTAGCGCACTCATCACCACACCATCCGGGTCCTTCGTTTTGCCTGTCTCTCAGCTAGTTCAATCGATCTTTTGCCATCAGGAATCACCCGTCAGCGGGATTGATCTGGGGGGCTCAAATCGGCAACGAACCCAGTTAAGCTGAGGCCGCAGTTATAATCACACTAGCTGAGAGACAGGCGAAACAAATGACCTGCGTGGTGTGGTGGTGAACACGCTACTCCCCGGAAAGGACAATAGCGCGTTCGTTCTCCACCGCATACACCTGCGGTCCGGAGTTTTTCAAATATCTCAGCATCATTGAAGTTATATTTCACAATGTATACCCTGCCGTTAAAACGAGTAGGCAGTAAATAATAAGTTAAAATTGTGAAATGGAAATTCTCAAGCAGCAGCCGAAGTCACACGCAAATGTTGGAAGATCTTCGTCGACGATATATGCGAAGAAACGAATGGAATGTGAGAAGTGATGGGATCCTCACAGTAGACGCAAAGATGGGTCATATAAAAGAAATTTTAAAAATTTCTGCAGTATTCTTGGAAATTGTCCAAGGTCATCGTCTGTGTGAAATAAAACTGATCTCTTCAATCACTCCTTCCAGGTATCGTTTTCAATCTTATCAATCAACATTGGCATTCTTGGCTTCATGACTTTATGGAATGTTCGTCTGGACTTTGTCAGTATGGTGACGATTATAATGTCTATCGGATTTTGCGTTGACTTCGCTGGTCACCTGGCCTACAGTTTCGCCAAGGTGTCGTGGGCTCCATTTCTTATCCGTTGATTAAAACTTTGAACATCTTTTGAAGGATAGAACAGCCAATTTGCCACCACTAGACTGCCAATATAAAGCCAAAATGTATTCAATAACCATAAATTTATTAGTGTGATGGATATGTAGATATGATCCCGAATATTTTGTTTCTCAGTAGGTAAGTATTCTACGTTCCAGATACCCTTAAACTGTCCCAAAAACCATAGCTGATAGCAGAACAAGGGAAAGCCATTTCCAAAGTTTTAAAAACATCCCCAAGTCGGACGTTTTTCCACATCCATTGAATGTACTTTTGAGATTTGGATGTAGATATAAATCAGACGAAAAGTTACGTAATTATTGAACAACTGCGCTCAAAACGCGTGAGATCACTTTGAGTTAAGGGACGAAGTCATTCGGTGTCCGAACGTATGCGAAATGCTCTTTATACCGTAGGAGCACCAATATTGCAAAGCGCAACTTCCACCCTGCTCGGTGTTATTTTTCTCGCCTCTGCCGAGTCATACATGTTCAAAAGCTTTTTGAAAACGATTTCGCTTGTCATCCTATTAGGTGAGTTCTAATACAAACATATTGCTTTCAGATTGTGGACTGTTCACAAAATGCTAACGCCTACTTCTTTTTTTTTACCATACTTTCGCTTCACTCGAAAACCTAACCACGGTAAAATAAACAGGCTTCATTCCCCTGACCCCGAAAGAGCCCCTGATTCGACAGCGTGCGGTAGGACGACTACGGAGGGGTTGCTAGCATCCTAGGGTCATTTCAGGCCACCTGAATCGCAGAGAACTAGGGTGACGATCTGTACTTCCAATGCACGCACACTTGCATCTGAGTCCTCGATAGAAGACTTGATCATGCAGGCAAGAAGGATATCGTACGACGTCATCGCACTCACCGAAACGGGACGACGCGACTCATTCGTCGCCGTATATGACACCGGAGAAGAGCTGCTGCTCGGAACACGCGACAGTAGAGGAGTCGGCGGCGTCGGCTTTCGCGTCAACACGAGTTTCTCCATGATTCATCCGAACACCTGACAATCCGAATCGGACGTTTACGGTTGAATAGATGTGGATCAATACCGGCTTCGACAATCTTCGTTGTTTACGCGCCGACATCAAACTATGAGGAAGAAGTCGAAGCGTTCTATATGGACTTGGAGCTCTATAAAGAACACTATACATCTCTTAAGGTCATAACTGTAGATTTCAACGCTAAGATCGGACAAGAAGAACGTCTGGGAAACGTCACATTGGTTTCTACGGATTAGAATGGAACAAGCAGGATGAGCGGCTGTCTGAGTTATGGGAACCAAGACCATCCATGATAACTCGCAATTCCAGGAGCCCCACCCTTAACGCTGAAAGTGACAGTCTCCCAATAGAGAGTATCACAATGAGATAGACCACATCATAGTAAATAGGTTTTGCCTAACCGATGTTGCTGTTGTGCCAAAATTCTACACAGTATCAGACCATCGTCTTCTTCGTGCAAGATTGTATTTCTCGCGGAAAGGAGAAAGAGCCGCTAAATTCGAAACCGAAGTTTCAGAACCACCGTAAACTGGGATTTATTCAGTTCATTAGTCGGCTGTTGGGAAGATGCCGTTGTCGATAACGTCGACGAAAAATACGATCGGCTCATTCAATCTTCACGTTAGCGCTATGAAAGCTCAGAGTTCGAAAGTCACCAAGAGACGTCTTTCTCCAGAAACATTCGAGCTGATACGCCAGAGTGGAATCGCCCAGACAACCGCCAACTCAGCTCTGAATTTGCAAAACAATGCAGACAGACGATAAAGGAAGATTTTGAAAAGAGAAGAGCAGCAGTTGTGGTCGAAGCTGCATATGTTGGGAAAAGCATTGGAAAAGCCATCGAAGTTTCGCCAATTAAATGACCAAGATGGAGGCACTCCGACGCGACGCCTAGTTGGAGGCAATTACCGCGTCCAGAAAGGCAATGAAGAAAATCATTCACGATTACTATTCAGATCCCTCCAATAGCCACGCCCTCTTTTCCTCATATGAAATAAAAGAGTGTGGATATATCGCACCTCTGGTTCCCCGTTTCCAAATCTGATATGCTATTTCGTCGGTGAAAAATCAAACAGCAACAGGTCCACGCAAGATAAGATCTGAACTCCTGAAGAACCTTCACAACTACCGCCCAGTGCTTATTGCCTGTCGTCTGCAAACATTTCACTCGAGTCCTCCTAAACAGGATTGGCAGAACTCGAAAAAGATTCAATAGGATGGACCACATCCACACGATAACAAGACTCAATGAAGTATCGCGAGAGTACAAAAGAGCGTTCTGTTTCGCTTTCATTGATTTAGAGAAGGCTTTTGACTCAGTCGAAATAGAAGCAGTCATAGAAGCCCTGGATAGTCAGAGAGTCTCTACCCAGTATATAAAGATTCTTCGTGAGCTGTCTAAAAATTTCACAACTAAGATATCACCATTCTACAAAGATCTTAACGTCGACGTCAAAAGATGGTGCAGGAAGACCACCGGCTCAATGGTCAGAGTTCTTCACGAAAACCGTAGAATAAAGGTATGAGTCATAGAGCGAAGAGAACCCACTGGACTACTCTTGCGCGCGACAGGGAAAAATGGAAGATTTACTGAAGCCCGTTCGAGTCACCCGACGATAAACTGGACAACAGGTGATACAGACGATACTTCTGTTTTCGTCTTATACTACCCTTTCCGTCATCTTAAAGAAATTACTTGTGAGCACATGTAGAATTTTCTTGCAGGACTCCTACATGGTTTGGTGATACTTCCAGTGCTTCTCACAATGTTTCACTGTTCTTGCGAAACAAACAACATGCAAGGTCGAAGTGGCAAAATGAAGCAGCCTCCACTTTGCTCAACACTATCTCCCATTCAGTTTGTTGTTAATGAGTACTTCTATAAACCAATAGCATCAGGTTACCAGCTCCGTTACCTGGTGTACTTCAAAGATTGTGAAAACTGTCAAAAATGGCATAAAACTGACACTTCCGCTTACCGAATGCGCACCTGATTGAAGTATTGGGAACCATGTGTGAAAGATTCCGACGGCGAGTCGAGGTATTTCTATTGCAACTTAGAGGATCTGCCTCATTTGAGATGTTTATTATGCGTTTGCTTCATCACTTACACGTACCAACTGTCTCAACCACTATTCCCATCCAGCATGGTTCACTTCGATACCAAAAGCGAAGGCTTTTAAAACAAAGCACATCAAATGTTTCTAGAAAGCGTCCAGATTTGAATCTGTTCCCTTGTTTATTCAAATACTTCCAATTTGTTGGTATACACCAAAATGCACATCTATAACCAATAAGTAAACTTCCCCATTCGCGCAGCACCTTCTCCACCCGATGAGATTCGATGCGACAGCGAACACCCACATCGTGACAACGACCGGCGGACGATAGCCATTGAATTTCTCAAGGACAAGTTTTCCAGACTTTTTGATTTTTAGCCTGTATCTTATTTATCCCGGTGACCTATCTGCTCCCTCTTTCTTCATTAGCCATCTCTTCTTCGTCCAACCAAACGGTCATCCAAGACAAATGTGTCCCATGCTATTGTTATTTCCCATGACTAACTTCTTAACTTCCCCACCATAGAACGGCTTTGAGTTACATGTCATTGTAACAGTATTTGTTCTGCTTAATACTAAAAGATAAATTCTATTCCAAATATTCCTTGTTACTCATCCTTCTGATACTGTAATCGATTTCGATGCAACGTGATCGAAAACCATTCAAACTTTAAAGACCCATATTTCAGCCCACACTATATTTCCTTAACGTAAATAGAAACCAGTAGAACCTACAAATCTTCACGAACAATGTACAGATGTCCTTGAATACAAAGAAAACCAATTTTTCCCAGCCCACAAGTCTTTTCTTCCCAAAGTTCGTATCTCCAACAGAAAAAAGTTAAAGCTGGAGAAATCCCCCCACCCCTGCAAGGCTTGATGATGTCCCAAATGTATCATAGGCGTTGGTATTCCACGCCTTCGGCAAAAAGCTTAAAATTCGAATTCTTCTCTTAATTCTCCATAAACTTGAGTACCAAAAAAATTTATATTAAGCATTACTTGATACTTGAATGGCCTGTCCTCACTGGTTGTGCGGGTCCCAGCATAATCACGATTTTTCGGAGATTTGCTGGTTAAGCCATTATGGTTCCCTGGAGTCTCGAGGTCAGCCTGGTCAAAGTCTGCTCCAGCTCTTCACTACCACAGGCAGTCGCAGCCCTTGTGGATCAGAGGGAGATTTACCACCATACGACTTTGATACCAGGACGGTGGTAGATCCTGATATTGGTATACTCGGTACTAAATAAATTTATTAAACCGCTTTTTTTCAAAACTACGTACAACCTCGTATGACGTAACAAAACCTCTTCGAATATCACACATCCTCAAAGCCCCAGATGCTCTAGTAATCAGCGAATTATTAGCAGTTGTCAAGAAAGACATTATTTCTTTGCCGATGTGCAATAAAAACTACAATAGACGATAAATTTAAATCTATTTCTTCCTAAAAGCACTATTTTATGGCGATGAAACTGCCTAACGGTGAGTTCCAGCGAAACACACACATCAGCCGAAATACCAAGGACAAAAACGAACCGTTTCTCCTCTGTAGACTGCATCTTACTGCAGCTGCCTTAGACGCTCATTGAACAGTTCGAATGCATAAGAAAAATAATCCTTGATAACAAAAATTCACTTAAATATTTTCTCGATTTTCAAACCAACAACAACAAAATATTTCATTTATTATACAAATTCTGACAGGAAGCTAGCTCTCACTGCAGTCCTTTTCTATACAGTACAAGAGTAGAACCTGGTGTAAAGGACTGAACAAACCAATCATCTTCCTGACTAGAATATGATAAGCACCTAATCAGCTACAGAGGATCAGACCTAAGTTTACCACACTATAATTAACTTCTAGAAGAAATAACAAAATCTCCAGTCCGAGCCAAATACTATAAAGTGTAAATTTTAAATTTTGCTTGTAGAAATTCTGACAATTTTTGCTAAGGCACCGTTATAAATGTGGAACAGCGAGAAATACAATAGAATTTGAAATACAGGAAAATTAACATGCGTCCATATGACTGCTGGAGATCATAAATTGAGTTATACACGAGAAAGAGAGCAATTATGGCACCATAAGGAAGAATACCCAATTTAAAGAAACTCGCAAAAGAGCACAGGACCTACGGCATGGTTCTAACAGAGCAGACATCCACCATTATTTCTGAGCAACAGCGTCATCGTTTTGCTCCCGTCTATTTTGTTCGCAAGATACCTTGAAAAGGGAAAGAAGTACTGAGAAGATGGAAAACAAAGCATGTAACGAGCAAATTAACTTCCGGATTTTACGAACTAAACACCTACTGGACATGAAAAAAAGGAAAATAATGTAAATTACGACAACATATTCTTCATAATACCAGTACGATTTAACGAATTTGCTACCCGACTTTTCGTTAATGCGCGCAAACCTTTTCTGTTATACATAGTGTATTGACTGCATCATATACCTCTTTACTACAGACGTCGCAGTCGTCGTGGTTTGAGAAAAGCTATTCTTACCCCAAAAAATTGTAAAAACAGTCGCGAGGTTTTTAAACAGCATACATTTACTTCCATAAAAACACAATACAATACAACGCTAGCTGACGTTTCGGCAGTATCGCCTTCTTCAGAGCCTGGAAGGGTATACTGATACACAATATACTAGGCCAAACGCTTCAATAACACTTACACAAAGACGAAAGGCTCTTTGGTAATTACACGATCAACAACTTCTCAAAAAACCCACCGCTTTTTCGTGACTTCCAATGAAGGAGTTTAGAACAGCTGATTATAGTCGCATGTGGTTGACGACTGCACCATCCCACATCAAAAATCGATGCAAACGTACGGGCTCAGGTCGCGTATGACCTCCGGGCATATCTGCCCTTTCCAGTGACGCCGTCGCCTTCCGATGTATCGATCCTGTGCTGTTATCCTTCCAGACAAATCTGGTATCAATTTGCCAACACCGGAGGGATAGAAGGTTTGGTGGACTATGTGCACGGGGATCGATTCCACCACTTGTGTGTTGCAGGACGCCTCCGAGCAATGCGCCATAAGCGTGCGACATGGGAGTTACTGTTGATAACAGGGGCACTAACATTTCTCTGTTGTGTGGTGCATTTCGCACGCAATAAATCTAACATATGACACGCTCGAGAAGAAAATAGATGTAGTCACGAAAACTCTAAAAACACTAATTTTTAAAAGCAGTTCTCAAAGGCAACTGACAGCGGCCAGCTTCAACTGAAGTTCCAGGAACAGCGGCATAATAGACGCATCATTGCTAAGGATGTAGCTTCGAATCGTTTCAAGAGATGACGATAACTGAAACATACATTTGAAATAGACATTTCAACAAGTAACTAAAGCAATGAAAACCCAAGAATACACACTATACGATGAAAAGAGAGGAATCCAACTGTAAGCAAGGTTGTGACTCCAATAGTACAATAACACCTCAACCATACTATACCTCTTTGTCGTGCACACGAATCGCCGCGCTCTTCACCACAGCAGCAATGAAACCTTTTTCATCCGAAGGCTAAAGAATACAGCGAATAAATCATATAAAGTTACGACAACTCAATGGACGCCTTCAGATTTAACTTTTTCCTGCATTCATCCATAAATGGACTAAGTTTTTGCTACAACTGTTCACAAATTTATTTATATGATGTTATAAACTGACATGTTGAGCTGATGCGAAGTTGGCATAACTTTTCGCTATCGTGCTGGACTCATGCAATCCTCGTCCCCTCGTTAGGACAGGTCATACAGTTTTCTGAGCTACATAAACAATCACAGAGGCGATGGCGAACTAACTGACGGCGTAGGGTATTGGGTGAAGGGCCAATAATCGTTACAAAATTTTCAAAACCACTTTTTCCTAAGCCCTCCTAATGGCGTAACTTATTTCATTTGGTATGAAGGGTAGCTTAAAAAAGATCTTACTTTGGGGAACAACCCTATCCTTTTGCTTGATCCAAATGGCTTCTGCTTCGTACACATTGGAAAAAGCTATTTTTCCTGTTACATTTAGCGATTCTTTCCTTTCTTCTTCTCCTGTGCACAAATTTTTAGCCGTTCGGTACACGTTTTTGATGAGTGCTTTTTAATGCGTGAAGGACGAGAACAGATGTAGTGAACTAGCACATTTTTACTACTTGGCTACTACAGTTCTCGATCACCGACTCTTACTCTACTGTCGATACGTAGACGACTGTTTCATCGTCTGTTCCACACAAGAACAGATGGGATGAGTGCCTTGAACTGTTAAACAGACAGTTAGACTATGTAAAAACCGCACGAAAAAAAAGCCCCAGAAATGGCATCCAACCTTAAGCATTCAAATAAAGCCCTCAGAAAGTCGCTATATAACAAAAATAATCCAAGTAGTAAAAATATTCTAGTTCACTACCTCTCCTCTCATCCTTCAAACATGAAAAAAGCACTAATCAAAAATATGTACCGAAAGGCTAAAAGTGCATAGGAGAAGAAGAAAAAAAGGCACCGCTAAATTTGGCACCAAAAATAGCCATTTCCAATGTGTACGAAGCAGAAGCCGTTCATGTCGGACAAGGGCGTTGGGTTGTTATCCAACATAATGTTTCAAAACTAAGTAAAATCCTTTCTAAGTTACCATCAAATGAAATAAGTTACGCCATTAAGAGTTGCTTAAGAAAAGTGGTCTTGAAAATTATGTGGCCACTTTGACCTCCCACACAATACCATACGCCATCAGTTAGCTCGAAACCGTCTCTATGATCGTTTTGTGCAGCTCAGAAAACTCTATAATCTGCCCTAACGAGAGAGACGGGGATGGCATGAGTACAAGTATAATATACTTGATCTCATGTAACGCATGCGGCGAGGAATATATTGGGGAAACGGGTAGACCACTTTGTGTCCGCATAAAAGAACATCTAGATGGGAAAGTTAAAATTCATCAAAACACTCTTCTAGGGGTGCATTGGGCACAAAAACACACTGGCGATGATTTTGAAGTGACTGCCCGGATCCTAGCGCAAGAGCTGAAAACACCAACGCACAAAACTCTTGTGGCGTTTTGGACAAATTTTAAAAATCCAAAGATTAACCGGAGAAACGAATACCTCACTACCACACGTGATCTGGCGACTTATTTCAAAATGATTCCCACATGAACGATACGCAGGCAACCCCACTCGTAATAACACGGTGAGTAGTTTTTGATCAATATGGCGTTTATTTACATGTCAGATCTCCATCAATAATTTGGTTATTTTTCCAGCGAGTAACTAAACTATTCTTGTACAAAATACGCTCATGCCCTGAGGAAGGCGAAATCGCCTGAACATCAGCCATCGATCAACAACACCGACGACAACGAGAACGAAAACCTATACCAACTTCGCATCAGTTCAACAAGAACAGTTTATAAAATCATATAAATAAATATATCAATTATTTATGCTGAAGTTAATAGAAAATGGGTTTTCTGAGTTGTTAACGAATTGCAGACCTAGGAATCATACAATTAAGTAGAAACAACTAACCAATGAGGGTGCAACTTGACAATGAGGGTGTAATCCAGTAGGTGAAACGTGTGCAGAAGACGTCGCATCTGCTATAGCAGCGACATCAGACAAATTATCTGTAAAGCACCGATTAGCATTAGTTCCATACAAACATCGTTCCCATTAAAACTCCTATCACAGTTATACCGTCACAAGCAAATACGGAATAAAATGCGAAAACTGAAACCTCTGTAAAAGAGATAAACACAGAATTGGCCTAGCAATGGCTGAACTTTCAACTCTACTAGACCAGATGAAGTTACCAAATATTGCAGCTACTTCCAGCAACATCAGCTTTGCGGGGAAAAAATCCGAAGAGTAAATGTGATGGAACAATAAACTGTTTTTTACAACAACCTCACCAGCAATTGACCCATCACCACTACCCAAAAGGCTTGCCAAATTGAGAGGTCCAGTGTTCGAGACGCTCGCCACCGCCACTGGTGCAGGCGATTTCGATGATGTCGCTTTCTCGACACACTCCAGTAGTGCTGCCGTTATACCTTAAAAGCATTTTGTACTTAATCCCAACAAAAAATAGAAAATACTTTATCAGTAAGCCATGCTGTCTATCTAAATTCAATTGAAGGAACCATTTTAACTCATACCTTGCCAATACAAACATCAAAAACCACCAAATGGCTCCGTTGAAATTGATCATTTTTTTTTATTCAACAGTAGCCAATGGCTATATAAATGATGGGCCCTTGAAAATTATTACTTCAAACCAATATTGTTGCTGATGACAAGCACGAGCGCTACTGGACTGGCAGCTCGATTTGAAAATTAAGAGAAAAAATACGATGCATTTTGGCCTACCTCCGCCAGATGAGTGAGCTTCTGAGATGCTAAATTCACCATCACAAACTGAGTCGGCCCTCTTACTTGGTTTAAAGTCCCCCTCATCATGAATATCCTCCATCCTGTCTTCATCTGTTTCCTCATAATGCACTGGCACACCAGACATCACCTTCAGGTCAATACGGTGACGCCTTTTAAAAGCATCTAGCCATCCTTCAGATCCTTTGAAATTTTCGAGACCTGAATCAGCAAGGAATACGTAAAGAAATTCATAAAACTCAGGAAAACGAGCGCTGAGGCCAAAAATTAGTGAAAACTACTAATTTAAAAAAACTATTTTAACAATTTCAAACAAAAACTGAAAAATAAAAGAGAGGTGACGGCAAAGAATTTTGAAGGAAAGTCTATTTGATACTACCCATGAAAAAGCATAACTTGCACATAGAGACCAACCCAGTTGCCTTGCGATCATCATAGCATGCTCTTTGAGCAATTTACCGTTCAGCACGATACCATTATCACGACAGTCTTTGAAAAATCGCCACATCAGAATATTTAGACCTACAAACGACGTCCTCCGCACCTAAACGAAACAGACAAGGCGTGAACTAGAGAAAATGAAATCACGCAATTTCAAGATTATGTTGCCCTTGTCCTGTAAAAGGTTCAAATTTTTTCTTTTTTTCAACTGTTAATAGCGTGTAGGAATTTATTACTTCTGAGCGAAGATTCCTTTCCTTCATAAGGCATTAAGATTTAGAAAAAAATCGAGTAAAGAAACCTTGTTCTTTTTCCTTGTGCCACTGAAGCTACGTTCTGGGTCCTCGTCTGCGTCTGTTTCAGCCATTAGGGCTGCCGTTTGATCACGAATCACTTCAGCACGGTTTAGTATAATCGATTCTATCTACAAGTGATGCATAGTATGTGCTTTCAAAAATGTTCGCAGAATAATTAACAAAAAATAATGGGCAAAAACTCTAATTCTGCGCTGGAAAAAGTGCAAAATGATCTGCTTTTCATTTCACCTGCATAAAACTCTCTCGAATTCAGTTTAGATTATATATCTACGCGCAGAAATATACATGCATATACATATGCATGTGTATATGTACATGCGTGGAGATTTCTGCGTCTATATATGTGTATATGTACATATATGTACATATGTGCATATACGTTTAAAAACGTAACCCATCCCAACGGGTTACCGCCTCAACATGGCCGGTAGTTGCTCCTGTGTGTCGGGCTACGATGTACAGTGGAGATATTAATTCTCCCAGCAGGGTCTCCCAAGCTGAGGAGTCCGACTTTTCCCTCACGAGCCTTAGCTAATAGTGAACCAATACCAGGATCGGCCACCGTCTTGGTATCAAATTAGTCGCGTGGTGGCAAATCTCCGTTCTGATCCACAAAGGCTGGCAACTGCCTGCGGTTGTGACGACCTGGGGCAGACTTTGACCAGGCTGACCTCGAGACACCAGAGAAACGGAATGGCTAAACCGGTAAAACTCCGAAGAATGGAGAATATACTGGTATCCGCACAACCAGTGAGGACGAGCCGTCCAAATATCGAAGTAAGTAAGTATCAAAGACCTACGGTCTCTCTCGAAACACCAAATTTGACCGATAATTCGCTGATTGAAGCGCCAGTATCAAAGTGTGTGACCACTAGGCCTTTTTGACGAGCAGTCAGGCGTGAATGTACTCTGAAATTACAGAAAAGACGTCATGGAAACAAAGAAAGAAGAGAAACACAATATTGTATATCCACCTATGTTAAAAAAGAAGTCTTATTCTATACCTCGGAGACAAAACTGAAGATTTTAAGACTTTCCGGAAGGCCCTTTTTACATCGTCATTGTTGGGTGGTATGTCTAAAAAAGTCGATGTCGCGGCATTTGGCTGAAAACACTGGATACAATGGATACGATATCAAACGAACTTGTTGTAAAGTACAATAAAAGCTCTGTAAGCCACTGTGTAGTTGCAAATAAGCAAAACACTTGAAAATTCCCAAACTCGGAAAGAAATTATGAAAACGAAGTTTCCAAGTTTCCAGACTTTCGAGTGACCAAATTGCAAGTTTTTCAACAGTTCGTATAAAATGCAGCTAAATTTCCACATTCGCAACAATAGTGGTTTTCCAGTAACCACAGATAATTTTGATGTAGCTACGGTACCTGAGCGCCTGAGGACTGTTAAAATTAGATAGAATATATAGAACAGCCTTTCCACTATCGGTTTAAAAAAGTGTATAATCTCACCAGGGTATCAGGGTACTTTTACTAAAGCCCTTAATTAAGTTTAAAAAATACTAGCAGACGTTCAGCGGCAGTATGGAGACATAACGAGGATAAATTGTGTACAGCTGACGACAAAAAGTGGAAGAACGATAGGTGCGCCCAAAAGGCTAGTGTCTCATTGCAGATTAAGAACAACGGCGAATTAAAAGTATCCAAAGGCCTGTTAACCATCGAGCATGTGGTGAGGAGAATAAAGAAAACCCGATTTTGCGCCCACCTTTACGACTCCATGATTCCTCCTGCGTTAGCGTATACGCCAGAAACTTGGTCGCTGCGTAAGCAGGATCAAAGATCACTCAGCATTATTGTACGAGGAATCGAAAGAACGTATCCAATGTCACATCAGTAAGGGAAGAGATGCTAAGCTCCGACCTGCGTCAACGATCAAAAACCAAAGATGCTGTCCTATATGCCAAACTGTCGAAGATAAGGTGGCCCGGACACGTAATGCATATGGACGACAACCGATGGACAGGCGCCGTTAGATTGATTGATTGACTAGATTCCTCAGGATGTCAAACGTACCGTAGAAAGACCACTGAGTCGATGGTCAGAGTACTTCACGAAAAGTCTAGGAGAAAAGTTTGATGTCCAACGAGTTCCTAGAGCGAGCACAACACACTGGGCTACTCTTGCACACAATACAGAAAAATAGAAGATTTACTGGCGACTGATCGAGTCATTCGATGATCAACAGGACGACAGCTGAGCGAGGTGACGGTTAAGTTTACAAATGAAAAACTGCATATGAAACATTATTGATGACAACATAGAGTTTGCTATTCTAACATATTAAGCAAGTTTTTAAAAATATTTCCGGTTTTTTCGTCATAAAGTGACTCAATTTGCAATAGTCAGCGCATGTAGGCCATACTATAGATTACGATCCCTTGCCTCACATTACTTACTTGACACTTGACTGAACGGCCCATCATCACTAGTTATGGAACCCCAGCATAATCACCACTTTTCTGAGATTTGCTGGTTAAGCCACTGTGGTTCCCTGGAGTCTCGAGATCAGCCTGGCCAAAGTCTGCCCTACGTCGTCACCACGACAGGCAGTCGCAGCCCTTGTGGATCAGAGAGAGATTTACCACCACGCGACTTTGATACCAGGAAGATGGTGGATCCTGGCATTGCTTTACTCGTCGCTATGGCTCAATATACTTTCTGCTCCTCATATTCAACCTCTTTTTCCAAATCGTCTTCAACAAGATTCACTGAGCACCGAGCGAAGGAAATCAGGTACTGTGTCACCAATTGACAAGTATGATGGATCATAAAGAAATGGCTAGAAAAATAATGAAGTATCGCGAGAGGATAGGTATCGCTATAAAACATTTCCATCGACCCACATCTTACACTCCTTTGACACGAAAGCGGTAATAGAAGCATTTAGCAATTAGTGACTCCTTACACGAAATCTAACAGATCCTTTGTGTGCTATATATTAACTTTATAACCAAAAACCTGCTTACTCTACAATAACATCAATCACGACAAAAGGAATTCAACAAAACGATTCAATTCCACTAGTTAATCAGCAGCAAAGAACACTGCTTGAAAATGGAAGAAATCCTGTCTGGACGACACTTGCTGATCTACTACCATCACCAGTTAGATTCCAGGGACGTCAAGAGAAGAAAGCAAAGAACACTAAGCTGCTCAATGTTCGAATTAACCATGTTATTTTCCTAGAACAAAAGAAACTGCTGGACATCTGATCCCTAATGTAGTCAGTATGACTAACTGATTCCCTTCTTTAATTCTTGTCAAGTTTTCATGTTCGAAAAGAGAATCCAGGTTTACGCACTGATGATTCAATCTCAAAACCGATCTAACAACAGAAATTAGCCCATTTTATGTAAAGAAAAGGTGTACAAATTCCTGAAGATAAACGAACTCTGTATGGATGGAAGAGCTCATTCGGTCCATAAGAAGCATTCAAAGCCCTGAAATCATGGCACACTGAGTGCAAATAGAAAAAAAATCGGAAAAGAAAAACTGGACAAATCGCAAAATCCGAAAGTGTAGAAACACCTACAGCTCAAAATACTCCGACTTGTGACATGCTAGTGGAGGTAGCTCAGCAGTGATTGGAATTGCTTCATAATCTAAATAAGACGTACAACTAACCACCTCGCAAAACCGATCAAGAACAAACATGGTTGACCACTGCAGGACGAACCGAGCTTTATGGTCGCGTTTGGATTTAGAGGATTAGGACCACAGTTGCAAAGAAGATGCTCAGCAATTAAGTGGTGAAGAAGAAGAACGCTTGTGGTAAAGACTTCTGCAATAAGTACCTTCCGTGAATGACACAGATTGTGATTTAATAAACGATTAATTAGTTCCAGACTGAAACAAAAAATTTTGTTTTTAGAACATACTTATCAATTCGACGCAATTAGTGGGATCATTGATGGCAATACCATTGGCGAGAAGAATGTCACTGAGCGTAAATTTCACGATTTGACCATCATATTCAAATCGAATTGGAACATATAGAGAGACCACAAGAGTGCCGCTTTGCATCAACGTCCTAAAACGAAAAAGATCGAGGACCACTCACTCTCTAGATTTAACAATAATAGGAACAACGAAAGTGTTACCCTGAAAGAAAACCTGAGTGGTAAAGTACTGAAAAAAATCTTACGTCATTTGCACATATTTCACTCCACGTATATAATAACCTCCACGATATCCTTTTGAAACCACGAGAGGAAGACTCCAAAATGGTGGCAACACGTATATGGAAGCCTTCCGATCGACTTCATCGACAACAGAAACACTAAAGATCAACAATATTTCTGAAAATAATATAGAGCATCATTATGAGCAGAAAAACTGAGCTTGTTTTCGCTTCTCAAAAATTCAACAGTAGAAGTGACGTGAGGACTAAAAATAAACACAGAAGTACAACCACAATGATGCTAAGCTATTCTCAAAACGTGGACTCCGGGACAGATCGAACCACGATTACCTTTCCCGAGGGTTCGCGTACTACACGTTGCATCACGGAGGTCCATGATATGCGTTTCTTTCAGCTACTTAACGCCGTCATCAGCAATACACACAGAAGGTGTAACAGATTATAATCCTCGAAAGTTATTCAAAATTCAATAGGAATGTTTAATAAATTCCTCCCTAAATTGGTAATTTTCTAAACCTATTTTGTCATCGAAAGTACGATGAACATAGAATTACGTATAATAAGACTGAAAAGTGCTCCCGAACGCTAAAAGAAAAGTTAAAAAAAATTTTAAAAAAGTACACTATTTTAGAACAGAAGGATAAAAGGAATGAAGCAATATGGGAGATAACGATGAAGTGCGTCTCTCAATCAAACCGAAAGGATTCTTATAGGGATGAGTAAAACACTCTCACCAGCTCGTGAAGCTCACCTCGTATTTAGTATCGTTTCAGCTGCAGCGGTCGAATCAACCGGTTCACTCTGTGAGAACGAACTTAAAGCTAAGATCATTACATATACATATGTATGCTTATTTATTTATTCACATGTATTTATCTATAGTTCTTTGGATGACAGATATCATCTGTTTATAGTTAGTAGTTCCTGGGTGTCGGGCTGCGATGTGCAGCGGGAGATTCATCCCCTGGCAGGGTCTCCCAAGCTGAGAAGTCCGGTGTTTCCACCAGGAGTCCCAGCTAAGAGTAAATCAATACCATCATCCACCACCGTCCTAGTATCAAACCAACCTCATGGTGGCAAATCTGCCTCTGATCCACAAGGGTGACGAGTTGTGATAGTGACGACCTGGGGCATATTTTGGCCAGGCTGACTTCGAGATTACAGGGAAATACCATGGCTAAATTAGCGAACCCCTAAAGATGGAAATTATGCTGGGGCCCGTACAATCAGTGAGGACAGGCCGACCAAGTATCCAAGTATCCAAGTAAGTATTTATCTATTACATGTATACATATGCATATGACATATTAAAAAAAATGAATGAACTACCTTTATCAAAGCATCCAGATCTAATTGCAATCCACTCGATTCTTTTTGCTCCTCTTGCTTCTCATTGTCCACCACGTTGTCAGAATAGGATTTCAAACCGTGATTACTCTTTAGCGTTGAATGTTGACACGTCAGCTCTGCATCTTTGTGATTCTCGTCAACAGCATCGTTTGCGAAGAGAGAATACAGTACCGCTTAAATAAGAAATATCTGTATTCAAAGAGCTTAAGACTGCTCTGCCCGAAGATTCAAAGTAAGCTTAAAAACCAATATCGGAAAATCCGCATACGATTCGAAACGCACAATACATTTCTCACTGCGAGTGCAGCCTTAATATTCAAAGATGCCGTGCAACGTGACCGTCGGTTTGGGCACAAGCCCACGGCAAACTAGGTTATGCATCCCTTCAAGGCCAAAAAAATGGAGACAAACTTGTTCGTGAGGATAAAAACACTTACATTATACATCAAGAACTTACTTACCTGATACTTGAATGGCCCGCCCTTACGGGCGCCAGCATAATCTCCATTTTTGAGAGATTTGCTGGTTAAGCCATTATGGTTCCCTGGAGTCCCGAGGTCAGCCTGGCCAAAGTCTGCCCCAAGTCTTCGACACCGCAGGCGGTCGCAGCTCAGAAGGAGATTTGCCACCATGCGACTTTGATACCAGGACGGTCGTGGATCCTGGTATTGGTTTACCTCATTTCTTGACAGAAACGTCAGACTCCTTAGCTTGGGAGGCTCTGCCAATTGGATGAATCCCCCAGCTCGCAGCCACGACGAGGTGGTAAACCGTTGGGAATACACTAGGTTCATGTGTTTGCAAATGCGCATTCAGTCACCTCCACAACAAAATTGAGTTCATGATTCCATCCCTTAAACATTTGGCAACATCAAAAGCTTTAACCACTATCCCGTATCGAATGTTGTGTGTGGGCACCTATGCCACATAGCAGAAACCTAGAAGTTAGCTAGACCCATATTCGCCTTGCCATTCCACTGTACATTGTAAAGGAAAAAACGAAGAAATATGCAACTTCAGTGGACTCACAAGTATCAATAGCAGGATCTGGGTCGTACTGAAGCTTTCTCTTAGGCAAGCGAACCTTATAATTCCGGAACCCCTTGGCAAGTGCTTCCTGTAAAAAATATACGTCAAAAGATGAAAAAAGTCGTGCTTTTATTTACCTTAACAGACATCTCCTTATCTGACTGCTCAACAATTTGTTTCATAGGATGGTCATTAGAGATTGTCGGATCCACTGCTGCTGAATTCTAAATAATTAATACGTTCAAGTACAAGCAATACATCTTTGACAATGACAATGATAAATTTAAAATTACCAGCGCTAAGAGAAACTCGCGCAGGCTACGGTGCCTGTTTCGCCGAAAGAAGGCTTGTATCGCAGATGGGTCATCAAGAGATGGTAGTTGTTCATGATGTTGATCCTGGTATTTGGATTATAAAGCATTAAAGTCTGTACAGCTACCGAGCATGTGGGAGAAAACTAGGATCGTTAATTCAGGCAGTAACTGCAAAACTTTTGGGGAAAGTCGTTGGTAAGGCGTTGTAGATATCGTCTTGAAGATTTATGTCTCGAAAATTCCGACTACGAAAGAACTTTCACAAAATAGCATTAAATGACTGAGTTGACATGAATATGCTGGAAAGAACTCTGCCACTACTTCCTCCGTTCTCCCTGGTGCACCATTAACGTTTACATTGTAGCAAAGAGGTGCTTCTGTGTCGAACTGAGGAACACAATGAGATCCCTTTAATAAAAGTGTCACTAAGAAAATCACCCAAGCAAATTTCTTTTGTTTAGAAAGGTGATGACCTCGCAAAAAGAAACCACAACACTGAGATTATTAACTATTGGGTATGGCTCAATTAGAAAATGGACGGAACAGTTCTGAGTTAAGAGCGCGTTGACTACTTGTGAAAAGGACCACAGAACTCTGCACATCAAGCAGGAATTTAAAACTTATCTTCAGAAGAAGTCTCATCATTAAAAAGACGAAAATATTGGCTTCACGGTTCATCTATACGAAGTCTACCACATAAGATGAGCCCTCGTAACTTCGTTTAACCATTCATCGCATTATTTCTCGGAGTCCGTAGGAAAAAACACTACGTTCTATACAGTGAGTATCCGGCCAACCAAACATGAATGTGTAGTGCGAATACGTAGAGGTTGCTGTTTAAGAACGTTCTATGCAACACCATGGTCGACAGAATTTCGACCAAGCTACTTCTACATTACGTACAGTCAAAAAGAAAGCACACCACTAAATGGGAAGAAACTGAGTCATGAATGCCAAGCATGGTGGAAGAAGTTGTACTATGCTACTAACCTACTACTAAGTGGAAATACGGACTTTTTTAATTATAAGTTTAAGTTCCTTCCATGTAAAAACTTTTGTTTTCGCCACTTGCTTTTAAAAATCCACCAGTGAGTTGGATGTAGCGGAACATTTATATTGAATCTATTCCCAATGTCGACTTTCTTTTAACCTTGGCATTGATTGATAATTCACTGTTTTTCTTCGGTAAGCAAACACGAGGTTGATAAGCTGTTTCGGCGGTTTTGCCTTCTTCAGAACCAGGAAAGATCAAACTCACATTCGATCTACTTAGCCAAACATAATGAATGAATCATAAAAAAGGTCGCGGGGGTAGTGCAGTGGTTAGAGGTGCTCTGCGATAGTTCCCAAGGTTGCCAATTTCACTGGTTAGAGAGCACCAACGACGCATGCTTGATTTGAGACAAGTAAAAGCTTAAAATCCAATGCATTTTCAAGAAAAACCGCACCAGTGGTGGCCTAACAATACCTACAACTCCTATGAATCTAAACCGAAATTAACAACGGCGATTACTGTCAAGGCTCCTCCTAACGGTATACCTCCTTATCTGCTGGGAGGTGTCCCTGGGTGTCAAGCTGCAGTGTACAGCAGGGACATTCATCCCCTCGTAGGGTCTTCCAAACTGAGGAGTCCCGCGTTTCCATCAGGAAGCCCAGCTAAGAGTAAACCAACACCAGGATCCACCACCGTCCTGATATCAAACTAGTCGGACGGTGACAAATCCCCATCTGAACCACAAGGGCGGCAAAGGCCAGTAAAACTCCGAAAAAACGGAAATTATGCTGGGGCCCGCACAACCAATAAGGACGGACCATCCATGTATCCAAGTAAGTACATCAAAACCACTCACAATGATGTCGTGAAATTCCCAATTAGAACCGATCTCTCAGCACAACACACCAGATACAATTCGTCCAATGTATCGCGACGCCGAAACAAGCACACGCAGGGACCTGGGCTTACGTGGCGTCACGTGCCCCTTGACCGTTTTCAAAACTTTGTAGTGGGGAATACAGAAAACGAACTTACTTTATTTGCTGTGATCTCAGTGGCATTGATGTGATTTACTGTATATTTCCTTGCGAAAAGTTGCAACGCACAGCTAGTAATACGTAGTTCATCAGATGATGTGCTAGCGTCTGCTTCAGCTTCTAACCGCAATGCCTTCGCCAACGACTGAATGGCATCTGCGGTTTCCTCGGACGTTCTCCTCTTTCGATCCTAAGAAAGTATTGAATCAAGCCACAAACAAGACTGATGGCATTTCAATCACTTACTGCTTTGGCATGGCATGATGGTTTGCAATGTTTCAATTTGTGAAGCGTCTAAAATTAGATACTCAGCAATGCTTTGATGTAGTAGGACCTGTGGAGTCAACCATAAATACTCATTGACGACATCGGAATGACATCGATGACATTACAGGAACGGACGCTTCTCCTGCAGACGACTATACCTTCTGTGCGGATCACAGTGCAGCAAGGCCAATGTCACCGCGAAGAACCACGGAAATCGCGACGAAGCCGGGACAACCACAATGATGCTAAGATATTGGTAAAACTTGAACCTCAGGCAGACCCAACCCGAATATCTCAGCATCGTTGTGGTTATATTTCATACCATACCCAGCTGTGATAAACTTTAGTAGGCAGCAGATAAAAGATTAACATTGTGCAGCCAGGACACTGCGCGTCGAGTGTGAGTGTAGTGTAAGACGGAGTCCGTCGACGGAAACCCCTTCGATGGTCGGGGTTCCATCGTTGCTCTGGTCATGTAGCGCAGACGAGACCGCTTGTCGCTGACAAGCATTTTGCTCTTGCCGTCGAATGTGAACGCACATCGAAATTCCGCTACCGTTCTATCCATATCGCTGACAAAGTTGTAGGTTTTACGTCCCAGGCAGGTGCATTCGTTTTCAAAAGCCAAGCGGTACTTCATTCAGCAGCATGCAAGAGAAGCTTGTAAATTTACCTTGAGATCGCCGCTAATGTTCGCGTCGGACGTGCTTCCGAATGGGTTCATGTGGACCAGCCCAACCGTCACTTCTAGTTATAGTGGCTGAAGGGTTCAGAAGTACTCGAGAAGACGTAGCGAGAATGGCAGAGTAGAATTCAACAGAAATCTGAAAGTTGCCTTAAAGCGAAAGAGAACACTGATTTTACAAAGGAAACGATGGGATGAAGCTTTTCATGCAACAAAACGAACGACAAGTACAGAAGGGCCAGACGGCACGTTATGTGTGTGTGTGTGTGTGTGTGTGTGTGTGTGTGTGTGTGTGGTGCCTGTGTGCTTCTGACACCCTCTCATGATCATTCTCGTCGTCTCATACACTCCTCATCGTCCACGTTGTCTCGCCGCCGCTTTTTCCTTCTCGTCCCTCCGCTGTCGGCCAGCAGCGAGAGAGCGTGTGCGGTGACGAGGCATGAGACGCGAAGACAAAAGGAGTGCTCGCGAAGACGGACGGAAGGTGCAGAGCATCCGAGACGACGGAGATAGAGGCTAGTCGATGCCAGTCATGTGCTCTCATTCTCTCCTTTCTCGTTCCTCTCTGTCATACCCTCGGGTAGGATAGATGAGGAAGTCAGTTTTGCGAAGAAACAACCGAACATATGAGTTCCCACAAGTCTTCGGAAAGTAACGAGGACCTTTCCTACTGCGATTCCTTCTTCTGTAAATTCTACTTACTAACAGGTCCTGTATACCCTCTATTTCTCTGCGTCCACTTCTTGAACTTTGGAAGTATCGAGAAATTCGATGCAGAAGACGTATCATCGTCTAATAGTTACTAAGTAGCGAAGAAAATTCGGAGCTTCTAACGAATCTAGTTAAGTCGGACGCGTTCAGTTACGGGAATTCACGAGCCAATATTCATGAAGTATTATAATGCAGACTGCTACTGACTACGTATTGGATCTATCCATGAACGATCTTCAGAAAACATTGAAAGGATTCACTATGTAGACTGCTTACTGCTCATCTACCCTGGCCAGGTCCTTGTAACGTGGTCTGTGCCCAAGCTCTTCGATCAGCATGTCCTCACTGCTTTTAGTCTAGGATAAAGGGATAGACCTCTATGCGTTGATCTTATCCTGAGGGATGTGCTATGCATTCGACTTCATAAAGCATCGCTAGAGGTGGTTGAATGCCTATCTGGCCTATTATACAGTGGCTCGCCGTGGCCTACCGATGTATCGAGCCAGTGCTGCTATCCTTCTAGGCAAATCTGGTACCAATTTTCCGACCCCGGAGGGATGGAAGGCCTAGTGAGTCGAGGTGTGGGATCGAACCACCGAGCACGTGTATATTGTACGTCAATTCTAACAACTACCCCAAACCCGCCCTTACTTTTTTATACTTTCACTAAAATATGCAATATATTGCTATGACATTCATTTGCTACCAGATTTTCTTCAATCTATTCTCTTACCGTTACGGTCGGCAAACTAGCGCTAACCGTTGTATTACATAATTATCGTAATTTACCGAGATAGTAAATGATTTATTCATTTTTTTCGTGCAACAAGTCTTCCTGTACTATATGGATCACTGTACTGCTTTCGTCCATCTTCTATCATGGCCCGTCATTTGCGATGGTGTTCGACTTTGCTGTCACCTGCAACTTGTGGATTTGGCCGTCTCATGTTGTCCACGATTGTTCGACCATGATCCTTAAGCGTTCGAAGGTATTAGCTGCTTACATTTGTCGGCTACTGTGGTTTGGAGAAAGCTTTTCGCATCAAACTCGAGCACGACACTGGACGGGTGCTTCGCCCAGTGGGGATTCGAGCCAACAACCATGTGTGTTGTTGACTGTTTACAAATTTCACTATTAAACTTATTCCAATTATTGATCTACAGAAGTCTAAGCATGCTTGAAGTGCTCGTTCATCTGTGCACTCCCATGCAGTGTGTGTATGAAAACATTGCTGCTTCTTAACTCTCGTTCGCCTAGCCTCCCTCTGATGTAAACAGGCGCTAAAAAAATTCCTTTGCAATCGACTATTTAGATTCCGTACTTTTATGTACAGTATAGAATCCATAATCTGAAAGAAACCTCCTCATTGCCTGCATACACCACTGACCTGCTTGATTGCTAATGCAGCAAATCTGTGGCCGTATTTTGCTTTTTATACCAACTCTATTCTCTCTGAGAGTGGATCGGTCTCTTCCATGACGGCTACTTGTGGATGTAGACACGTACCCTTTGTTTCTCTAAGTCAAAGTTTAGAATCAAAGGATATGCCTGCCTTGAATTCAACCGTTGCCAATTTATGTTCACTGTGTCGATACCGTAGATACCTTGAGATGTCACTGAAATATATGTGAATGGGCAAGTGATGTGAAACTCGTAAGTACTTTAACTACAGGTAAGAAAAACCGTTCTACCTACCACTTGCTTGTTTTGGTGAAATATGAATAGAACGCCATATAATCGCTGATCTCGACAAATGTTTCATTTCATCGTAGCTTCTGATGACCTACGCTGTTGCGAAGTTGAGTGAGAGGGCTGGGTCATGCACTGTGAACATAACAGAAATGTCCATTTTATTTTTCCAAATGGACACCATTATACCGCACCGACGCTACCTGACCTTCAGATGTTCTCCCATGAGCTTCTGCTGAGTGGATTGATTCACGATACCTTTGAAGACAAGCAAGAACCTTTCAAACCGGACTCTTGGCATAACATGGAGTCCTATAAGGAGCACTTCAATATTCCGGACTGTAACTGCAGTGCCCTTTAACCATAGCAACTTCACAGTTTCTGTCTGAAAGCGGAGCGCAATGAATCTCCTTATCTCCTAAAAGATCTAGGTTTCCACAACTACCCAATTTTTTGTCCGCATCCGTTCGTTTCTTACACAACGTCATCCCTAAGATAAGTCACAAATAGTGCCTAGAAATTCATTTGTTTTGTGGATCTAAGGTGTACCCACGCTAGATTTACTCTCATCGAAGACCTAGGTGTTATAGTACATTCCACCTCATCCTCCGATTCACTTTATTCAGTCTTCGATGGAAGCACCCGACATTCTTCATTGTTTTCGACGTCTTCAGATTCCTTTTGCTTATTCGTGGTCAAGGGTCAGTCGGAAATGACGTTCAACTGATTTTCTGATCCGAGCATATAAAACTCAATTTTTGACCACTATTTGATTGTTCAAGGGGGCTGATAGCGCAGTGGTAGTGATGTCCGTCGTCAGGAGCATAGCGCTAATTCGATTCCGCTCCGGGCTAACCAAGCCTCTCATCCCTCCGGTGTTGGGAAGTTGCTACTGGACTTGTCTAGAAAAAAACTACTTTCTGTAATCCTACTGGGAACGTTCCAGTCCGGCTATCTCAGGACTCCAAGGGTAATTGCTCGACCAGCATTCTACGACATTCAAGATGAAATGAAAATCCTCAGGCAGCAACCGAAGCTGCACGTAAAAAAATTAGAAGATCTTCATGGACAATGGATGCAGGAAAACGAATCGGATGAGAGAAGTGCTGGGATCCACACAGTAAACTTGAAGATGGATCATACAAAATATTAAAAATAATAAAAAAGATTGATTGTTCATCCATTTCCAGTTCTTACTATGGATCATGGTTATCGTGTGGTATTTTTGGACACAGAAAAATATCTAGGATCACCGAAACGCCGTTTTTTTTTGATGTTTTGAAATTACCAAATACTAAACGCTAACAAAACCGTGGTTGCATTGCGGATGAGTTCCGGGATATCAGTCGTTGTTAACAGGCTTTCATTCAAAAAAAAACCACCATTCAAATTTCAACTTGTTGTTGTGTAATTCAAAGGCAAATAGGTGAGATGACTTAACACACTGGCTAAGACTCCAATATCCGGCCACTAGCGCAACGAGTCATGTGTGGGTCATGCTAGCCAAAATGCCTCCGCGCCATGTTAGCAAATAACACTGCCCATTCCGCTGCATTTTTAGCTCTGCGACTCGGTTTTTCTGTGCTCTTTATTAAATACTGTTTTTCTTAGCTTTTTTCTTTCTTTCCATGCTTTGTAACATAGGCACCTTCTGTGTATGATGGAAAAACTTGTTCGCCATATAGCCACATTGCTATCAGCCTTTGGTAGGGTTCTTTAAGATATGCGGTCTATATTTCGGCGTTCTTTTTGTTTTTTTTTTTAATGTCCACAACATTTATAAAATGACTCCGAATCACGATAGCGACTAGAAATGAAGTAAGAGTGGATTACTGCATAAGAATTGAATTGTATAGGCTTCGGTCATGTCGGCCGCAGATGGATTAAGCTTCATTTTCCATTGTATGCTCCAAGAAAGTAAAGCGATAGAGTCTGCTGTACCACCTATCGACAAAAAGTTTTAATTGTATTGGCGGAAGAACAACTAGGTGTAGACAAGAGAACGATGAGTAATGATAGCCTGCAACCGTTAAAAAGGCGAAGGTATTCGTCGCCCTTTGCCTTAAGATGGGAAAACTTATGCTACCATGGCCGTGATAATACTGAAGTTGCGGTACTGCATATAAATGCCATAGTCGTGGTTCCTAAGATATGCCAGGAGATAGCTTGGAGAAGCTGTTGGCTCAGCTTCGTTTAGCGGATAATGCAAGGCGTGATAAGAGAGAAGGACTGTACGAGATCACTATTTCAAAAACCGACTTCGCTTTAACTACGGACTGCTCAGCATCTATTTTTTCCATTGATGCGCTAACACGAGGTTGATTTAAAGAAACTTCGTTCGGCTAACCTTTCGGCGCCTTCGCCTTCTTCAGAGCCGGATTGATCGAGTCGATTGTCCACAGTCGTTCTTTCTTCCATCAGTGTCTTAGTGATCGCATCGAGTCCAATCCAGTGGAGCACTGTCCGAATAAAATAAAAGTAAAGTTGCCAAATAGTTTCTTTTAATGAACCTCATACTTGCTTATCAGTGAAAAAATACATACACGAGATCAATGCACTGGTCCAACCTATTAGTCGAAGTTAAGAATTTTCAAACCTGGAAAAATAGTCTGCATGGAAAAATTTCTGTGAATTTTAAAGACAAAGTGGCACTCCGCAAACATATCCTATGTAGGAGAGCCAGGTATTACATCAAGGCCAAATATCGTGACAATGTGGAGGAAGTGCAGATCTATGAGTTCAAGGCCGAAGTCTCTCCGAGTATAGACTTCGCTATTCGATATTATTTCAATGAATATACTGCAAGTTCTACACCCTCAAGTACACATTCAGGAAGATGGTAGCCAACTGTCAAAGGAACGGAGAACGTCACGTTTGCTGGAGCACACTCCAAACAGATGAGAACAAGATGTCATCAGTGTATACTCTGTATTTTTGTTTGGACTGCTTTAGTAGTTACCATTAAAAAAATTAATGTAGAAAATATAGATTGTAAATCTGTCTAACGACAGTAAATTGTAAGCGACACCGTTCATTACAACATTACGACAAAGACGCTGGTTCGATTCCCCTTTTTCTCTATCCCACGAAGCCTTTTATACCTCTGGGATCAGCTCCTCCATACAGTACGCAAAAGATGGCCCCAGACTGTGATTGAGATCACTAACCATCCTACAACTCAGCGGATAATCGTGTCGATTAGCTAACGTTCTTAAAGAAGACGAAAACCCTCGAGCAACAATCTAACCTCGACTCAGTAGTTCGAAGATCTGTATGGATTATGGATGCCAGGAAACGCACCGAGTGCAAGAAGTGCCGGGATATCGTGCTATAGATGTGAAGAGGGATCGTATCGCATAAACGCTATGCTGTTGTAATGGTTGTCATTGTACGTAAATTATTTAAAGAAGTGTAGGTTGAAGACGTTGCTTGTTCCAATAATTGTAAAGCGTGTTGATATAGAATGATGCAATGTAAATGTTCCAGAGGATAACATTTAAAGCATCATTGAAATGTTGTAAAAATAAGAGTTACAAGTCTGGAATTTCCAAACATCCAATAGACGCGCTGATGGTGTGCACTGAATGAACGCAGCCTCCTTAGTGATTTGCCATGCTATTGTGCGACGAAGTATTCTGAGTTGGAATTGCGATTACAAGTACCCGAAAGGGCGCGTGTAGCGCAGTGGTCGGAGATGCCTGCAACGCGCACATGGGATCGATCCCCTCGCCCATGGCCCAGCAAGCGCTCAATACCTCCGCGGACGCCAAATTGGTACCACACTTGTCTGGGAGAATAGCAACATTGGCTCGATACATCGCTAGGCCGCCGCGAATCATTGTAAAGGCCAGATATGCATTCAATCACCTCCAACGATGCTTAGTGAAGTCGAATGCATGGCGCGTCCCTCAGGGATTGATCAACGCCGAGAGCTTTATCCTTTGTTTTAAGCACAGGAGAGCCTTCTAGCTAGTCCCTAACAAGACTTTTTGCAAATTATTAAGTACAGAGGAGGGCTTTTCTCGGTCAGTGCAACCCAGTACATTTGTGTTTAATAGGCGGCCACATGATTACAAAACGTAGAGCAAGAGTATCTGAGTGAGCCGTATATAACATATAACAAGCACTTTCAGAACGCGTGAGTCATATGTGACTTGTGTCGTTGGCTGGGTTCTTCCTCACCCGCATGGGTGCTCTTTGGAGTTTCCTTTGCAGAACAATGTATTTACCAAGAGCTAACAAATATACTCAAATATGTGGAACGGAAAGATATGGCAAATGCTATATGCACTATTTTAAACACCATGTTTTTCTGAAAAGCTACACTTCAAATAGGATTTTATGTGTACAAGCTTTCTCCAAAATAGTACCACAGAGTGCATTACAATGAATTTTTCATGTGGCAAGATTAAAATGATTTGCCAGCGCTAAAACGTAAAATTATATATACCGTAACCGTTTAACCTCCTAACGGTTTACCGCCTCATGGCGTCTGGGAGGTGTTCTTGGGTGTCGGGCTGCAATGTACAGCGGGGGATTCATGCCCTGGCAGGATCTCCCAAGCTAAGAAGGAATCCGGCATTTCCATCAGGAAGCCTAGCTAAGAGTAAACCAACACCAGGATCCACCACTGTCCTGGTATCAAAGTCGTATGGTGGCAAATCTCCCTCTGATCCACAAGAGCTGCGACCGCCTGCGGTGGTGAAGACCTGGGGTAGACTTTGGCTATGTTGAACTCGGGATTCCAGTGAAACACAATTGCTTAACCAGCAAATCTCCGAAAAGTGGAGATTGTGCTGGGGACACGCACAACCAGTGAGGACGGGCCATTCAAGTATCATGTATCAAGTAACCGTATATATTGCATGAAACTCATATCTTTGACCAGTTATTGTAACCCTTTATTTTGGATAGCTCTAAAACACAACATTATACATCTATCGTACTATCTGGAAGGTATTCTTGGAGGAATACTGCTATAAAATTCAATGGTTTTGGTGAGACCGAGATGTACTTCCTAGGACGGCACTGTCACGATCATCTATCCGAAATCCCCTACAGCTTATGACGACTTCGGCATGTGCATTATATATTCATTTACCATCTACCAAACTATGAAGACCCAAATCGGAAGAAGCTACTGCTATGGACGCCGGGTTCGAACCATTGCGGCTCAAAGGCGATGGCGCTAAAACCGTTTGCCACGATAAAAATTTGCATAAATATTTCGTCCAAGCTTAACCATATAATATGTATTGATTTTTCACGCCAAAACAAAATAAATGCCGATTTCCAAAAATATTGCTTCATTCAAAAACGATCAACGTGGGCAGCAAACTGACAAAAACATCAACTAGGTAAGTAATGGGAAAAAATGCCTAACATGAACGATGAATAAACTCTGGAATATGCAACGGTACTCAGTGATAGTCAAATATATCTTAAATGTTTCACTAATACTACGTGAGGGGAAGGAGAACACTGTTAAGAACACTGTGCGAGAAGATACACTATGCATGCTAATCATCGTCTATTTCATTGCCCTATTAAGGAACAAAGCCGGATATGAATCAGTATCAATCCCAATGTCCAGAATCCGCCAATATTTCTTATGTTTTAAAGTACTCATTTTCAACACGAGTGACGAAATCCTGCAGATTCGTATAACTAAGGATGGCATTTTTCAGATCCATGCAGGGCAACGTCATTGTGATTATCGTGAAAAGATGACCGAACAGTAGAGCATCTGCTTCAGTTGGTTGATTGCCAAATAGATACGGTTTCGATCCCAACTGTGATGATAATGCACGCAGCGCCCTGTCGTACTGCTCTAGTACCTCCTCTGTGCTCTAAAATCATGTTGATTCAGATCAACATAATAAAATCAATTTAGTTCACAATAAAATTTTTTGGAGGTCACCCTTAAGTTAAATTTAGTAACGGCCAGTATTTCAGAAAGGCCTAGAAAAGCCAATTCACATTACAGTGAATGAATTACCGAGTAAAATGTTAACCTACATATACCTGGCAGGTCTAATAAGAATATGCGTAGCGACTTGGAAGCATTAGCAGACACAACCAGTGAGGGCCTTTGCGTCTCTGACGATGTCACTGAACAACTTGTTAATCCCAAACCTCAGAGATCACATGTTTGCTACCACGGTTCTTCCAGTCTTATTCCATGCATCGGAAAAATGTTACAATAGTTCAGCTATGCCGAAAAGTTGCATGGAGGGCATTTGAATGACGTTTTCTGTTGAAGAATCGACACAATCATCACCAAGCCTATCCTCGCGGCTTAGACCTCCGGAGGTTATTCCGTCCTCGAGATTCAGTCTCGAAAAGTAAACTTCGATAGAGTTGTTACATTGCTATGCCTTATAAATGGCTGATATTAGTGCCGCTTCTAAGCTTACATAGTAACTAAGGGTTCCTTTTTTTCCAGAAAAATTTCTGTTCTGGGAAATCTAACACTTATGAGAACATGCAGCGACATGTGAGTCAAAAGTCTCGATCAGTTCGAGCCGAAATCTGTCACCATTTGGGAAGCAAATGAGTGTACGGCGTGATCTGGTTCAAAACGAAGTCAGCAATCCGTTTTCAAACATCGATAAGGTTTGTGAAATGTAGTGAAGCGAAAATCTCCGTAACAAAATAGCTTGGTTTATTCTGCTATTAATGTAAAAACATACACCTCTTGATTCCTCAACCAGTACATGTCAACATGTTAACTTATGAACCTGTTTTTAAATGTTCTCTTTCGCTACTGAATCTCAATATAACAGCTGTCATACTCCCTCCACTACTCATGTATTAGAAAAGCCATTCCTTACTATTATGAAAAAACTACACTTATTGAGAACATTTTCTACTTTCGTATTATCTATAGGAGCACCAATTACCCAACTTTGAGCTTCTCGTTACGTAGAAAGTCGAGGCGTTGAATAGCAAGAAAACAAGTCAAATTCAGTGGAACAGATGACAACCAGAACAATCAATGTATGATGAAGACATCATATGAGGCAAAAGTGCCTCATTTGGATCCAGAAGCTTCTCGTCACTATCGTTCTGGATAATAGAACACCAACTGCTTAACAAATATTCAGAACGCCGCTTTCGCAGAACCCATGCTAGTGTTCTGGGTAACGTGGTGAGCCTTTCGTATAGTTAGACAACAATACAATGGTGTAGGCCTACTTTGTAGATCACTTTTACTTGGTAGTTTCAAGTTTTCACGTGTTTTCGAAACGAGAACGGCACTACCACATAAATAGCAAAACATATAAACATATTATAGACCTTAGAGTAACCAGTGGGCCTTACAATAACTGCAAATATTTAAAAAACATGCTAAATTCCTAGTATCTGCAGACTTCAGTGTGAAATTATGTTTGACACAATGCAACAGATTGACCGAAAGGAGCACTTCAACCGGACTTCTAAGCCGTACCCGATAAGGTTCGGCTTAGAGTCTTAAAAATCCTCCGCAATAAACAAAATAGCAGTCGGATGGGAACAATGCCAAAATTCGCACTGCAGAGTTTTAGTCGGACAGAAATTCTACAAAGGTTCTCAAACAAGGACCTTCAACGTATCACAGTGAATTTCCTTCCGAATAACCACTAACTCTTGTCAGGGAGTTGTGACCAGATAAAAATTTATTCTTGACCTTCAAACGATCCCCTCTTGATTCTTGATTCACTTTCTATTAAGTCCTTATAAATATATATATATATCATTGCTAATAAAAGAGCTTTCTAAAATAAAATTCTCTACGAATGTACTTGTACACATTGCATTCATCGAAGTCGTTGATCAACTTAGCAAAGTTTGTTTGTGAATAAACAAACAGTTTGACCCCTTCACAGTTCCCTGCATTAGAGAAAAACAATATGAAGACTGCTAACCTTGTCAGCCCATCCATTATCCTGAAGTTTTAAAAGAATTTCCCTTCGTTTAAGTGCTGGCAGAATCCGATTCAAGGGCCACTTATAGACAGAACCATAGCGATATCGTGTAAGTTTAGAATACGTGTCGTCATGTTTCCACATAACATACATCTATAAAATATATTAAATACAAGATTCTTCTTTATATCACCTGGATGAGCTCAATACTTAGGGTCCGACATCTATTTCGATGTTGCTGCCGCATGCAATTCAAGGTCAATTCTTAGCTGCTTGTGAATTGAAACCATCTCATGCCAGTCGACATGTCATCCCAACCAAGGCCGCTTTCTTTACCTTTGCCTCTACAATTTGGCGTATTCTATGTACTTTGTTACCAACTGCTTTGCTTTTCATATTCTACGCATCTTCTACGTTTTTCTTTACACTGTTCCATGTTTTTGCACAATTTCAAACCCTTATGCTGCGTGGCTCACAGCATTTGTTAGCGGGCAACACCACACATAGAGGATATTTCGGTATGTTTCCGTTTAATCCCATTCCATAAGAAAACCGAAACTTATTCATTAGAAATGGAAATGGAATAACTATCCATTATTTGTAGGGAAATGGTTTTATATGCTTAATACACAACGGATAATGGTGGTTAGTTGAAAACCCCATAGTTTTTTTTTAAAGTACTGAGGGAATTGCTATCTAACAAATACACGGAAGACATCAACTTGTTTAAAACTCAAATTCTGAAAATAATAAGAATGAAGTCTAAATTTTCTAAGGCATTAACGCATGCTTTGCAGTTACAAATACCTACAGTAGAGTGGTGTGGACCATTACGAAAGGCTTCATAAAATCTCGCTTGTTCAATCGCTTCACCATGCTAAATATAGCCACAGAAAAAAAAGAAGAAAAAATACTTTCCATGGGCTACTAAAAATCCTACTAAAAAACCTGAATTTTGCCAGCAAAAATCTGTAAACAGCACCACTGCTTAGTCCAAGCAACCCATTCCACACGACATGGACACAGTTGGCTGCTTGGTGGACCAGAGGCGCAGGGATCTATCACACGCGTATTGCAGGGCGCCTCCGACCACTGCAACTCATGCGCCCTTTAGTGGAAGACTGAATAATAGCCAAAAAAATTTTAACTGCAGAGGTCGTAATTTGCAAAGGATATGAATTCCGCATGGAAATTCATGTAAACTGTAAGGACTGCTGACCATAGCTTTTGGAGGTTGTATGCAAGTGCTAAATGAAGAAGTATTATGTTGTAAAGAATATAAATATTGTAACTCCCACGTCCGACTTTCTATTAACCTCGACATTGATTGAACAATTCTTTTCACTTCTGCTCAGCAAACACGAGGTGCTATTCCACTTCCCCACTCACGTAAAAGCTGACGTTTCGGCGGATTTCGCCTTCCTCAGAGCCGCTTTCTATGAGTCTTCCAGTGAATATGTCGTGTGAAGACCAACCGCACAGAATTCACATGGAAGCGTAATATCGAAGGAAGAGGAAGGCGAAATCCGCCGAAACGTCAGCTTTTACGTGAGTTGGGAAGTGGTGTAAATATTGGGGTGCAAATTGTAAGAAGTACATATTGTCAAATGAATATATTTGATCACACGAACACCCTGGAGAAAAAACTAAAGTAAAACTTAGCGAAGACTCGTCCGAAGAACGCTTTTAGTGTTTTAGGTATAGAGAAGGGCTAGTTTCTCAGAGTCTTAACATGAAAGACTGGTTTTTGTTGGGATAAGCTGTAGACTGTGCATATCAAAAAGCATCTGTGCGAAAAAATAAGCTGCTGGGAAGAAAATGAGTTAATATCAATTCACGCCGGACCATCTTCCTCTTGGTAGGAGAGGAAATCAACTCGGACTCTAAATATTAAGCTCCTCCATTATCATGCAGAACTAAGAAGAAATTATTGATTAAAGGAAACAACCTCAACTTTGCGCAATAAAACATCCATGATTGACATGTGTGCACGCATTTCGGCTATCTGCGCATCGTTCAGATGAGAACATAGTTTGATACCCTAGATCAAAATATCCCAATAAATAATAAAAAACTCGTGAAAATTTAATAGCTAGCCTCCATTTTGAAAATTTTGTATGTTTTGAATAGAACCCTTCTTGGTACCTTTTTAGCCACAAAATCCACGATTCCATTGAATTCAGGGATAAGAGTGCGTCGAATTCTCAGGAGAGGGATCTTCCCTGCGAAGAAATACGTGTCAATTTTTGGATATAGAACAAAACTCTGCACAACCTAACTAACCTGTAGGCGAAATGAACTCAGCGTTTGGTCTTTGTTTTACAAAATAGCTTAGGTGTGCTATTCGGAGAAACGCCTGTGCTGCTAAACACTCAGCGTATTCATAAGAAAGCGCTTGATCATCTAAAATTAAAAGGATTATCAAAGTAAAGTCACCATTATATCAAAATATAGCCTGCACTGCTGTGTTTCTTCGACCCAAAGAATGAAGCTCTCGGCGATGATCAATCCCTGAGGAATCGCCGACTTCATTAAGCATCGTTTGGAAGTGATTGAATGCATATCTGGCCTTTACAATGACTCGCGGTGGCCTATCAATGTATCGAGCCAGTGCTGCTATCCTCCCGGAGAAGTCTGGTAGCAACTCCCCGCCGCCGGAGGAATAGCAATCTTCGCGAGACATTGGCGCTGGGACCGGTCCCATATGTATTGAATGTATTACAAGGCGCCTCCGACCACTGCGCCACACGCGTCCTTTATTTGACATATACTACCTTGGTTGAGGAGACAATAGCAACAACTTACTGAGAAACGGAGTATAGAGAAATGCTTCCTCCCATTCTTGCGACACATTCAAAGCTAACGAGTCTGACACGATTTCGGTAAGCAACCCACCACTCATCGTAGACCTCAATGGTCCAGTTTTAACAAAATACGGATATCTTCCTCGAAATTACTACAGAAATGATAGCACAAAAATATAGCGATGAATCATACCACGAACAACATGAACAACAAATCTGACAATTAAATTTATGGTCAGTATACTAACAAGAAGAACAACAAGAAATCAACGGGTAACAAATCATATAGCTGAGGCAATGTTCAGAAAATCAAGTCTCAAAATCCTTCTTTTCCTTTTTCCGAGGTTTTCCATCGATGCACTTCATTTTTTTAATTGCATGGTATTTAGACTTCTTCCGGTAAGCAAAACCGCTCACCACCTCCTTCTTACCTTAAAATAGGCTTCGAGATTTGTTAACAGAAAATTAAGACTAAGGTCGTCCATATTTGATTTGGGACGAAGAACAACTGAAATAGGAGCACAAACCTGATGAGTCAATGGTCTTGTTTGCAATAAGTGCCTTCTTGAGATGAGCAAGGGCTTTTTTGTATCGGGCTAGATGGGGTTCAAGCTCATGTGTTTCCAAGACCACTTCCTGAGCATTGAACCAAAGTCCATTCTTTTTCAAAACATTTTTTATGAAGATTTTTCGCTGAAACACTAAACTGGAACAAATTGAATACAGAACAATGCGAATAACTACGTATACAGAAACAAGGAAGATATATCACAACGCATACCGCTTCACCATCAGCAATACTAAGAACGTATCCCGCCCGACCAATCCGCCCTGTTCGACCAGCACGATGCACGAACAACCGGTCATTTTTGGGTAAATTGTAGTTCACCACACAGTCGATGTTGTCTATGTCAACTCCTCGGGATAATACATCGGAACAAATTAACACTCTAGTCTGAACAGGAAAAGAAATATGCCGCGATATGTATCCTTTCATTGATAAGCTCACACGAGATTGTTACATGCTTTGCTCGACTAGTGTTTCGACATTTTCTTTTTCCTCAGAGCCGACGATTCAAGTCAATGGTCCATGGTCGTTCCTTCTCTCGATACGATCTTCGTGATCGCATCGAGTCAAATCCAGTAGAGCACAACCCGAATGAAGTAACCTCACTTTTCCGTGTCTTTTATACAGGCCGATTTTTATAAAACTTGTGTTAGCACATCGATGAAAGAATACGTATTAATTAGTCACCTAGAGGTTAAAGAAACGTCAATCTTTAAAACACGGTTCTATACACCTGCTAAAACCCTTCGTAGCAAGAACAGTAATTAAGTAATAATGCGAATGACAAGTGAAGGAAATATTTGCATTGAAGAAGCTCTGCATAATCTGACTTATAGTCAGTAAAAGCGGGCTTACTATCAATAGGCAGGAAAGTACTTGACGTGAATAAATAGATCGTGAGAAATTACCGTTCCATTCTTGAAGCGGTTTAACACTTTAGCCCTTCGGTTTCCGAATAAATCTCCTGTTAGGTTCTCAACTTTGAACGAAGACCGAGCAAGGCGGGAAATAAGAATTGCTAGTCGTACTGATGCATCCCTAAAGCGTTTACTGAGAAATTATCACTGTCTTAAGAGAATTAAATCTTCTAACTCAGCTATGCACGCTAAATTCGCTCTAGTAGAAAGAGAAATGTGCGTTGCGAAGAGAATAATATACGCTATATATTGAAAAACCTTTAAAAAATAACTCACTTCTCGTTCGTAAAAACAAGAACTTTCTCCCAGTTATGTTCTATGATTTTCAAATACAGAACAAGTGGGTGATACTTTTGCTCTACAACTAGTACTGTGTGCCGAATGCTCGATGGAAGAGACAATGGTCCCGAAACATGGTTCAATGATTGGATTTTCGTGTCTACCTAAACGATGTACCATTAATAAAGACACTGCTGAGTACAGGAAAACGAAGTGCTGAACCAGGAAATATGTCGAGCGTTATATAAACTTGACACTTGAATGGCCTCTTCTCACTGGTTGTGCGGGTCCCAGCATAATCTCCATTTTTCGGAGATTTGCTGGTTAAGCCATTATGGTTCCCTGGAGTCCTAAGGTCAGCTTGGCCAAAGTCTGCCCCAGGTCGTCACCACCATATGCAGTCGCAGCCCTTGTGGATCAGAGGAACATTTATCACCATGCGACTTTGATACCAGGACGGTGGTGGATCCTTGTATTGGTTTACTCTTAGCTAGGCTTCCTGATGGAACGCCGAACACTTTTTCAACTTGGGAGATCCTGCCAGGGGTTGAATCCCCTGCTGTAAATCGCAGTCCGACACCCAGGAAAATCTCCCAGGCACGATGTGGCGGTAAACCGTTGAGAGGGTTATATAAACTAAAAGTTCAAAGTGAAAAGCTGCTGACATTCACATGTAGTTACTTCATTGGATCAGCTGATTTATAAAAGCTGTAAAGCTCGCCGCGTTGATCGATCTCTGAGCGATACGTCGTGGAGGTAATTGAATGCATATCTGGCCTTTGCAGTGACTCGCGGTGGCCTACCGATTTATCGAGCCATTTCTGCTATCCTCCCAGACAAGTCTGGAACCAATTTGCCAACTCCGGAGGATGGAACGTTTGTTAAGCCTGAGATGCGGAGATCGATCCCATGGGTACTGCCGTGCACCCTCGACAACTGTGCCACACGTGTCCCTAGCTTGTTTGTATCAAAAAGAAAACGTATTAGGCTAGTACTAACTTAGGTGATCTCGGATTCAAATATTACGAGATATTTGGTGATTCTAACACAACAATAAGCGATGCTGGTGCTTATGGATGGCACAATCCGTGGGATTACGAGGACGTGGTTTCGTTCTATCACACACCTCATTATTAGCTGAAGCAGAAGCACGAAAAAAACGTGGCTGATGAAGATTCCACACGTGCAGTTCTTCGATGTCCTTCGATAATGTCGCTGACAATAGGATTTTTCGTGGAGCCCACCGTGACGCAACAATGTCCGCAAGGTTAGCGCAACGCGCCAAACCTATAAGTATTAAGCAAATCACACCAAAGAAATGACCCTTGCCCTTAAGGAGAGCCCACATCCGCTTCGACGCTCGACAGTTTCCAACCATTCTTGCCTCACCATGGGGCCCATTCGATCGGCTTCATCAACAACCAAAAATCTGGATTCAGTACATCACAACAGAGTTATTTCTAGAAGTAGTGTTACCGTTCACCTCAGCGAGGACAAATTTATGCCACTAGATGTGTCCGTAAGATGGTCCATTAGCCGTCCAGGAGTAGAAATGATGACGTTCGACGTGCACACGCCATCAGGCGCCAGATGACGTTGCTCTTTTGAAAAATCTGTCGCACCAGACAGCGCTGTTACCACGGCTCCACAGCCATTATAAGTAGCAAATTCCTTAAAAGTCAACCCTTGCAAAAACTACTGTCTTCAAAAATATGAAACGAGAGGTGAAGCCCAAAATACGATACCTTCTCTATTTGTTTCACAAGTGTTTGAACTGGAACAATAACAAGTGCCTGTAGGCACCCATTAGGCCTCGGCCCTACCTGAGTCAAGATTGGCAGTACGTAGCACAGTGTTTTACCAGATCCTGAACAAAACTAATTGAACAACAAATGGAGACGAATGACTGTCACTGCTCAGATCCACATGATTTATACCTGTTGGAGCCGAAACAGCTATGTCGCGTGGACGTAATAAAGGAACGTGACTTATATCTTTGAGAAGATCTGGCAGAACTGCTTTCTGTATAACAGGAATTCACTCATTCAATACTTTCACCAGCTTTTGCTAACCTGTACGGGGAACCAGGACTTTATCTTCTGCCGGACCAAATGAGCAATAGGCGCTGGCAATCCGGAAACCGAAGGCAACTCAGCTAAATTATCACTGTGTAGCTCTGCAGGGAACAGAGTAGCAGTGGATATCCAGGATGCCGTCACACTAAACACATAACCGATTGATGAACTACCATTAATTGGAAGTCAGTAGACATCTCATAACTGAAAAGCAACATAGGTAAACAAATCACAACACGGACATACTTGATTTTCTTTGGAGGCTCAAAATTACTGTGGCCTAAAACTTTGAATTCCTTTTGGTAGTCGTTGTTAGAGGTGTCGGCTTGTTCGACAGTTTCAACGCTCTCATCTTGTGCAACGCCCAGAAGACTGAAAGACGCCGCTTTAGAATATTACCATCTCATAAAAGGATAAAGGATAAAGCTCTCGGTGTATATCAATTCCAGAGAGATGCGCCATGTATTCGACTTCATTGGGCATCGTTTGGAAGTGATTGAATGCATATCTGGCCTTTACAATGACTCGCGGCGGCCTACCGATCTATCGAACCAGTGCTGCCATCTCCCAGACAGGTCTGGTACCAATTTGCAGACCCGGAGAGATGAAAGGCTTGATGGATTTGCGGAGCCGGGATCGATCCCACTTGTATTGCAGGACGCTCCGACCACTGTGCTAAACGCCTTCCCTTACCATCTCATAGTAACATGAAAAACGAAGTGAAAAAAGAGGTGCGGATGGCTACACAATTGCATAGTGATACTCTCACAACGTCTCGTCAGCTTCAACTGACCTCGTATCCCGACGGCCTTCGTCGGATGCTCCACTCAGTCTCGAATCCGACGAATCCGCACTCTGTTCTATCTCGACGGAAGTTCTCTTCTGTTTCGTGGCTATGCGCTTTTTTCCAGAACTGCTCATTTCTTCAAGGACACAGGGAATAACCATGAAAGCACGAAATGGGAATCTCTGAAACGCAGTGCACTGACCACTTGTGTAAGCGGCAGTCGAGGTATTGGAACTTGCGGACTTCTGGCGAGCACGTCGCTGTGGCCATTCGTTTCTGAGAAGCCCGGAGCAGCGAGAGCTGGTGTGCCTTTTTTCTTCTTCTTCTTCTTCTTCTTCACCTTCTGTCTATGTGATCCCCATAGTTATAATCTCTCTACAAATTTCCCGTAGCACTTATTTCGTCGTAGAGATTTTGCCATCAACATTCTATTTTCTAACTTTTTTATTTCCTGCTTATTTTTTTTCTTTTCTTGACAGGGTATGATGTGATATGCAACCGTAATCATGCTGAGCTATTTGCGAAACTTCCGACCGCTGGTGTCTGCGGTGGGGATCGAACTCGCTATTACTCTTTCGGGAGCTAACGTTTTCACCTCCGCACCATGCGGCGCATTCGTTCCGCCTTTTTCTAATGCTCGTTGTTTTCTTTGTACTCCTACTTCGTTTTTCAGATGCCTAGAGATGATCCGATTGTTGAGGAAGAACGAAGAGCTCATACAGCGACAGATCTCATTCGAATGCGCTTGGAAAGGCTGCAACAAAATATTGTAAGCTGTCGTTATTGAGCTCTTTCTGTTCGTTAACTGTTGTGTCACAGTTTTCCCCATTGTACCTTAATTCTTAAAGATTAGCTTTGTATTATTTTTACTTCCTTATTAAAGTAAGATGGCTCGTCTTCATAAGGCGTATGCGCTCCAGCACTGTCGAAAACTGTTACAAGTTAATTTCCTGGAGTCAGGAGGTAGTGTAAGAAATTGGGAAACTGATACTCCTAGCGGATCAGTGGGAGATTTCGACTAATTTCCGTGCAAGATAACACCGCTTCCTGGGTCTGGCTTGCTCTTAGCTAGGGTTCCAAACGAAAATTTCGAACTGTCTTTAGCCTGCATAAGTTCGCCGATAAGATGAGCACTTTGCAATTTTCTTAGAAATCTGAGGCATTGATGGCAGTTCCATCATAAAGCCAATACAGAAGCTGTAATTATTGGGTTATTGGGCATTCGAAAACGCATACAACCATGATTTAAGCCTGTGTGATCTATTGTTATTTGTCCTTTTCATTCTCTGTGTAGCAAATTTGTCCGCGCTCAATAAAATTGGATGGACCATAATGAAACCAATCGTTTTCTCCAAGTTCACAATAAGTTTTTTCCTTAGGAAATCCCTCTCTAGAAGTTTCCTTGGTATTTCCAAATCGTAATTCACTATAGTTTGTCCATTAGCAAACGTCGGAACAATTTTAGCTCGCAACATTTCCGATATCCATTGTTTATTTGACACTCTCACGGCGACGCCTAATTTCGCGCTTTTATGGAGTGGACGACGCCAAATTTTTCGCCCCGTTCACTGTGACGCTTAGAAGTGTCACACCGGACAGTCCACCACTTCCTATCTAACCCCGCCTCATTTTGTTATGATTTCCTTTCTAGAAGTCGGGTTTTCTCTGCGTTTTCAAAGAAATTTCTGAGCATGTCTTATCCTGTGCATGCTCCATCTCTCTCTAGACACTCTCTCATGTTTTTGGTGCATACACTGCCCTTGTTTAAGAAGAAAAACGCTAACCCAATTTGCAGTCATGCTCCTATTAGCATTTAATGAGGCTGTATAAGTTCTGCAACGAATACTATAATATTTTCCTTGTGGTTTTGATATACGTTCATTCCATATGATACCCAAAAGTCATCGGAATGATTGGAAAGTGGAAAACAAAAGGGTATAAAATGGATAAAGCTCTCGGCATCGATCAATCGCTGAAGGATGCGTCATGCAGTCGACTTAATTCGACTTTACAATGACTCGCGGTAGCCTACCGATGTATCGGAACAGTGCTGCTTTCCCAGAGAAGTCTGGTACCAATTTGCCGACGCCAGAGGGATGGAAGACTTAGTGAGCCACGGGCGCGGGGATCGATCCAGTGTGTCGCAGAGCGCCTCTGACCACTACTCCACATGCGCTCCATAGAAAACAAAGGAGTGCTTGTCAAAAGTGATTCTTCACACTGCATGTGTTGCCAGTTCTTTGAGGCAGAGGCAGTTTTGTGCCTCTTCGCTGGCTAAACCTTTAGGCTGGACACTCTCAACAGCAACAATTTCCGCCGCAAAATGAGAAATAATTGAGAAGACATCCTATGGATGACGCAAACCATAGCAACTGCGTTGCATAAGCTGTCAATTGATCACAAGAATAAGAAGGAACTTCTGCGCACTAAAACAAGCAACTGGAAAGAAAATGACATCTATCCATGTCTTATCGGCGACTCTCGCAAAACCATTATGACACCTATAAGTGTTATTCATCGTGAGAATCGTTAGTCACCTGCTCTGAAAAAAACCAGCTGTGTAATTGTCTGGGAATCAGTGTCTTTCCATCAGTACGAAAGGGACCTTTTGAAGAATGTTGTTGCTGGAGATGAGAACTATTATATGCTAGATATCAGCCTTTATAACTAGAGTCGTGGGAATGCTTAAGCTGAAACAATACTTTCACAAATTCGTGGTGTTCCATGAAACCAGAGGCGAAGTTGTACTACGAATAACCTCAACCAACAGCGGCGTGATGCCTGGTGAAAAGGATTATGCCAAACGCATCCATTTTCGTTAATGTTTCAGTTTGTGAAAACGGCTAATTGGAAGATTTAGGAACTTTACTCAGAGCTATTCCATTCTACTCCATTCATCATCTAAGGATTTTGCTCCCTATGTCAGTCATTTGTTCCTGGTCTTCAGGAAGCACTTGAGGAGCCAGGACTTTGGCCACCTCGCCCAACTCAGAAGTCAATCATTCTATCGAGAATTTACTCTTAGGTTTAGAACGCGTGAGATAACAGTCTTTACACTTTACTAAACCGACTTTCGCTCAATCTCCAATGATTAATCAATATGTTTGCTTAGATTGTTCAGCTTACTCGAAGTTCTCATACAACTTTTATTGGACTAAATGTCGGTGTTTAAATTATCCTTGTTGTTTCATTATTTCGTTTTGTTTCTTGTTTTCGTCGGCGTCCACATTGTGTACTTCTCCCGGTGCTACACTGCTCATGGTGGATCGTAACTATTCGTGTGTTGAACCGTATTGTACAGCAGCCTTGATTTCCCGGTTTCCTATGCTGAGAGCGGTTCAATAGTTTCATTCGGAAGATTAGTGAAAACTAATCCACTACTAGGAATCACTGTCGCTCTGGAAGCAGTATACTTACAACCAGGCAAATAGTGACGACTTGATGAAGGATTTGCACCGCTTTCGAGACTGTAATGAAAGACAATCCTATTAAGGAACATTTCTTAGTTTTCCGTCTTTTAGCAGCTTCCCTTCTTCTCAGTCTCTTCGTCCTTTTCTTTGCGGTTTTCTCTGCTTCCATTCGTTCGACTTCATTCTCTAGAAGATTACCAGTCGGCTAGGAATTGTACTAGAACGCACTATTCGTTTTGAAGATGGGTTGTTTAAGTTTACAAAGAGTGGTGACATTGAGGATTTTATGTCGTGCCCAAACAATGTTATTTGAAGCATTTGTCACTGCAGTGTTCGTTTGTGTGAAATCGCAGTGCTTTTTGTGACTCCTCGCATTTCTTTTAGCAAAAACCAGCTCCTATACCGGCACGTCGCGCTGAGCTAAAGCCACCCCGTCCTCCGCCTGAGTTCGTGCGGAATGTGGTCGGTTCGTCTGCAGCGGCAGGAAGCGCTGAATACCACATATACCGGTGTGTTGGGCTGTTCATTATTAACTCCACTGTTCTGGTTAAACTGTTTCTGAATATCGTTTTTTTTGAGGTAGTGCTAACATATTTGTCTTTACAGTATTAACCGCAAGAAGGAGCAAAATCGTTTAGATTATATTGCCAAAGTAGCGGAAAAGGAAGAACTTGATGAAGAGTATAGGTGAAGAAACATACTTTAAATCATATTTGATGTTGGCGAAGGTCCAGATGTGTTTTGCTTACTCCGTACGCTCTTTTCCTGTGCCACTGCCAGTCGTTTAGGGCTCACAAGCTTGAAGTCGAACGAATGGAAGCAGAGCGAACCGCAAAGAAAAGGGCGAAGCGACTGAGAAGAAGGGAAGCTGCTAAAAGACGGAAAACTGTAAGAAATGTTCCTTATTCTCTGTATGGAATCTTTTTATGTTTCTCACACGAAGTTGCTTTACTTAAAACTAATCAATGTATCGTTATCGTTTATCATTATTTGATATATTATCTTGGAAAGCTTATTTTGCAAGTATTTTCGTTATGTTCTCTGTACACTTTCAGATGAAGAAAGAAGGAAGTGACGAAGATGATTCAGGAAGTAGTGACCTCGATGGTGAGAACAGTGAGGTAACCTGGGTCATATTTGAACGGTTTTCCTTCCCATTTATTCTTCTTTACCTGAGAGTTCTTGAAGTTAGTATTTTGTTTAAGCTGTTTAAGTTTGAAATCTGAAATAATACATTAGTTTACACATTTTCGTTCCATGTGGTTTTCGTAGTTTCAGAACGACGATTTGAGGCAGAGTGATCCAGATTGTGAGGAGCGGACAAAGACGAAGCAGGAATATTGTGATGTGAAGGAACATAATTCACAATGATGCGATGTTTTGTGTATAATGTCTTGATCTGAGAGCTATTCGTTGTGGAACTGGCTAAAATAAGATCTCTCGTTATGGACATTCAATGCATGGGAACGTTTTCCATCCAATATCTCCTTGTAAATACTATTTATACACTGTAACGTCCTTACTAGAACATGGGACGGATCTATGGCCTCTTGACGGGTCCTCGACTGTATCAAGTATTTGGACATTCTGAACGTAAAACAAATGTAGTGGAGTACATAGGAGATAACACTATGTCTTTGGCCAGAGGTGCGGTTGAGATTTATCATTCAATTGTAAGAGATCTTGTGTTCAAATTTGTATCATTCCTGAAGGTCGTTCATTTCAATTTCAGGTCTTTTCTTTTTTTCAACCTCACTGGCTTTTTCACCTGTCGTATTAATTTTTCTGTATAGTCGAGGAGGTTTCAATATTCATACTGTACTGGCTGTACTAAAGTACACTAGTTACCTGGCTGTGTTGGCTTTCGGCGGAAGGTGGTAGTTTCTGTACTTTTCTCAATATGGGTAAACTTTCTCATTTCTGGTTAAGACTGGTCGGTAGGACTATGGATTATGAGTATCGCCAATTTATCAATATATGGTTGAAAGCTAGATATTCTGGTAAATACGAAGATAATCAAGTTAGTAATTTGTTTTCTTGTTTCAAATGTTAGTACTCTGTTTGGACCAACATAGTTATTTATTAAGTTTTCTTTAATGACATAGTGTAATTGTGATTCTTTTTTTTTTGAGGCACTGAAGCGTTATGATTTCGATCTTGATGGCGTTAACGCAGATTTTACTGCCGTTCCGAACAAAAATCTGTGGTACCACCAAACAAATCATATCGATGGCATGTTTTTTTGCTTTTCTTCTTACCAAATTAAGAGAGAAGTGTCTTTATGGGTTATGCAGGCGGTCCGGTTACGATGTGCGCGGCTTGGTATGCCATTCACGCCTTCGGTCGACACATGCTTTATCCTGGTTCAATGGCCTTGCTAAACTGGGTCCTAAGTGGTAGCCTGTTGTCCGCGAGGGATTTTATGGTTTCCACCAAGGTAGTACGTTTCTCTTCATCATCATGAGTTTTCGGTATATGTCGTGAAAAGCTAATTGTGTAGCAAGGACACCGAGCATGGCTTAGGTCAGCTGAAGGAGATCTTGTTGACACGATGTTTATTCGTGGAGAAGGTGATAACCCGGAGAAGAGGTAAGTATGGTCATAGAATTTTTATTTGTCGTAGTTAAACTTTTACCTGATTTTTGTTTGCGTTGTATGAATGTCAGTAACTAAGTCAGTGTTAACGCAGAATTGGTGCAGTAAGGTTTCCCTTTCTAACCGACTCACACTCTACAGTTGGTACTACCTAGTGTCACATTCATTTTCGCGTCTAATTACAAATTACTCCAATTTAGGCGTTTCAAGGCAACGAGGGTCACTCGAATCATGCATTCTTTTTTAGGAACCAGATTCTCGTTATTTCTTGTGAAGGAAACGCTGGTTATTATGAGATAGGGATTGCTAGTACACCCTCTCAGTTAGGTTACTCAGTAAGTAAATGAGTTTATCTGTTTGTGTCCGACAGGCAGAATTCCTTTGAATGAAGGTACTGGGATGGAATCAGCCAGGGTTTGGACAGAGTTCTGGCTTGCCGTTTCCTAAGAATACATTGGCTGCTGCCGATGCTGTAATGCAGGTAAACGAATTCAATGCATTGTACTTGTCGCTGCTTCCATATCGATTTGCAATTTAATTGTTACAGTACGCACAAAATGTGCTCGGTTTCCGTGAAGAGGATATCATTCTTTTTGGTTGGTCTATAGGAGGATTTCCTGCTAGTTGGCTTGCGGCAAATTATCCAAGTGAGATCCCTTTCTCCTGTACCGACTTCCAAAGTTCGAACTCCTTTCAGTCTTTGTTGTTCCGTAATTGTACCTTTTGTATGGATAAAATAGCTGTTTTTGTCTAGATGTGAAGGCGGTTATCCTTGATGCGACCTTTGACGACGTTTTACCACTTGCTCAAGCAAGAATGCCGAGGGTACATTTTGTCTTGAACCACTTTTATTCTTTGTACTTCCACATATTATAGGTATTTTCTGATCTCGTTGAGTACGCCATTAGAACCCACTTTGATCTCAACATTCAAGCTATTGTAAGGTGTTTTCAATTTAGTGCTTTTTTTCGGTGTTTATTATTTTTGTTTAAGATAGCTCGCTACAAGGGTCCCATAAAGCTTATACGGCGGCTCCAGGAAGAAATGTTGACCACTGTTGATACGGGAACAGAAGCTGAGCGTCGTTCATCAAACAGGTATTGGCTTTTCAGTAATCATAGGTCCGTTAAGTCTAGGTTAGATGCGTTCCTATTTAAGGGCAAATTTTTTACTGAAGAGCCTTCTGCACCAGCGACACACAACTCTTATGGTTGGTCTTGAATCTCAGGTAAATCATTTCGTTTAGTTTCTGGTTTAGGGATATTGATACCACGGATTTTTTTCTGAATATTTTTATCTTTTCTTTTCTGAGCTTAGTGTTTGGATTAGAACATACGTAATTAATAAGGGTGGCGAGTTTCTAGTAATTCCTCGTCAAGTAGATGATGAGGAAATGAAAAAGCATCTAGAGGATGATTCACTTTATCACCGTTTATCTGAAAATGTTTTGAATCGCTAAACCGACATTCAGAATACATGATCATTCAACAGAAACCGGGAGTAAACTGCTTTGCATTTATGAACGTTCAAATTAATCTGTCCGGAAATGGTTGCATTGCATGATGTTACTGAAATCCAAGGAAGAAAAATATATTGGTTCATCACTTCTATTCTCACCCTTTACACCTAAAGGGGGTTATTGCGAAGGATGTTTCGAACAGCCATAAGTGCAGAAAGAGAACAAAAATAGCAATCTCCGAGTTTGGCTTGGAAAATACCCGTTTCGAATGGCTACGAGTCGGTTGCTCGTGAGCGCTCGGAATGGGTCTAGAGGAAAAGCAAAGCCCCCAAGCGAAAACGACACCATGTTTCGCGAGAATAAGTTCTCGTTTGTTCTGCTCATCATTTCCATCAAAATGCTTTTGCTTATACACTTTTCGATACCGACTTTGCGACTCTCTAGATATTGCAAATTGGGCACCTCTTTTAACTCTGCCCTTACAACAAGTGCTCCTAATTCAGAAGCTGTTCATCCAGTTGTTAGGCTTCATAGCTTTAGGTAGATCGTTGGTTGGAAATGAGTCCGCAACATCGTGCGATGGCATTGCATCCATCCAACGAATCTGAATTGGCAATTCGTCGTGCACAGCTTTTTGCTGCTTGCGATCACTATTTCACAGATTTTGACGCTACACATGTGCAACCATTGGACCCGAGGTACCATATTTACTTTGTTTTTAAAGTTAATCTATCCCAATTTAATAACTAATATTACGTTTACTTGTAATTTACTAGGCTTAGTTATTCTTTAAATTGACAGTGTTTTTCTTAGGATGAATTACAACATGGGACCGTTATTTGGCTTGTAAATTCACATTTGTAATGGCAGTTATAATAACTATCTATTGTGTGGTTTGAGCGCGTGTAGCACAGTGGTTAGAGGTGCTCTGCAATACACACTTGTTTTGATTCCTGGCCTTGGAATCACTAGGCCTTTCATCTTTCCGGGGTCGATATATTGCTGTAACACCACTGATTTGATTCATAGATAGCTGCAAGTCATTGTATAAGGTCGGTATCATTCAGTCACTTTTAACGATGCTTAGCAAAATTGAATGCATGGCGCATCCGTCAGGGATTGATTAACGCCGAAAGCTTTGTTCCTTAACCTTTGTTATGTAGTTCATTCGTGTTTCTTAGAGGAGATATTTATTGCTAACTATGATCTCGGGTAGCGTTTATGCTTTATTAAAAGCGTATTTGTTTCTCTACAAAAAATCCCCAAATTGTGACATCGCCTAAGAAAAAGTGTTCTGGTTTGTGTGAACCAAGGGGAGGTGCAAAGCAGTTTTTGTATAAAACTTGGTGCTATAATATTATGGTGGTCAATTATGTTTTTTAGATTCTTCAATGTTCCCATGCCCATTCACGATCTCAAATATCATAAATAATAAAGGGAATTTCAAATGTGTACGTGAAGATCTGCCAAGGTGTTTTGTACTTGGAGTACTTCTATTTGTTATTGTTCTTCTCGGTTATGATTTACGCAGATGTTATTTGTGATTAAGCTAGCCTCCTCTTGTCGTGTATTGATAAATAGCGCTCTTAGTATGCTGGTACGTGTTTATGACTAATATGCTGTTCTTTGAATAATTTAATAAAAATCTACCTATAGTTAGGAGTTGTGGAAAGTTAAAGTTACAGCTAATTCTAAATATCCGTAATCCCGCGTATTTTTGGTTTCGGACCACTTGGAAATATGTGGGCCATACCAATAATTTGTTGAGCGAGGATTTCTTTCCTTGTAGTCTCGAGTTAAACGTAGAGCTATGTCAGAAGTTGTCAATAGCGTTTGTGGATCAGATGATTTGTCACATTGACGCTGTCGAAACAAAGACCACGATGATTCTTGGCATTGATTTGCTCTTAGTTAGGCTTCGGATTTAAATGTCGAGCTCTGGCTTAGGAGACTTTCTAGCAGGTGGGGCGCCGATGTATATCATAGTTCAAGATCTAGTAATAGCTCTGAACCACGACGAGGCAGCGAACCACTTGCAGGAGAGTAGTATTTTCTGGCGGTACTGAGGTACAACCTAATCCCTCTTACTTCGTCTTCCTTTGTTTCTCCTTCTTCTTTCACACTCTATCCCTATCACCTTTACTATTCTAATGAGTTCAGATTTCATTGCGATTGTTGCGTTGACGTACTCCGAAATCGTACAAATTGTCTCAGTTATAATACGAATGTGTTAGGTGCTATTCGATTCAAATTATAGAAGTTGCGTCTTAACACATAATGTCTGGCATTTCAATGTATTTGGTCAGAAACAACGGCTTTCAGGATTAAACGAATAGATTTCAGTCTATAAGGGATTTTTGTATTTTGAATAAAACTATTAGAACTGACGATCTTTACTACCCAAGAAAAAGTTCTTTTATTCTACCGCACAAGCACGAAATGCTTGCTTTTTAGAGCCCATTTCTTTCAAACATTTTTCGTTGAGGTTCGTATTTTCGAGACGTTGTGCAGTTGAAAGGAAAAAGTTCCGTCCAGTCTGCTCTGATGGTGTTCGCCACAGTGTTGATGTTTGCAGCTGTTGTGCTTGGGTTAGGAATTCCAATACTTTGAAACTTATTTTCTGCTTTTTGAAACATAGTTCTGAGCAAATTTGAAATGAGTGTTTGTAAAGCTTATACGTACGCTTAGGACGGTAGATGAAAGGCTGAAGGCGTTATAGATGTTGTAGTCTAAAACATATACTTTACAGTCTGCACTTTTTCAACCGACACGTTTTACAAATGTCGTCACAACCCTTCATCTTTTTAACTTGCACATTTACGCAGAATTTTCGTACAATTACAATCGTTGCAGTTCTGAAACCTTCATTCCACGATGTCCACATATAATTTTGCAATGCATAACTTCTACAATGAGGATGCGTGTGCCGTAGTAGTTAGGTCTCCTGCAATATGCATGTTTTCGTTGGCCCGATACAGCGCGTCGTCTCACAAGCCTACCATTGATCGGCGATCGAAAAATTATTACCAGACCTGTCGGGAAGGAAAGCACCAGTGACATTATTCATCGGTAGACCTTCGCAAGTCATTATGTAGGCCAGATACTCACCCAATCACCTCTAACGGTGCTTCATGAAATCGAATACACGTCGTATTTCTTAGGGATTAGTCAACGCCAAAAGCTTTTTCTTTTCTTTTTAATTCCTACAATTGCCCCTTTCTATGATTATTATTGAAACATTCTGAACAGAAATTTTGGGGTGGTATTCCTGGACATTAAGAAGACTCCAAGGTTCTCGTCGAAGGACCTAAAACTTGTGCCAAACCGTCCATAGTTCCCTAAACAAGAAGTTCAGGCCGTACCTCTATCAAAACTAGGGAGTTGCGCCAAAAGAAGAGGAAAATGAAGCATGATGCTGCTGCAACACACCTAACGTGGCTGGTAATAAGTATCAGGTGTGGAAAATCTTTTTAAGAAGATTTGCATCGGTATGGACAGACTATGTGACTAGAATGTTCTCTTATCCGCTTTAATAAACGGAGATGGGGCTATCACTGCCTCTCGCCATGATATGGAATTGGTGACGAGGAAGTTGTATATCAATCATTCTGTTCTAAAACCTCTTCTTTAAGTCCGAAATCCCCGCTGGAGAAAAGCCGGATTCTGCCCTCTAAAGCTTGAGTTACAATAGAAAGCATGAAGCGCGGGATACAGTTTCAAGACCCGGAAATACTACACTTGACTTCACTCGAACTGGAAGCCATAAATTACGTGTACTTATAGCAGCATATATAATATTCTGCCCTGAGAAGGGGAAAACCCCAAACCATTGGAGAAAGTCGCGTATGGTCATCTTGCTCAGACGGGTGGCCGAAGAGGTCTTCATGGTTATCGTCTCATATGTTTGTTGAGTACACTCTGCAATCTGTTCACGAAGATTATCTTATTGTACATATCAAAACACTTTTGTAAAGCGCAATCAGTTGAGCAAGCGAGATTCCGAAGAGATTCTGCTGCATGAATCACATTGAAACCCTGTAACGGCGCATAAAAGTCTGTCGGAAGTACCATCTGCACATTGTCCTGATCTTTGTCGACTACGGAGGTGTTTGACAGGGTCGCAATGAGTGCGAATCTCTCAGCAGTCGTTGATCAAGGAGTGCATCCATCTTTCATGAGAACTCAAGCTCACTGCTATCGTAGCTACAGCACAAAAAAATGGCTTTTTCATCGAAACTTTATAATTTCTCTAGGAAAAAAGGTTCAACGGTGTCACACTATCGCACTACCGATTAAGTAAATACCCACTACTCGGACTACTTGGACACCCCGTTTTCACTTCCCGTTATGCAGACCTCAGCATGTTTTCCATTCGCTTTTTTTGCGCCGCAGTCGTCGTCCATGGTGGTGGTTTGACTGGAGCATGGTGGCGGGTGCGAGTCTCATACCGTGATCTGTAAAACAACTGCAGCTGTGGGTACAGCTGATTAGCTTTGCTTACGAACACGTCCGACCAACGTGTAGGTGGTCGTCCAAGAGGAGGTTGGCATTCTCTTGGAGTCCACTCTACTGTTCTTTTCGTCCATCTGTCGTCTGTTTTTCTAATATTGTGACCGGCCCATCTTTGCTTTGCTGTCGATGTATATTCTCCTGGATTTCGAAGATGTGACAGATTTCGAAGGTCAGAGCTTCGCATTCCGGCTATATATTGAGAGTGAGAGTTATATACATGGTTTAAGGGCTCCGTGAGTAGTGCACAGTATTCTTGACGTGGTTGAAATATCGGCCCACGTCTCTGGTGCATAATAGAACGCCTGGAGGACCGTTGTATCGAAAAGGTGAACGCAGATTTTCGGGTCTTTCAGTTGGTCGGTGGGTTCTTTGATAGTTCCGAACGAGGCCCAAGCTGCTCTCTTTCTGCTGTTTAATTCATTCTTCATGTTGTTCTCCATGTTCGCTAAACGTACGACCTACGCGTACGAGGTGGTCTCCGTAACTAGAGAACCACCTATTTCGATTTTTTTTCCTCTTTCGCATCATTGGTTTCCCGTGAAATGGGTTCTCTTCCGATTTATGCGTAGTTAGATCTTTTTCCGCACCTTGTTCACCTTGTTCATTGATCATCGTCTCCGATTCGTCAGTACTTCCTGAAAAAATGACGATGTCGTCGGCGAAACGAAGATTTAAAAGGGATTCTCCATCAATACGTATGTACGCATGCCTTTCTCGTCTCAATCGAATGACTTCATTATATGCTTCAGTGATCCAGTAAGCACCTCTGGAGATATGATATCGCACTGGCGAACTCCCTTCCCGATGGAGACGATGAGCGATCGATGAAAAAGCTGCATATTTGCGCTACAGTTCTGATGTCAACCAGATAGTTCTTATGTAGCTGGGGTCCACTCCTTGCTTGACGAGCGATGATAGGATTCCATTCGTTTCGACGTTGTCGGACGCTGTGATGACATACTTCTATGACCGTGGACATGTTTGGATGTGGTCCATGCAACAGAACTCTTTCCTGCTTGCTCAGCTAACTGTGCCTCATCCAATGTCCACGATATGGGCTACAGATAATTTTTGCGAAGAGCTTCTAGATTGCATTCAAGAAGCATATCGGACGATAGTTACGAAGATTTTGGTCAATTTTCTTGGGCAGGGTGTCCGTTCGCCTCGTCAACCGTTGGTCTGAGATTTTTTTCTTTTCAAGGTAGGATGTCATGTGGTTTGCAAGAACTATATCAAAAATATGGCATTCAGCTCTAAGGAAGTCGGTAGTAATGCTATGGAGTCCTGGAGCTGCTCCTTTTTTATGCTTCCTATCGCAACTCGAACAACCGAGGGACGAATTCCAGGTGGCTTTTCTCCAGCAAGGATTTTTAAGTCTACCATGGGATTCTGGAACGGGAAAGGCTGATGTAGAATTATTCCGTTATTAATTCCATAATATGGCGGGAAATTTAGTGATCTCATCTTCATTTACCAGGGCTGACAGCGGCACATTTTAATCGCAGAAGTGTCCGGCGGCATTTTTTCACACTTGTTCTTTTTTGTGGCGCTTCTAATAGTTCCTTCTGCCTGAGCTAATCTAGAGCTTCCTGCAAAGCTCTTGTGCAACTGGCATTTATTACAAGCCGTGTTGAACGTGTTGCAGAAGGATCAACTCTCAGTTTTTTTCTGTTTTCAAGCAACTCCGTAGTCATAATGGAGATGCGATCTGACCTTACTGCTCCAGGAACAGACGAATTCGGCACAACTGTTAGCTTCTTCGACAAGCAACTCGTAGTCTTCCGTCTGGTCTTCCTTAATTTGCCAGTTTCGTTTATATAGGATTCCGTTCAAAATGTTCTCATCATATACGTCTAGATTTCTTCTTCTTGGTCGATTACATAAATTCCCCTTCAACTTGCGCTGAATCGAATCCTTGGG